GTTGGACATCGCCATATAACCTGTGACGTAAAACCCAATCAAACAAACAAACTAAATATTGGTTCTAAAATTTACTAACTTTATATGTTAGAAAGATATGTGTAAAAGTTCATGAAGAAGGGAAAGAAACAAGGAACGTGTAAACAGATTTGCTGTTTAAATTTTAAGCATTTTAAAATTGAAATTATACTTATATTCTCATATTTCACAATTAGTGCATTGTCTATACATCAATGACTCTGAAATTTAAGATAAATAGATGTAAAGTCTTTTAAGTTGTCAAAAAAGGTTATATTAGGATACTTGCAGTATTTTGAAATTTAAATAAATTAATCATTCCCCATACCCCACTTAAAAATACACACTATCCAAAATGTAATTAAATGAAAAAATTTTAATGTTAGATTTTGAATTTAACAAGAGCCACCGCCAAAATTTAATACTTTGACCATGATGGTCAAGGTCATTTAAAGGTTAAAGTAAGTTCAACCTTTTAGAAGGTCTTGTCCAAAAGGTTGTTTTGTCCAAGTATGAAATAATCCATTGATTAATTACCAAGTTACAGCCAATTATTTGATAATCTGTTAATATTCAATAAGTTTTTCTTCAAGGTCAAGGTCATTCATGAGTTAAAGTAAATTTTAATTTAATATACATAAAGGTCTCGACCTAAAATGTCTGGAAATAAAGGTTATCAATTTATAAATAACAAAGTTATAGCCAGTTACAAAAACAAAAATGAAACAAGAGAATTTCATTAATTTGACATTAACAGTCATGTTCAACTTAAGGTCAAGGCCAAATCTTAATTATTAAATATATATATTGGTAACAAGTTGTGTATAAATGAAATCCGTACATAAATAACAAAATTATGACAATTTAAAATTTTTACTTTCACAGTCAAGATTATTTAAAGTTCAAGTTCAAAGTCAGTTCCACCTTTTACTTCATTTAATTACATTTTTTGGGATAGTGTGTCTTGTCCAAAGTGTTTGTTTTGTCAATGTATGAAGATAATCCATAAATTAATTACCATGATACAGCCAATTGTAGCAAATATCAGTGGAAATACAATTATTTTACCTTCAAGGTCAATGTCATTAAAAGCCAAGGTCAATTTAAATTTATACATGAAAGTCATACCCTAAAGAATGTTGTGTTATAATATGAAGTGAATCCATTTATCATTAACAAAGTTATAGCCAGTTACAGCCCCCCCCCCCCCCACACACACACAAAATTCTATAATTTGACCTTCCAGGTCAATGTTATTTATGAGTGAAGATCAATGTCTGTCTGGTTAACTCGAAGGTCTATCCTAAAAATACTATTATGTTCAAGTTTGAGGACAATCCATTAGAAAATAATAAAGTTATCTAATAGCAAAAATCAGAAGAAAAAAGTAAGCAAAATTTAGACATTTGACCTTGGAGGTCAAGGTCATTTATGAATGAAGGTCAAATTTAGTCTTGTCTACTTAAAGATCTTGCCCAAATGTTGTTGTGGCCAAGTATGAAGACAAAACATAAAGAAGATTAAAAGTAATGATCACAGTTAAAGTTTGCTGACGGAAACGTCAATACCGACATGACTGTAACAATACCCTCTATTCTTTTAATTTCTTTTAATTTTTTTTTTTATTTTATCTATTTTTTTATTATATTTTTTTTTAAAAGTCGAGCTTAACATGTTGTTTTCTTTAAAATCAGTCATTATAATTAATTTTTATTAAAAAGAGAGAAAAAAATAAGAAATTGTATCAAGTATTTTTAAAAATCACATTTTTTTTCCGTATATTTTTCGTAATTATTTTTTTGTTTTTATCATCAAAAAATATAGTTACCTTAAAATACATATTAAAACTGCATTTGAGGAACACAATTAATACAAGAATGAAAAGAAAGAACTTATTGCTCAGTTTTAACTGCCAAAATTCAAGTAATATAAAGTAAATTATAATTTTCATATTTTTGGCGGCCATCTTGGACGCCATCTTGAATTTCTTAGTCCGCCAGCACTTTCAGGGAAAATGAAATTCAATTTCGTAATCTAGGGACTCAACCGAACATTTTGGTATATGAAACCCTCTGTTTATGATCGGGGACCAGTTAGGTGTTCCTAAGCTTAACAAATTTGCAGCACTATTAGCTCACCTGTCACAAAGTGACATGGTGAGCTTTTGTGATCGCTTTTCGTCTGGCGTCAGTCCGTCGTCTGTCCGTCCGTAAACTTTTACTTTAAACGACATCTCCTCATAAACCGCTAAGCCAATTTCATCCAAACTTCACTGGAATGTTCCTTTGGTAGTCATCTTAAAAAATTGTTAAAGGAATTTAATTCCAAGTAAAACTCTGGTTGCCATGGCAACCAAAAGAAAAAACTTAAAATATCTTCTTTTAGAAAACCGAAAGAGCTAGAGCTTAAATATTTCACATGAACCATCATCTAGTCAGTGTCTACCAAGTTTATACAAATAAATGCCCTGGGGTAAATATTGGCCCCGCTTAGATATTTATCATGAAACATCTTCATATGGGTGTCTACCAAGTTTGTTCAAATAAAAGCCCTACAGTTAAATTTGTCCCGCCCTGGGGGCCTATTTACAGGTGAGGGATTTCAGGGCCATCATGGCCCTCTTGTTTACCTTTAATAATAGTTTTTATTAGTTATTAAGATTTTTATGCCACCGCAGCATCTGCGATGCGGTGGCATATAGCGATTCACCTGTGTGTGTTGTGTGTGTGTGTTATATAGATTATATAGTGAACTTAAAAAATCTTCTTGTGAAAAACCACTAGTCCAATTTCAACCAAACTTGGCAGGATTGTTCCTTGGGTGAACGGTTTCCAAAGTTGTTCAAAGAATTTCATTCCATGCAGAAATCTGGTTGCCATGGCAACCAAAAGGAATTATAAGAATAAATTTAAAAAATCTTCTTGTAAAGACTCAAAAGGCCTAGAGCTTAGATATTTTGCATAAGGCATTGTCTGGTAGACCTCTAACAAGATTGTTCAATATTAAAGCCCTGGGGTCAAAAATTGGCCCCACCCCGGGGGTCATTGATTTTCACTATGTACATATAGTAAAAAATTTAAAATACCTTCTTGTAAAAACCCAAAAGGCCTAGAGCTTAGATATTTTGCATAAGGCAACGTCTGGTAGACCCTTACCAAAATTGTTCAAATTATAGCCCTTAGGTCAAAATCGGCCCCACCCTGGGGTCATTGATTTTCACTATATGTACATATAGTAAAAAAATTAAAAAACACCTTCTTGTAAAGACCCAAACGGCCTAGAGCTTAGATATTTTGCATAAGGCATTTTCTGGTAGACCTCTACCCAGATTGTTCCAATTATACCCCTGGGGTCAAAATCGGCCCCGCCCCGGGGTCATTGGTTTTCCTTATATGTATATAGTAAAAACTTTAAAAAAATTCTTCTAGCAATTGACAAATGCTAGAGGTTAGATATTTTGCATGAAACATTGTGTAGTAAACCTCTAGCAAGATTGTTCAAATTATAGCCCTGGGGTCAAAATTGCCCCCGCCCTGGGGGTCATTATATGTGTATAGTAAAAACTTTAAAAAATCATCTTCTCTAAATTTACAAAGGCTAGAGTTAAGATATTTTCCATGAAACATTGTGTAGTGAACCTCTAGCAAGATTGTTCAAATTATAGCTCTGGGGTCAAAATTGGTTCCGCCCCGGGGGTCATTGATTTTCATTATGTACATATAGTGAAAAAACAAAAAAGAGCTTTGATGTTTGATATATAGTATCATTTATAGGTCCTCTACCAAAGTTGTTAAAATTTTTCCTCTGGTGTCAAAATTGGCCCTGCCCGGGGGCAGTGATTCTCATTATGTACACATAGTAAAAACAGAAAATAAAACAAATGTTTTCTGAATGGGAGAAAGTTTTAGCTTAGATATTTGACTTGAAATGTTGTTTGGTGGACCTGTATCAAGATTGTTTTGAATTAAACCCTTGGGTCAAAATTATGCCTTGCCCAAGGGGACAGTGACCTACTTTCTTGTCCTTTGATGTACAGCAATGACATTTTGACCATATGCACAGTTTTAGTTGCAAAATTGAACTTTGATATCAGGTGACCTAGATTTTGATGATGTGACCTACATGTACTTTCTTGTCCTTTGATGTACAGCTATGAAATTTGAACCATGCGGTGGCATAGCATTTTTCTCGAATGCAATCTTGTTTTAAACTACATTTCAATGACTCTTTTGTAATTTGTTGTAGATAATTTAAATAAACTGGCGTTGTATGACAATTTCAGTTATATAGATTAATTTATGTGATTTATATTACAAAAAAATGTCCAGTATTTATAATTGTCAGTTAATGGTCAGGATAATATATCAAACCACCACTTTCTCTTGGCAGCAGGTAGATCTGTTTAAAGTGTTTGTAAAGAATGAATAAATCTACATACATGTAATTTCTTTTATTTGTTTGATTAAAAAATAATACATAAATTTGTAGCAGTTGTTTATATAGAAGATATAAACTTCACGATTATCCAATGAACACCAACATTACAATTAATATATGTGTTGTATTTTAAAAATTGTTAAACAACTGTCACTGTTTTAGCTTGACTCTTCAAAGAATACTGAGAGCTATTGTACTTGACTAGGTGTTGTCTCCACACTTTTGTTAAGTTTTAATGCAAAGTGGTGTCTGCAAAACTACTGAAGCAAATGAGTTGAAACTTAATACACTTATTTTAGAGCATAATAAGAGGTCAATTTCCAAGGCCCATAAGTGTAACATGGATTTTGACAGAATAATGGCCCTTTTTGTAAAGTGGATTAAAAAAACTTCTACATTATCCAGGCTCTTGTTTTACTATCAAGCACTGAGAATAATCAAGCACGCTGTTTTAATGACAGCTCTGTAAAAAAATTTATACAAAAAATATTATATTGTTTTTTTGAGATAAATGTAATTGGATAGTTAATGTCTTTATATTTCAGAGGATCATATCCACCATTATCACCAAAGTACAGCTATGAACTTAGAAATTTAATTGCTCAGTTATTTAAAAGAGCTCCAAGGTAAGTTGTTACACAGAATTTTATCTTCTTTTCTTAGAAGGCTGTAATAAGAATTTGAAATATTTTCTTAATATTAGTTTAAACTATTTTTATTTGAGCAAGTTTGTGAAGAAAGCTTGTCGCTAATTTGAACAACTCTAGTGTCTCCTTCCTGATACTAACAAGTACTGATATCAGGAGTGGAAACATGGTGCTGATCCCTGTAGTACTTGCAATAACAGGAAGAGAGGCAGATATTTTAACAACTAGGCTACTTTCAAACTGAATTAAAAATGTTAAGAGTTAACATACAATGTACCAATGCAGATTATGACTTAACCATCTCACCAGCATAAATCAGGCAGTCAGCACTTTTATACTTCTAGCTGATAAAAATTTAGTTTTGAAACCTCTTTGATTTACAATTAACAATTCTAAATTCGATGCAGTTGTGTTTGTGAAGTATTTAATAATATGGGTGGTACAATGAGCTTATTAATGATTTTTTCATCTACAGCATATTTTTCATCATTAACCTCACTGTCTTATTTTACCATTCTATTATTTAATTACATTGCAGAGACCGACCTTCCATCAATTCCATTTTGAAAAAGCCAATCATCTCTCAAAGAATTCCAAAGTTCCTGACTTCAGATGTAAGTGTTTATAATATTTTAAATAGAAACAAATATTAAAATCCTATTCCCTTTCATGAAAATAAAGTTTTATTTTAGGGTGGGAAATTTCTGTTTTTTAATGGCATTTGAACTAGAATTATGTTTATTTTGATTGAACCATCTAATTTTTTAAAAATATTTTTTTAGTTTTGAATTTTGTGCATTTTGATATTATTTTGACATCATAGAAAATTGTTAACAAACCTTCATTGACTTATTATTATTGACTCGTATGTTTTATCATTTTGGTATACCTTAATTGTTGTCTGTTATAGTGACTAACCTTTGGATAGTATACATTCAAGTTATTGTTCTTTTTTTCTAAAAAAAGGAAGTTTACAAAGTTATAATTATTTATGTATTATTACAGCAATTAGAGTCAGAGTTTAGTCACACTATAATGCATGGTCACAAACTAGGGCGTGCCCTCCCTCCCCCACCTAACCCTGCATCTAGACCTCCATCAGGTAAGAAAAAAAAAACAATGTCTATTTAAACTACATATTTGTTATATATCAAGTGCTTGATGCAAAACAAGTGTAATTTCTTTAAATCAATGGGTTACAACTGTTTCACACCAAGTTTACAAAATTGAAAATATAATTGCACTTTATAGAGAATTATCTGTGAGAGATAACCTTGTAAATGAGCTAGTACATACAAAAGTTGTTTATGTAGAGAAAACACAAAATTGATAACAGTTTATGTAATTGAAATGTTATTTATCATTTATAATCAAGATATTTGCAAGTGCCATAAAACAATGTATGCATGAAAATAGAAAATGTGTTGTTTGATTGGCAAATATTGTTGGGAATATAAATAAAAAATGGTTTTCTATGTTTGTTTTTTATTTGTCTTAAATATCGGATAATAAATTTTATAAGGATCTCCATTATGTTTTAACGCTTCTAAATCCTGCAATGTATATAGATAAGATTATCTTATTGTATACAAGCTTGAAGCAAAAACATGTAAGTTGATTCAAACTTGAACTAGTAGATATCACATAAGTGTATTCTTGTTTGAAATTTGTCTGAATTATTAAAACATTCAAAATTCTATAAATTTGTGTTACATTAATAATTTTGTAAACCATGTAATTACTTTTCATTATTATATTTCATACATGGCAAATATTGATATTTTCAGCTGCCAGGAATAGAGGTGATGTTGGTGGACCAGCTGTAGCAGCAGCTGCTAAAAAATATGACCCCTCTAGAATCTACGGGCAACCTGTTGTCAGGAAATCAAAAGAAAATAGGTATTTAACCTAAATATGTCATAGCTTTGTCAGTTTGGAATTCATGGTTTTGTAAGTTTGTGGAATAAAATTTAAAATGTTACATAAAGTTACATATGTAAATTATTTAAAGGAACAAAAGACAATATAAAGGTCTACCAGTAATCCACCAACTACTTTTTATGTGGTATAAAGGTACCAACACCATCTTAATAAAAATAAATTTAAAAGACAAATAGGTTAGTCATAGTGATAAAAGAATTTTTCAGTTTTTAGCTGTGAAAAATTTAGCCCAACCTTTTCTATTTATTGCTTGGTTGACTGCCCACAAACAGTATCACAAACAAAACTATGTGCTATTTCATGTAAACTAGGTCAATCGGTGACCATGTCTTTAATCCTTGTGTAGTAATTGGATAGCCATCCAGCCAATTTGCATAAAACTGTAAACACTGGAAAGGTCTATTAAACTGATATCTTTATAAGTTGTGATAGACCGCCTCCGTGGTCGAGTGGTTAGAGTCGATGACTTCTAATCCAGTTACCTCTCTGGCGTGGGTTTGATCCCCGGGAGATGCTTTGGTAGTTTAGCGCGAAGGAAGGTAGTCAAGTACTGGTGTAACTCTCCAGGAACGATGGTTAGGAAACTACCCGCCTATATGACTGAAATACTGTTGGAAAAAGGCGTAAAATGACACAAACAAACAAAAACAAATTATAAGTTGTGATAGACTTAGGGAGGTAGTAATGACTACCTGACTATTTTATTACATGTATTTTTATTGACATAATTGTATGAACAAAACATCTGAATGAATTTAGAGCACCAGCAGATGTAAGAAAGAGACCAGGAAGTGCTGGATCCCGTCCTGGTAGTGCTTCAGGCTCAAGACCTGGAAGTGCCGCCGGTTCCAGGCCTGGCAGTGCAGCTGGATCCCGGCCTTCAAGTAGTCAGGTATGTTGAAAAGCATTTTGTTAATTATTTTGTAGCTTCATAGCTTAGAAATTAAAAATATATCAAATTATATTGTGTACTTTGATGATAAATTGAAATAGATTTCAGACTTATTATTATCTATAAGTTTAAATTATATCTCAATATATACATGTTTTAAATTCATATAAGTTTCATATTTTATGATTGTAATTGTTCTGTTAAAAGCTTTAACATAAAGTCAATACATTTTAAACAGGACATAAGTTGAAATAAAGATAATATTTATAGAAAAAGAAAAAAGCAGTGAATGGTGTACCCCAAATCTCCCCGTCTTACAAGGTATAAATAATCAAAACATATGCTAGGTTTGAAAAGATTTCTTGAAATACACATTAACTTAGGAAAGGGCTTCACAAGCAAATCTTTCATTTGCAGCCTTTTTTCTTCACATGTTTGATGTCTACTGTTTTCTTCTTTCTAGAGACTCATGTGTAGCAGTAACACAGTGTTACATCTCTCTATCACATGTTAATGATCAAAATCTTTTTCTGATTTTTCTGATTTTTACTGATTTGAAACAAGTAAATGTGAAACAATTAAGTGATTTATTGCATACCAATGCCATACAGCTTTTGGGACTCCGTAAAAATGTTACTGCACAGCTGTGCATATATTTTGACTTGATGTCATTTGTGTTATACAAACATAAGTTAAAGACATGCTAAATGTTAGTGTTACACTATTGGTGTGTCAATGAAAAAATTCTTCTTATTCAGTTAAAACAGTCTTTATTTTTGGTATGTGATAAATAGAATATTATATTTGTGTAGGTTCATTTACTAAATTAATGAACTTGTTGAATAAAATAAAAAAAATCATGTCTTAATAATGCCTATATTGAACTTACATGTACATTCAGTATACTCTATATACTGACTTGTATCACAAGTCCTGCACATTGGTTGGACATTTCTAGGATATATTTAATATCATTCTAGCTTAAAAGACATAACTTAGTAACTAATTGTATACACATGTATATTACTGATGTTTATATCAGATATTGTTGATAATGTAGATTACTTTGTTATTGTAAAGTTTTAAAATTACATTAATATAAATAACAGGGTAGAGCAGGTGTTATTTAGTACATTTTATATTTGGAATGCATTTAAATGTGGAGAAGCCTCTTTTTTGTGGGCTTTAATTATTAATGCAGTCTAGTCTGCAGTTCTAAGATGTAATTTTTTATAACATTATTTATTATGAAGGATTTACAAAAAAGGAAGCAAGAATTAATGGAAAAGGAAAGAAAAAGGAGGGAAGAATTAAGAAAGAGGGATGACGATCAAAAAAGAAGGGAATATGAAAAAAGACATAAAGATTTGGTAGAAAAGCAAAAGGTATTGATGTTATTTTGATAAGATTTTTGCCATTTTGTCAAAGCAAGATTGAAGTTTTTATTCTCATTTTCAATGGTGTTGGAATCCATTTGCACTTTTAACTTGTTTTATTTACATTTGTATTCTCAGAAATTGATGTTGAAGTCTAGTATTATTTACATTAATATGATATTTCATTGATATGAAATAGAAGTTAAAAATGTTTTATTAGGTTGACCAATGGAAGATTGTCAAATTTATGAAAATACTCATCAGTTGTGTTAGCCCGATTCATAACAATCATCAATTATGTGGCAAAGCTAAAATTTCATTAAACTCACTTATGTTGATATAAGATAATTTATTAATTACCCTGTTTGTATGTCTGTTTAGATGTTGTTCAGTGGAAAATTGTTTTCAGATTACATCTTTCTAATGCTTTTGTGGATTTTCTTAAAACTTGGCACACAATTTTCTGTGTGCCTTCATGAGATAGGTTGCATGCTTGACCCAGTCTGAATTTTAATTGTCAGTGTCACATTTACAGATAAAAAAGTAAATAGAAAAAAATTTGAATATTTTTTTTACAGTTATCCAGTCTATTATGTTGTACCAGTACTTCCTTGATAGCCTTGTTTAAAATTACAAATGCTGATAATTCAGAATCTTATACAAATTTTATTGTGAGGGTCAAGTATCACTTTAAATGACACAGCTTGTTTGGTTTTAATAGTATTATTTAATCTTTCTAAAAATACCAGTCTGTTATGATATTTGTATATGGTAATGGGTCACCTTGGTTCTATACTAACTGGCAATTGGTATAATTCTAGTGAATTCATATTGTGTGTGGAAGTCAAAATACAACTTTGTTTACAGTTTGCTACTTTTACAACATATTACTGCACATTCAACACTCCTTTCTGCAGTTGTTTAACACTATCACTATGACAGATAGAAATTGAAAAAGTCATCAGCATATTGTTTGAAATTATCTTTATTTTTAAAAAGACATATGTATCAATTCAAGGTGTTTTATGATTGATCCATAAATAAACATTTAAGATTAATGTTTTAATAACAATAAATGTAATTTATTAAACACTGTTTGAACAATATATTCTACAAAATATCAAAATACACATATAAATTGTAAATTATTTACAAATTTATATACTTTCATCAATAAAACTTTAAGATATCCATTATTTAAGTCATGAAAATGTTTAACAATGAAAGTAATGATGAAAATATATCAAAGTGATAAAAGTAATCATTACCAGTAATATATTTATTATGGGATGAGTTGACCCATGCCTAGTTGATATTGGGATGAGATGACTTTGGAGCCGAGTTAGATTGAGGGGCGAGTTGGCCCGGATTCTTTGTATACATGTGATATTTCACTTTTTTCTGTAATAATGCAAACTAGAAAGTACCTGTATTGTTATTGCCTTTAGAAACAGGTTAACTGTTTTAACCCAAAGAATTTATCTTATTCTATTGAACTACTGATTTCATTTTTTTGTAACCTTAATTGATACAGATGGCCAGAATTAACAGGGCAAGAGAAGATGGTTGGAATAATTTACTTGGTTCTCTTGATTCTGATAGGAGTAGTGTATGTATTATCCTAATACATTATTTCACTATAGATGCTTTTCACATAGAAATTATTACCTCCCCTGGCTGCCATTTTAAGGGACATTACCAATATGTAATATGCTTAAAAAAAGAAGATAAAAAATAGTAATATATTCATTCATATGTATAAAAGCTTTGAAAGTTCACAAGTCAAGCTGTTTATATTGATATGTTTATGTTTTGTCAAATATATTATATGAAATATGGGCCCGAAAAAATGGCGGCCACTTTCGGCAAGGGAGGTAAATATTGTAAAAATCGGGAACTATCTATTAGTTAGTGTAAAAGTCAGTGTAAAAAGGTCATCTTTGTAATACTATTTGCTAATGTCCATTAAAGGTCATAATTTATGGAAAGTAGATTAATAAGCTTAACTAAAACTTGATCAGGAAAGCATTACCATAATTTGTCTGCTATCATTTGATATCACAATCTTGCATTATTAATATCTGTGAAATTTAAGTTTAGAAAAAATCAATTTTTGCAAATTTATTATTCACTTTCATACTTGAATAATTGAATTCTACTTTGTATTTAAACTTTAAGGATTCCTTTAGTTTCATCTTCATGCAGCCAACTTAATAGAGCCTTGTCTGCGTTGATTGCAGGTTGACGTGGCTTGGCTTAATACTGGTGCTATTTGCTTTCATAACTGCTAGATTTGCTTGAAACATATCAAATGCAATCCTATATACAATACAATGTACTAATTGTGAAAATTTCATGTCTATTTCATACTATAGAAAGATGAAAAAGATAATGTTAAGCCTGTTCCTGCCCCTGCCCCAGCTCCTCGGGTATGTGAAATAAGAACACTGGTTCTTTTTACTTCTAATTTTTGAAACGAATTTTCATTATCTTGAATGATACACTTTAGATCTGTTTTTTTTTCTAGAATAAGGAAAATATCAAATGATATTTTTATCAATTGAATGAATCATTGGGAAATAGCATATTTTGTCTCATAGGCTTATTTCAATCTGTGTGCATGAAAAAAATGAATGTCTATACTTGAAAAGGTATAAAAACAATCTAATTAATCAATGGATATTGATACTGATCAAATAAACTTGGAATTGCGGAATTATAGTATGTGACAAAAACTGCTTATGTTGTAATTCAACAACTTTTTGTTGATAATCCCTTTAGAGCCATGTTTTTGATGCACATGTACAATTTGTGTATCTGGTTTTTATTTACAAAAAACAACAAACAACAAAAACCAGCACTTCTTCCACTATTTTATTATGTTAGTTTGAATAGCTGAATAATTATATAGTTTTATTCTAATCAACAGCCTGTGGTAGGGCAAGGCGGGGATTACAATGGGAATGCAGCAGGTCAACAGCGAGGTAAATATGATCACTATAATGAATACCTGGATAAACTTCAACAAAACCGAGACATACGACAAAGACAGGAAGGTGTTCCTGCTAAAGGTATACAAAATATTCTGTCTGATATTTTCTATAAGCTTGATTAAAGTGACATTATTCTAATCCAAGGGTTTATAGTGAGTGAACGAGTGAAATTCAAAATATGCTTACATTTGTCATAATTCCAATCAATTTTATAATTTACATTGAGTGAATGATAAATAACTCCCATGGCTCAAAATATCCACCAGAATATAGCTGTAATTTTTGTGCCCCCACGTTAGTGGCAGGCATTTAGATTTACCCTTGTCCGTCCGTCCGTCCGTCCGAGCAGACGAGAGCTACATTATGAGGTTTAGGTTTATGTACAGGCACTCTGTATGGGGTTCATTCCGTAGAGACATGTATTATGTGGTTAAAAATGCTCTTATGGGGTTAAAAAAATTTGCTCTTGTGGGGTTAAGAGATCAAAGGAATAACCCCACAAACACGTCTGCTAAGTATGTCCGTCCTTCCGTCCGTCCGTCCGTTCACTTTTGTGTCGCATGTAACTCAAAAAGTATTTGACCTAGAGTCATGAAACTTTACAGGAATGTTGATCAGCATGTGTAGTTGTGCACCTGGGTATTTTCATCTGGATATTTTTAGTATTTTCAGAGTTATTGCCCTTGACTTAGTAAAATTTTGCAATTTTCAACTTGTGTCGCATGTAACTCAAAAAGTTTTTGACCTAGAGTCATGAAACTTTACATGAATGTTGATCAGCATGTGTAGTTGTGCACCTGGGTATTTTCGTCTGGATATATTAAGTATTTTCAGAGGAATTGCCTTTGACTTAGTAAAATTTGGCAATTTTCAGCCTTGTGTGGCATGTAACTCAAAAAATATTTGACCTAGAGTCATGAAACTTTACAGGAATGTTGATCAGCATGTGTAGTTATGCACCTGGGTATTTTCGTCTGGATATTTTTAGTATTTTCAGAGTTTTTGCCCTTGACTTAGTAAAATTACGCAATTTTCAACTTGTGTCGCACATAACTCGAAAAGAATTTTACCTAGAGTCATGAAACTTTACAGGAATGTTGATCAGCATATTTAGTTTTGCACCTGGGTATTTTCATGTGGATATTTTTAGTATTTTCAGAGTAATTGCCCTTGACTTAGTAAAATTTGGCAATTTTCAACATGTGTCGCACGTAACTCAAAAAGTATTTGACCTAGAGTCATGTAACTTTACAGAAATATTGATCAGCATGAGCAGTTGTGCACCAGGTATTTTCGTCTGGATTTATTTAGTATTTTTAGAGTTATTGCCCTTCACTTAGAAAATTTTTTGCAATTTTCAACTTGGATTAGACATAGTCATTAAACCTTATGGGCAGGTTGCTCAGCATATTTTGGATTTGCACCTGGGGTTTTGCTTGTGGATTTATCAAATATTTGTAGAGTTATTTCCCTTGACTTAGTAAAAAGATTGACAGAACAGTGGCGCGGTGGGGGCACCTGTGTCCTATGGACACATTTCTAGTTAATTTATAAAAAATGTAGAATTATATTTTATTCTTAACACATTCCAATATAAACTGTTGATTAATCACCATTTAACAGCCAATCTTTTAAAATATAGTCAATTTCTGCTCAATTTGACAATGCAAAAATAAGCATAATGTCAAACAGAGGTTTTTTATGCTTGTAAAATATTGAAATATAAATGTTACATTTACTAGAGGGAAAACCTTTATGTAATTAAATTTTCATTTTTGTAGAGGTGTTCTGCCTATATATTTTGTCTGACAGGTAGTTCTACATTATAGTTTATCTAGTAGGAAAATAAAATGTCAGCATGTAGAATTGGAAATTTTATAGGTGACTTTTTGTGCAATTGTAATTGAGCAGAATGTATGTCTATTGCCTGCAAAGTTAATGAATATGCAATGAATTTTTTCTGATCATAATTTACAATAATTCTGTATTATCATTTTCAGCTCCCGCTGCATCATATATGGCTGCTCCAAGACCTCTGCCAGGAGCCCCAAAACCAGCCCCTGTATGGAGAAGAGCCCCTGAACCATCACCTGTATATGCTGCTCATAACCAGAGGTAAAATTTATCATTATGTTGTTAATAATTGTAGAGCAAGGGAAGTTCTTAACATCATTTGATGTATTTAGCTTTGTTCTAATTACCAATTTATTCTGAAGACTTGCAACAGGTGGGGAAAATGTACAAATCTTATGCTATGATCAAGCTTATTGCACCAATTTCAAGCATTAATATGAATATCACTGCTGCTGTTATATGTTTGTCTTTACATAATGTCAAAATTTGTAAAGACATTATTCCAAGGCTGAAGCAAATAAAGGTCTTCTCATAAGTTATTAAAATTTCATATCAAGAATAAAACTAAATGAAAAATGTAATTTAACACATTTAATGATCATTTATTTATTTTTGCCTTAGAGCTCAGAACCAGGCAGAAGAGAGGGCCAGACTTGTTGATGATTTTATCAACCGTAAGAAAGAGGCAGCTAATAACAAATACCGTGGTCAGGCACAAATGTTTGGACCTTCTCCATCTCCAGTACAAGGAAGACCACCATCTGGTAACCATAGTAACTGAATAAATTTAGAAAAAAGAAGTTTATTATGATCTAACTACATAGGGGTGGGGTATATATATATGGGGTATATATATATTTGCCCTTGTCCATCCATCCCACTTAAATTTTGTAGACTAACAAGACCATGGAATGCGGTGTCAGTTGTGTCACACATTTCTAGTACAAGCATTTATAAATTTTGAAGCATATTATAGAAAAGATTTTAAAGTTAACAATGCAGTGGAATTGATATTTACATTTTCATTGGAAGTGTTTAAAAGATGTAAACTCAGTGTAAGAGGTTTGTTTATTGATAAGATATATAATTACCCCTCAAAATTTTCATTATGTTAATTTCCCATAGTCCAATGGGAGTTATTCTTACTGTTGATTTAAGTGTACCAAGTGACTAATAATTGTGCACATTTACATAGGTAACACATGAAACATTACTTTTTCACAGTAAAAATCTGAAATCTAAAGCCTTGAGTAGCAGTATTTTCCTCGGGGATGATAATTTTACTCGCAAACCTATGTCTTATATATATGCTACTGTTGTTTTAATCAGGTAACCGAGGTGTTGTAAATGATCAACAACAGCAACAACAACAACAGAGACCATCGTCTGCTGCATCAGCTCGTAACCGTGAGGAACAGGAATATCTAGAGAAGTTAAAACAGATACGACAACAAAATTATAATGAACGGAGAAATATTCAGGCTAAAATATCATCAGACAAAAATCCTGACGCAGCAGCAGAGAGAAAGAAAAAGGCAGATGATTTAAAAGTATGTGATCTTTAAAACTATGAAAATCTTTAAACTATGATTATTAAAACTGTAGGACAAAACTATTGCTGAATATTCAAACAATGGCAGAAAACTAAATCTATGACAAAAAAAATAAACAAAATTATGGCAGACACTTTTAAGGTATTGAATGTAAAAGATTTTTATAATGAAAAAATGTTTTGTAAGAAGATTTGTTGAATAAGTGTTTCAATATTTCTAATTATTATGTTGTATAGAAACAAGCTGAAGATTGGGCCAAACAAAGAGCAAGTGTTTTGGAGAAAAAGAAACAAGAGCTATTTGAACAACAGCGTCAAATGAGAGAGGTAAGGATCGTGTTAATATTAATTAGGTCAATGTTTCACAGCATTGACCTGGGCTAAAATGTTATATAAAATGTTGAAGCTAAACTACTGTATTTGAATTATTATAAACATAAGTTAAAGTTTAACTCTTAATTGAATAAATTTGGTCCAACATTTTTCATTAGTGACATTTCTTTGTAAAGCACAGCTTTGTTCTTTATTGTAACAGGAGACCTACTTTTGCTTTTACCTGTTCTCTGTTTTTCTTTTCCTCAAATTTTCATACTTTCTGTGATTATTAAAGCAATACTGTTGTTATTTTTCAGATGAGACAGAGGTGAGTTTGTTTATTTTCTAATCTGTAAAAAGTTAAATCCAGGATAAATATTTTACATTTTAATGATATAGAACTTATTATTGTCCATTATTATACAGAAAGTAAATCAGTTCAGTTTTTGTTTTCTATGCACTATTTTATGCTTTGCTGATATTTGCTTTATTAGCCAGCTTGATAATTATTTTGATAATTTCTACAATACAGACCAGGAGTTCCTGTGAAACCAAGTCCAGCAGTGCCAATGACTGGAGCCATGAATGCTATAGGGGCCACACCAAGAGTTGTACCAGCTGCTAGCCCTTCTCCACCGTAAGTCTACACTGTTAGTTATAAAGATTTTTGACATGTTATATGGCCCCATATAAAAGGTTGTTTGGAAATATATAATGAGCAGCTATAATACAGCAAGCATTATGTTTTAGAGGAAAATTTGAGATTTCTTTATAAATTGACAGCATCGATGTATATAATACTATATAAACGTCAGTATTATCCAATGAAAAGCGACGTTACAAACGTGCAGTGTAATATATATGATAATGTGAACTACCTATCACTGTTGTGATGTAATACCTACTTAATGCTTGTATGGTAATTTCAAACTTTGTATTATGTTTTCAATTGAGAGTTAAGTACGCAGTGAATGTTTGGTTGAATGTTTAAAGTGTCAGATTAGTAATCTAAGGATTGCTGGCTGTTTGGGTACAATCCCTGTCAGGGGCAAACTGTTGTTTACACCAATTGCTTAGTACTGGTTGGTTCCAGGAACAAGTTAGAGAATGTGTCTCTTATAAGGTTACTAATTCATACACAATTAAACTTTAAAAAGTCTGTATAAAAGGATTACTAATTATTTTAATAGCTTATTTTTTTATATATTGTATTATTGAAGTACAAAAAAAAAGAATTGTCATGGGACTTTGCTTTGAAACAATGAAATTATCTTCAGTAAAACTCAACTTAAACAACAGCTGTAACAGAAACAAAAAGTAGAATAATAAAAAACAAACAATTTAAATGAATAGAATTTATGTAGCATCCCATATCAAAAAAAAAAACACAAAAAAAAAAAAAAAAAAGAGATGAAAACATTTAGATTGATTAACTGTAATATTTAGGATAATATCAATTTTCAAGACAGATAGCATTTCAATGTCATAATTTGAGCCGTGTCACGACAAAACCAACATAGTGTGTTTGCGACCAGCATGGATCCAGACCAGCCTGCGCATCTGCGCAGTCTGATCAGGATCCATGCTGTTCGCTTACAAACTCTATAACAAGTAGAGAAACTGATAGCGAACAACATGGATCCTGATCAGACTGCGTGGATGCGCAGGCTGGTCTGGATCCATGCTGGTCGCAAACCCATTATGTTGGTTTTGTCGTGACACGGCTCAAATTTTGTTATTACCTTTTCATAGAGCACCAGCAATGACCAATGTTTTGGGAGCTATAGGAGTCACACCAAAGGTTGTTCTAGAAGAGGAGGAGAGACCTAGGTTGGTTTATCATTCTTACAGAATTCAATTATATTGGCAATTAAATCATATTTGTATGTAAAACAAAAATTTAAAAAATCAAATAATATTCAGTAATTCAGTTATTTTTGTATAGCAATACTGTTTATTGAATGTTAACTAGTCATGTGTAGGTAACTTAATTTACCAATGTTCAAGTCACTTTCTAAAGTTATTTGATTTATTAAAGAGTTCTCGTGATGAATTCTTGATAAGTAACTCTGTCTTCTTAGGTACATTTTAAATGCATATTCCTGAAATAATGCATTGACTGGTTTCCATGGTTTAATATTAAAGCTTTGAAGATTTGCCCACCTTATTTTTATGTGACTTAAATTAAAACTAATATAAACATTTTCTCAAAGACATCTAGCAAATTATTATGATTCATGACACAGTTTTCATCATTTTTTTCAGAACACCAATGCAAAAACAGAAAGATGAAATTCTCAGAAAATTAAACCAGAAGGTAAAGCTTAAGCATTTAACAGAAGCATATGTTGAAAATATGTACATAAATCTATTTTGTGAAATATTGCACTTGTGTGAGATACATTTCTGTTATTCTCCCAATAGAATTTAAAAAGGCAGCATTGCAAAACAAGGAAGATAAGATTACCTTATACCTCTAGGTTTTTGCTAGGAATGATAATATTGCTTGTCTATCATTTCTTTTTTCAACAATAATTTATTGTTCATTTCCTTCAGCAGTCTGTCAATATTTCTTCAAATTCTCAAGAATATCAAGGCTTTTGTGGCCGAATTAGAAGTCAAAGAATATTTCTGTAAAGATATTGTGGGTTGTGTTTATGTAGGGTCCACCAGGGGACAAGGAGGCTAAAGAATCCGCCAGGTCTAAATGGGGAGCTGGTGGAGACATTAAACTGGCAGAGGCCCAGGAACCAGAGAGTTCAAGACCACAGTGGGGTGCTGCACCAAGTCTTGACCTCGGCCAACTTACACTAGAACAGACCGCCTCACAAATGGAAGGTAACTTTATAATGAAGTAATAATAAATATATATCCTTAGTGTCTGATTATCATCTTAAGATTGTTTTATGTTTGATGTGTTTTATCTAGATGTCTGAAACATTAATTCAGTTAGCTTTTGTCTACTTAATATAAATCATGTGCCAGTGACCTTGAAGAATATTGGTATTGGTAGTTATTAAGATGATAGTAGGTTTGAAAAATTACATTTAGTAGGTTTTTGTTTTATGGGTTGTCCTTTCTATGACAATAACTATAAAAGTAAATGGAGCTCTACAAGGATAGATGATAGTGCTAAATAAAATGTATGTTTTACAGTAACTAGCGCAAGAGATAAAGTGATTGTAAATCCAGAATCTGCAAGGAGACAGTGGGGTCGACCTGGTGAAACTGTCATTAATGCATTACAGGGTGTACCTCTAGCTGAACAAACAATGGCTAGTGATAAATCAGGTATAACTTATTGTAGTTTTGTTAGTCTGTATAATAGATATATTGAAGATAAACAAAGTAGAGCATTAGCTTACATTATTTAAAATGTGAGAAAGAATTAAGACATTTTATCATTTCAACTTTTTCATGTATTCACAGTTTTCTTTCTTTTATTCCAAAATGATTCTAAATTGATTTTATTTAGATCCTCTAATGTTTTTGTTACTGCATGACCTTATTTAAGCACAAAGATATGTCTGATTCTAATTTTTCTCTTCAATTTTAAAAAGTTTTTTGAGGGTGGGATTTTCTTCTTTACATGTGAATAGCACAGCATTTGGAAAAGCATCTTAATTTGTTATGCTGTAAACTTAAGGGATGTCAGCAAAGTTTATAATGGGTTTATAACGGACAGCAGAAGTTTACTAGGGGAGATTCAAAATTAATGCAATTTCACAAACAAAAATTAGAAATGTTTATACTTTGTTAACGCCTTACCACCTTAAAAATCAAAGTAAAAGTATCATCTATTATGCATACCAATAGAGTTAAGCAATTTAAAACAGGCTTATAATTATTATACTGTAATGGACTTTTGTAAATATTTCTGGATGTGTAATGAAACTTGCTTTTATATTAAAGCTAAAACTAATAGGGAAAATAATCTGTAAATTTTGTGATATTCTCAAAACTTATAAAATATCATACAGCGAGGTAACTCGAACGATTTCTTAGAAGGCATCAGGTCAAAGAGTGGCTAAAAAAAGGTTATTGTCGATAAATGTTCTTAGGAAAAATCAAAGAATAAATTGAACATGTATGATTCACAAGACACAAACTAGCTCCTTGCAAAGTTGCTTCAGCACACCCTTGACACTGGTTACTTTTATTTTGAAGAAAAAAAACAAACTGAAATTAAACTGAAAGTAAAATTGGAAACAGATATATTTACTGCTGATGTATGTAAATCGTCTTTGTACTTTTCACCTGTCTTCTTCATAAAACAAAGCATGTACACTTTTTGTAATGATAATTTTTACAGAGGGAGGGGCAAGTTCAGCATCATCTACAGGTGAACATCCAGCCACACCGGCTGTAGGTGCGACTATCACTATATCTAAATCTCCTGTTAGGAAAGGAACCATCACTATTCGCACTGCTGATCAAAACAAAGCAGGTATTCATAATGGCATGGATTGTTGTGTCATCATATACATGTGTTTTACCTGTTTTCCCATAGATTCTGAAAAAAAAATCAATATTATTTTTAATTTTATTTGTTATATAAAATTAGTAACCTCATTAGATAAATGAAAAGTGAATAAAAAAAACAAAGATCAAATCAAAAACAACTTTGGATGTAAAAGTGGATTGGTCTATAATTGAAGGACTGTAATACAATAAGTAATTATGTTGATAGTATATAGTATCAGACACAACAGCAAACCATGAAAGAATTATATATGAATGATGTGTGAAATACATGATCTGAAATTACATATATTTATATAACTTATGTTTAAATGTTCATCTAGAACTTTGTCAGGATTTTTTTTCAAACAATATTTTATAAGAATAATCATATGATACGTTTCTAATGTTTTCATAAATATTTGATGGAAAATGTGCCTATTGTAAACCAATCCATTTTAAAAACTTAACAGATGTAATTTTGTGTCCCAAAATAGCCTAAAAACAAGTTTTGTACTTGATACTTGCAATATTAAATGTGATGCTGGTACAGTAAAGACTGTCTTAGCGACCCCCTGTATATAGCGACGTTCTGTCTATAGTGACCATAGTTAGGTGCGCCGAACAGTATTTACTATATAAATGGTCTGTATGTAGCGACTCCCTGTCTAGTCCGTACAACGACCATGATTTAGTCACCCGTTACGGTATTTGAGCCGTGAACAGCGACTTTTGCAAGGGGAGCATGACTTGAACTATGTGACGTCTTTGGCGAAGAAGTCGCCTTCGGATCAGCGACTTTGCTTCAGTCGCCCGATTTTTATAATTTTCCGTCATACTTATTTACGCCGCTAGGTCTGTTAATAATTTGTTTACCTCTCAATTACAACCAATTACCGTTAATCCGCTAATTAAGAACGCGTGTCAACATCAACAAAGTTCAATACACGCCGCAAGGCAAGAGTTCACTATGTTTATCTTTCTCATTACGTATTCATGATTGACGAATCAGAACGCGCGTTGTATCTACGGCAGTTTGCATTGACCAATCGGCGACACGCTAATACACTGTGGCTGTTTGTTGACAATTACACAATATGGCGACAAATTCAATCAATTTTCGCCGATAAAATGATTAAAAACACATGCATATACATAATTGCTGCGGTGTTTTGGCGAGTAAAGATAAACAATGCCAAACGTCTTAAAGGCGTGGTTATGTTTGAAACCTCGATTGTTAATTTTTTTTCGGAGCACTTATCTAGAAATTATTTGGAGATTTGTATCTAATGTTTTATTAATACATTGAACTCCGTAAAGTAAACAGGTTGATTATACAAAATTAAATGTCTCTACAGTAACATCTCATTAGTAAAATTGAAATTAAACATTTTTTTACAAACAGATTTATCAATATAAATTACATTTTAATGAATATGTAACTTTTAGATACTAATGTTATGGTGTAGTTTATAATCTTAACCAATTATACATGCAATTTTAACTTAAACCCTTAGTATGGTACTATCCTGCTTTTCAACAAAATATTGGTATGATATGTTCATATATCCGAATTATATAGAGACTGTCCACAGTGACTCCCTGTCTATAATGACCTTTTTTCTTTTCTCCCATCGAAGGTCACTGTATACAGTCTTTACTGTAGCTTTTACTTAAAGCTTTTCTTGAATAAATTCAAAAAAAAAAAAGAAGCAAAATTGAGATACATCAAGTAATAACTTGTTCACATAAAATTAATAAAGCAGTATCAGGTGTTATGTACATAACCTTTATGTATTTTTTGACTTTACAAACTTTAAGTTATATTTATATTAACAGCATATTGATAATTGATTTCAACAGGGGTTGCCATTTATACAACCAAGTCCATCAATTTGGCTTATTTAAGCTAATTCTGTATTTTAAATGGAAAGAAAATGCCATGTGTCAAATATATTTTAATAGATTATACACTGTTTTGGGACAACCTTTGTGCATGTCACTGTCACAATGAATGTATTTTAATTTTGTTTAGTTAATCCTGCTTCATAGCTTTTTCCTTGGGAAATATTTTAGAATAATTTTTATTTATTTATTTTTATTTTTATATATAGTCACCCTTTACTTTTATATCTATATTATATATGTTTGAGCTAGCTATAAGGATAATCCAAAATCTGGGTTGCTTTGATGAAACCAAGAAATGAGCCGTGTCACGACAAAACCAACATAATGGGTTTGCGACCAGCATGGATCCAGACCAGCGTGCGCATCCCTGCAGTCTGATCAGGATCCATGCTGTTCGCTTACAAACCCTATAACAAGTAGAGAAACTGATAGCGAACAGCATGGATCCTGATCAGACTGCCCAGATGCGCAGGCTGGTTTGGATCCATGCTGGTCGCAAACCCATTATGATGGTTTTGTCGTGACACAGCTCAAATAGTTTTGTTTTCAAGTTTTGAATGAAAACACATTATTTGAGTGTGCATGCTTCTTATATACACATAAAGAGTGGACAGATATTTATATACATTAGAATTGATTTGGACTATCCTTCAATATGGTCTGTTGCATGCTAGTTTTTCCCTGTTTTGGCAATTAGTTTTGTACTATTCATGTTGTCTTCAGTTGCTGAGAGCAAAAATCAAAACACTCCTCCATTGTCACCAACTGAAGCAGCCCCTTCAGATCCTTCAACTATCCCAGAATCCAAAAGATCAGAAAGCTCTTCACCAGTGAAGGGAAAATCTTCACCAAGAGCATCTCCTGTCAAACAAATTGAATCTCCTGCAAAGGAGGTTATTAATGACTCTTTGTCTAATAAACAATCAGAATCTGAGCCATCAGATACCAAGAATGCTTTGGAAGACCAAGTGGAAACCCCACAGGAAGAGATCAGCAAATCAGTGAATGCAGTTCAACAGAAGCCACCCCTACCAGAGAGAAAACCACCAATCGCAGAGAAACCATTAGTATTTCCTAAACCAGTATTGTTACAAAAACCTGATAAACCTATGCAATTTGGTATGTTGTGCTGCACAATCTTTAGTTTGAATGCTTTACTTCTTTTTCTGTTTTTTTGTTCCTTTTATTTGTATTCTGTTGATTTTATTTTTCCATTTAGATAGTTTTCCAGTATAAACTTTCAGTTGCACCTCCATGCTTTTGAATTCATTACTTTAAAAAACTATAGCTTGCAATATAAGGGATTTAAAAAAAAAAATGCAAATGTTAAGAATTAAATTTTATTGGGAATACATATTTATTAATGGATTGAATGTTTCTTGTTAAAATTGAAACAGTATTCATACGTAGTGCCTGTTAAAAGTTTTAATAAGGGAAGTCACCTTTCAAAATAATATCTTTTTGTTTTCTTGTATTGATAATAAAATACATCCAGATTTCTAAAATAGTTTTTCATTTATAAAAAGTACTTCATCGAAGCTGAGGTAATTTAATTATTTCCTAATTGTTAACAAACAGTTAAAAAAAAAATATTTTAGAGACTGTTCCTTTATCATTCATTTAGGATTTAGCTCAAATTTTTACCATCACAGTTATCATTATATTAAATGGAGTATTGTTCATAATACTTATACAATAACTTACCAAGTGCTGTTTAAAACAAAACTTTCCCCAATTTTACCTTATTGAACATTTTTACTGTTATTGTTTCTATAGGTCAAGGTGTGCCAGTGTCAGTTAAGAGTGAGGGTGCAGGGTCATTGTTCGAGAAGGTTGAGTTAGAGGATGATAATGAAGAAAGTAAACAGAAAACTACAAATAAAGAAAAAGGAGAAGACAATGTTGTCATCACAGAATATCCAGAAAAGTATATTTGATTGCATAACAAGTTTTAGATAATTTTCTGTGATAATATGTGTTACAAATTTGTTATAGAGTTTATTTTTTAAGTGCTTTTTAAAAGCACTATTACAATAATAATTGTGTACACTATATAATACCGTTTCTTCAAGTTGTCACAATATATTTATCCTAAGCATTAACAGAATTGAAAGAAAGTATCTCCATATACATGTATGTTTTCCTGCCAAAAAAATGTTTAGTCAATAATTATTTTCCACAGATTTTATTCTTGACATTCAAAAGATATTGTAATGCTGTCCCCATTTACCATTTTCAACTTAATTTCTTTTAACCTGTCAATAATATTTGATCTTGCTTTACTTCTATCTAACATGACTATAATCATGTCTTTACAGTGAGAAACGAAAGACAGGTCTTGCTCTGGGTATCACTATGGGAAGTTTTGATATTGGTCATCGAGAGTTATTAAGGACCTGCTCTGAACCAGATCTTGCCAGTTTATTTAGAACAATGAATGCAGAAACTCCACAAGTTAGAGTTAAGAGTTTAGATGATATGTCAACTGTTAATGAGGAGGTAGGTGTGAAAAATTCCCTTGCTTTGATTTTGTTTTGGAAAACGGGAAAAAATAATGACTGTGAAACAATTTTTTACTTAGAAAGGACATGAAAAGGTAAAAATGCTCAAGAAAAACATGACATCTACATAAGCTATGTTTTAGTCATGAGGATTTATAAAGAGTTTACTGTTAACCGGCTTTCATAGAGGATATTGAATGAGTGTAAGTTTAATACTGAATATATTGAACCAGCTGAATAAAATTATATTATGCGACCCCCTGGCAAGCATAATATTATTTTATGCACCAAGTTCAATAAATTTAGTAATGAACTTACACAAATTTAATATTATATTTATCACATACCAAAAATAAAGACTGTTTGAAATGATAAAGAAACATTTTTCATTGATGCGCCTATAGAATAACGCTAACATTTAGCTTGTCTTATTGCTATGTTTTTATAACGCAAATGACGTCACGTCAAAATGTATGCACGGCTGTGCAATATGATTTTTATGGAGTCCCAAAAGAGGCACGGGTATGTGATAAATTATTTTACTGAATTTAGGTTCAAAGCTTCAGACAATCAAATTGGTATTACCTTAACATTATAGCTACCACTGGCCTTATTTCAACTCAGACAGCTACTTAAAGTTCTTATAGTTACGATGATAAGGGGAACAATTGAGAAAATAATAGCCATTGTTCTGTGCTTGAATGAATTTGTAATAATCTGCTGTTTTCTTAGGATGATTATGATATGGAAGATGTATGCAGTAGCATGGAGAAGGCAGTTGAAAAAGCTGATGGTGATGATGATGATACTGAAGACAAAGAAGATGATGGTGAAGCACAGGAAGGTGAAAAGGATGATGACAAACCTAAGGATGAGGACGAAGAGGAAAATTTTGATGAAGAAGAGTAAGTTTTAATTATTTTTAGAAATATACCATTTTTTAGCCCACCAAAGCTTTTTTTATGCCACCGCAGCATCTGCGATGCGGTGGCATATAGCGATTCACCTGTGTGTGTGTGTGTTTGTTTGTTTGTGTGTTATATAGATTATATAGTGAACTTAAAAAATCTTCTTGTGAAAAACCACTAGTCCAATTCCAACCAAACTTGGCAGGATTGATCCTTGGGTGAAGGGCTTCCAAAGTTGTTCAAAGAATTTCATTCCATGCAGAAATCTGGTTGCCATGGCAACCAAAAGGAATTATAAGAATAAATTTAAAAAATCTTCTTGTAAAGACCCAAAAGGCCTAGAGCTTAGATATTTTGCATAAGGCATTGTCTGGTAGACCTCTACCAAGATTGTTCAAATTATAGCCCTGGGGTCAAAATCAGCCCGCCCCGGGGGTCATTGATTTTCACTATATGTACATATAGTAAAAACTTAAAATACCTTCTTGTAAAGACCAAAAAGGCCTAGAGCTAAGATATTTTGCAAAAGGCATTGTGAGGTAGACCTCTACCAAGATTGTTCAAATTATAGCCCTGGGGTCAAAATCGGCCCCGCCCCGGGGGTCATTGTTTTTCACTATATGTACATATAGTAAAAACTTAAAATACCTTCTTTTAAGACCCAAAAGGCCTAGAGCTTAGATATTTTGCATAAGGCATTGTCTGAAAGACCCTTACCAAGATTGTTCAAATTATAGCCCTAGGGTCAAAATCGGCCCTGCCCCGGGGGTCATTGATTTTCACTATATGTACATATAGTAAAAACTTTAAATACCTTCTTGTAAAGACCCAAAAGGTCTAGAGCTTAGATATTTTGCATAAGGCATTGTGAGGTAGACCTCTACCCAGATTGTTCAAATTATAGCCCTGGGGTCAAAATCGGCCCTGCCCCGGGGGTCATTGGTTTTCCTTATATGTATACAGTAAAAACTTACAGTAAAAACTTTAAAAAAATTTCTTCTAGCAATTAGCAAATGCTAGAGGTTAGATATTTTGCATGAAACATTGTGTAGTGAACCTCTAGCAAGATTGTTCAAATTATAGCCCTGGGGTCAAAATTGCCCCCGCCCCGAGGGTCATTGATTTTCAATATATACATATAGTAAAAAATCAAAAAAAATCTTATTGTCTGATGGTACAAGGCTTCAAAAACTTAAAATACCTTCTTGTAAAGACCCAAAAGGCCTAGAGCTTAGGTATTAATGCGGTGGCATAGCATTTTTCTCAAATGCAATCTTGTTTGTTAGTTATTTTTATTTTTACCTTGCTGAAAGTGTATAATGAACTTGCCTTGCTTTGAAGTTGGAACAGTTGATCTCTGATTTCAGGGATATCAGTGTAAGTATCCTAAATTTTAGAAGCCAGTAGTATAAATCTCGTCAAACCGTGTGTAAGTATAAGACTTATAGTCTGGCTCTTTACTGATGAAATAGATTTGTTATATTAATGCCACAAGCATTCAAAGGGTTAAAGTATATGCTTTTGTGATGGATATCAGTCAATTATTGCTTCAGATAGGTTTGTCACATGTATTGCTGATAAATTATATACCATTTCAGATGAGTATTTTTAGTTAAAAGTTGGGAGTATATAGCATATGGATTTATATCTCAGTGCTTGATCTTTTAAGACACCATTCTGGAAACAATAAATAAAAACCTCTTGCACAAAGTCTATCAATGTCCGACATTTCAAGCGGTTAAACCTCTCTTTCTGCTTCTTTTTGATTTACATATTAATCTTCTTTTTCCTTAACATTCAATTCAGTGTAATGAATCTTTTTTTGTCCAAAGGATTGTTTAAAGGTTCCTGTCATAGCACAAAAGGAACAAAGTCTGTCCAAAATGATAATTAATGAATTTATGTTTAATGCATTTACTATAATTTTATGGATTTTAATACATTTTACAATGGTAAGGAAAATACTAATGGTATGTTTTAATGTCTTAACTTCCAGAGATGAGGACCTAGCTGACTTGATGAGTGTCAGGGAAACTATGCAAAGTCTTCTGATAGAAGATTGTAAGTTTGTTTCTGTTGTCATTTTGCTTTTGAAATTAAAATAGAAAATATTCTGAAGTGTGTCTTTAATAGTTCATCTTTTAATGATAGTTGATTTTATGAATCACAATAGACACATTAAAGTGACCTATTTTCTCAATTTTGATGGTGATGTATTTTCAGATTTAGCCTCTGTACTCTGCCATTGTTACAATATCTAAAAGTTGATTCATATTATATATCAGGTAACTCACCGTAAGAAAATTATGGCGAGGGCAATTTTGTTCTATAGATAATACATGTATGTAAAATCAAATAAATGCATATTATACATACTTCATAGGGATATAATTATATTATGGTCATTTTTCAAATACTAGTAAGCATTATTTCCTTAAAGTTTTTTGTTTTATTTAATCACTTGTAGCTGAAGAAGAGGTCAAGAAGTCACCAGTAAAGTTCAGTTTGTCAAGTGACAGAGAGAGTCGTGGTGATACCAATGATGGTGATGTAGATGATACAGAAGATGATGTTATGGATGGGAAGTCTGGGGATGATGATGAAGAGGGAGATGATGGCGAGCATGGATCCGGGGATGAAGATGATGAGGATGAATCTAATAAAGAGGAAGATGATGTTGATGGTGATAATCAGGGTAAGCTTGCTGTTATTATATGATTTTTATTGCTACTTCGGATTTATGCAATATTGGTGTAGCATAGGTCAAAAGGTTAATTAATTATATCAGTAAAATTTTGAACATCTTGGCTTTTCATAATTCAGTTACATTATAGCAAAATTATTTGCAGCTTGCCTCTGATGGTTCATTTCATAAATTTTTTGAAAAGTTATGAAATACATTTTTATATACATAAAATAATGAATGAGATTTTATAGAAATCAGACATTTTTGATCTGCCACTGAAACTTGGAAGTTAACATTTCTTTATGGATTATGATTTCATTGCAAAATAATATATATAAAAAAAACAAACAAAAATTAACAATGAGTTCACTAACATTTGTTTCACGTATAGAAGATGAAGACTCGGATGTACGTCGTTCTCATTCTGTTGATAATGAGAACCCACAAACACCAGATGAGAGTGCTGATGATATAATGTCTGAAATCCTAGGAGAAGATGGTAGGTACAAACATTGTCATGCATGCAGACATTTTTTACCCCATTTTAATGATAGAACTGAAAAAAATCTTATTTATGAATCTCTTGCCTTTGATTCGAAGGAAAACACTTGTTTATATTAAAAGAAAGACAATGAATATATCGAAACTGTTACAGAATACAGATTACATTGATTGTTTGCTTGATTAAGTTATTCTTGTTTAATATTACATCACATACCTGTGTCAACTGAGAATATAATTTGAAGTGACATCATTTGCGTTACAAAAGCATAGCGTTAAGAGGTGCTGAATGTTAGCATTACACTTTAAGCACATCAATGAAAAAGTGATTTTTTTTACCGTTAACAGGTTTCATTTTATTTTGGATATTTATTAACAGGTTTCATTTTATTTTGGATATTTATTAACAGTTTTCATTTTATTTTGGATATTTATTAACAGTTTTCATTTTATTTTGGATATATGATATATAAAATGTTTTATTCGTTTAGCTTCATTACTAAATTTATTGAACTCATTGAATAAAATAATATTTTGCTTGTCAGGGGCTCACCTAATATAATTTCATTCAACTTGTTCTATAAATTCAGTATATGACCTATACTTATTCAATATCCTTTATATATTTTGTTGGGATATTACAGATGAGGACTCTGATAGTGAGTTTAATGATGGTGAGGATGTTGGAGATTTTGATCTGTTCGGTAGACTGGAAGAATCTCGTGCACAGCTCGAGGAAGCACTTGGTGCCGATAAACTGATCCAAGTTTATAAAACTGTTCAGGTATATCTATAGTACCACTGCTCTCTTGATAATGATAATTTTATTATTAATTAATGATACTGAAAAGTGATCATATTGTTACACATTGTTTGTATTATATTATTTGTATTATTTGTAAACAAATTGTGGCATAAAGGATCTGTGATCTTTATAAGTTTCATCACATACTAGGCTTAATAATAAAATTATGCTTCTCAATATTTATGCCTAAAGGCCCATTATGCCTCAGAAACGCTACCGATTTTATTACTGAAAAACTTTTAATTTTTGATATCTTGTGTTACACCCATTTGCCATATACATTGCATGGACTATCTTTTGCAACTATAGGTTTGTTGAAAATCAGTATATGGTAGTCAAAATACTACTTTGTTAAAATTTTGCTATCTTTATGACAAATTACTGCATATTCAGTGATACTTTCTTCAGTTAGTTAACATCTAACATGTTTTTTTAAAAATATATTATTCAGACACATCTTTGACAATTTTTAAAGAATTAAAAAAAAATTTATGCCTGAGGCATGTGCCTTTAATATCTTTCTATCAATTATATATATACCCTGTTATTTGCATTTACAACTTATGAAATTATTTTAAGCAAACCATCTCTGCTACAGTGTACACAAACAATTGTATGTATGGTTTTATCTTCAGGCATTACAGGAAGATGAGGATGAGAACATGGAGGAAGGAGCAAGAATTGCCCAGGATCTTCTCGGGGAGGAAAAGGTGCATTTGTACCCGAAAATATTCCAACTTGTCATGGCTGATGCTGCTTTTACTGATGGTGAGTAAATGATATGTGAAGTCATACAGCTAGTCTTTACACCTGTAATTGTACATTAAAGTGAAATAATTTCAACTAAGATGGAATTATCATTGAAAGTCTTCAAAGTCTTCTGATGCTGTAATGAGGGATAAATAATTAAATAGATAAATGAATAAACAAATCATATAATTTATAGAAGAATGGAAAATTGCTCAAATATTGACACAGTATTTACATCTAGGTTTTTTGTCTAAATACATTTTATCTTTTCTGTGTATGAAATGATAAATAGTGATAATGAATAGTGCTTTCACACTAGAAAAAATGAGTCTTAATTGAAGATCTACTTATTTGATAACCATGTTCACTTACCTTTTATTGGAACTTCTTAGTTATATTTTGTCCATTAAATCTGTTTTCCTCTGTCTTTTATCTCAATGTACATGTATATGGTATTTGCCTAAGCATTGAAAGAACTGCTAAGAAAATGGTCATAATTCCTATTGATGTTTGATAGTATTTACATGTATATGATATGGAATATCAACCTCAGTTTTCTGTATTACGAGAGATCAGATTTTACTTATCAACTTTGATTGTTTTACTTAGGTCATGAGCTTTATGTTGGTTGTTTTTATACTTTGAAAAGAGTGTTCATGTTATTCTTAACTATGTGTCAAATATGTTTGTTTCATGTTACTTTTATCTGATCATTATGGTTGTTAAAGAATATATTCAAAATACACTGGAACTCTTCTACTTAATTATGCATCAAGATAACACTTACACAAGATTAAATGCAACTTCATATCACTTTTGTGATCGCTTTTCGTCCGGCGTCCGTCCGTCCGGCGTCCGTAAACTTTTACTTTAAATGACATCTCCTCATAAACCACTCAGCCAATTTCATCCAAACTTCACAGGGATGTTCCTTTGGTGGTCACCTTTGAAAATTGTTCAAAGAATTTAATTCCATGCAGAACTCTGGTTGCCATGGCAACCAAAAGAAAAAACTTTAAATATCTTCTTCTAAAAAACCCAAAGAGCTAGAGCTTAGATATTTCGCATGAAACATCTTCTAGTGAGTGTCTACCAAGTTTGTTCAAATAAAAGCCCTGGGGTCAAAATTGGCCCCGCCCCAGGGGGTCATTGATTTTCCCTCTATGCATATAGTAAAAACTTAAAAAAATCTTCTTTTAAAGAACCCAAAGAGCAAGAGCTAAGATATTTAGCATGAAACATCTTCTGATGGGTGTCTACCAAGTTTGTTCAAATGAAAGCCCTGGGGTCAAAATTGGCCCTGCCCCAGGGGGTCATTGATTTTCCTTATATGTGTATGGCAAAAACTTAAAAAATCTTCTTTGAAAAAAAAAACAAATAGCTATAGTTTAGATACTAAGCACGAAACATCTTCTAGTGAGTGTCTACCAAGTTTGTTCAAATAAAAGCCCTGGGGTCAAAATTGGCCCCGCCCCGGGGGACATTCATTTTCCTTATATGTGTATAACAAAAACTTAAAAAATCTTCTTTGAAAAAACTCAAATAGCTAGAGTTAAGATATTAAGCACGAAGCATCTTCTAGTGAGTGTCTACAAAGTTTGTTCAAATAAAAGCCCTGGGGTCAAAATTGGCCCCGCCCCGGGGGTAAATTGATTTTCCTTATATGTGTATAGCAAAAACTTAAAAATTCTTTGAAAAAACCTGAATAGCTAGAGTTTAGATATTAAGCACGAAGCATCTTTTAGTGAGTGTCTACAAAGTTAGTTCAAATAAAAGCCCTGGGGTCAAAATTGGCCCCGCCCCGGGGGACATTGATTTTCCTTAAATGTGTATAGCAAAAACTTAAAAATCTTCTTTGAAAAAACCCGAATAGCTAGAGTTTAGATATTAAGCAGGAAACATTTTTCTAGTAAGTGTCTACAAAGATTATTCAAATAAAAGCCCTTGGGTCAAAACTGGCCCTACCCCAGGTGTGTCACTGTTTTTAACTATAAGTGTAAAGAAATAACTTGACCAGCTAGACCTTAGATGTTTAGCATGAAACATCTTCTAATGGGTGTCTACCAAGTTTGTTCAAATAAAAGCCCTGGGGTTTAAACTGGCCTCGCTTCAGGGGCCTATATACAGGTGAGTGACTTCAGGGCCATCATGGCCCTCTTGTTTAATAATTCTAACTTCACATGTGTCCTTTGGATTATTATTGCAGGTTATAATTTTAAGACTTTTAATTGTAGCATGGATTTTGACTGAGTTATATCCCTGTCTGAAGTTTAGGATATGCCTTGTTAAGGATTTTTGTGCAGTCTTATCTTTTGATCTAGGGGTGTCCATGGCAGAGTGGTTAAAATAATTGACTTCAAACCACTTGCCTCACATGACCTTGGTTCAAATCCTGCCAGAGACTTTTAAGTCTTTAATGTAAGGAAGCTATCCAGCTAGCTAATTGAACTTAAATGGTTCTACTTAAGATTATAGTTCAAACTTCACGTATCTCAATTGAATCATAATTATTAATTTGCAGGTCACTATCCAATAACCATAACTTTTGCATGTGATTTTACTGACCTGTGTCCATTTGTGAAGTTAAAAAAAAGTCTTGGTTATAATTTTTTGCATACAAGATCTATGTTTTCAACCGCGAAAGATTTTTATTTGAACTTTCACACTTTTCTTAGATCACATAGGGCTATTGTCCGAGAATGTTATTACAGTATGGTGGTTTATTGTGACAACAAGGCTGTAGTGTGAAATAACCTTTAATTGGCTAAGGAAGTTAAAAAGGTTTTTTTTCCAATGAGGACTTTCGGCATGTTCCTACTAAAATATGCTATGTTACATGATGTAATAAGTCATCTTATAATTATATATTATCAGAATGATTTAATTCTTCACCAGATCAATCTAAACAGACTAGATAGCTGACCTCTTTTGTTCTATAAATGTAAGAAAGATTTTTAGTATGTAATAATACATGTACTATACTATTTTGTACTATTGCATATCAGATTCTGTCATTTTTTGAACCTTTGTAAAACTTATCTAGGTAAATATTTAGGTAAGAAAGTACATGTTTGGTTGGCTCGTAAGTTACAGACAGACTGTTGTTGTTTCTTTCACATATCACCGGGTGTCTTGAGTGTCAGCTTTGAAATTAATGTGTTGCACTTCTCAAAATTGTCATTCATCATTTTCATTTCAATATATATATGACACTGTGAAATAACTGGGTATTTGTGAAATACAAAGTAACTCCTTTGGTTTCATGAAATTTTTGATCTTTGACAAAATTATTATCTTTTTTATTTACTTCTTAATTACCTTATGGTCTTTCTTTAGCTCATCTGTTTCGAAGAAAAGGTTTAGCTATTATGATTGCTGCAGCGTTGTTGTGCAAAAACTTTAATGTATCCCATTACTCAAACAATTTTGGAAGTATCAATATAGAAATTAGAATACTTGCTGATCATGACAAGAGGCAGTTATAAAACAAGGGGCATTAATTCTGAAAGCTGTAATTTTGAAGTTATGCCAATTTTTACAGACAAGCGTTAACACGGCATGTGGTACACTCTTTTTAAGTCTCATTCCACTTTGATTTAATAGGAACTACATTGTATCTTTGAAGGAGCCTCAATCAGCTCAAATGTGTACAATCATAACATGACAAAAACTAACATAGTTAAACAGGTGCATTTGAAATGGAAATTTGTGCACAAGGTATACTTAGAATTAAATTGAAAACCAATTTTTGGTTTGACTGAAAGAATTTAAGTGCTTTTCAATTTTGGGTTGCTGGGTAAATATGTTATTCTTGAAAGACGGAGTAAGAAAATATCTAAATTTTTGCATTTTTTTTACAGTTTTTAGTCCAAAACCTTTAAATGGTATATAAAAATATGACCAGTTTAATCACATCACAAAACCTCAATGAAGTCTCTTTTTTTAACTTTCAGGAATAAGCTAAAAAAAAGACCAGGATAAAACATAGACAATGTCTAATTCATATTCTAAATCTATGTGTATTTTTCTAAAGGTTAAATTATATTTGATAGTAAAGTTGGAACTTTAAATATTTCTTTATGACTTTTATTTCAATATCATCATCACTTACTCTGTAAAATTAGAAATTCCTATAATACTGAACATCAACCGTTGATGACTTAATAATTCTCAGATAATTATTTCTTGTGCCTCAGAAAACTGCTCTGTTTGTATTGGTCGAAGAACTTATCAAGTCTTGGACTAAAGTAATCAGATATTTCACGGGATTTTGGGTTTTCACGATTTATTCATTTCCGTTGCTGTGTTCATGTCCTCCCAAGCAATTAATAGTCTTGTATCTATCTTGAAGAGTATTATCTAGTGAATGACCATCTTAATGAAGTCAATACATGTCACGTTTATACCTTATATATGGAAATATGTTAGTTACTTCGAAGTAACCAGTTGATTTTATGATATGTACTTTTACCAGAAATACATCTTTGAAATTGTGTGTATTTTATTGAAACAGCCTCATATGTTGTATGTTTAAAGTAAACTTTTACATGTATAATATTATATAGAAATGCAAACCAGAAACATTTTTTTTAATTGCAATTTGAAATTGAAGCATCATTTTGTATTGAAGTGTATCATTATATACATGTATGACAATAAGTTATTTAGATTTAATTATATTTTCAATTAAAAATAGATTAAACATATAGTTTATATAGAATTTATTTTAGTTTGATTGTGTGGGGAGCTATAAGCTTATTGAAACACTCTTTAATACGTTCCTGGAACCAACCAGTAGTAAGCAATGTAGTGTCTTGCTCAAGGAAACAAAAGCTTGCCTTTGACAGGGTTTGAACCTAGGTGGTCAACAATTCTGAGATTTCTAATCCGACGTGTTAACCACTCGGCCACGACACCATACATTTAATATTCTCTTGTTAATTTGATTAGAAAATACATGTAATAAAAATAAAAATCATATACTTAATATTTCTTGTTAAATGACTTTTTTAATATTTTTTGTTGGTGTTTGAAATTTTTGGAGATTCTAATAACTATAATAGTAATTCCCAAAATATGATATGTCAAAAATGAAAAGAAATTATTACCCAGTATGTAAATGATGCCAGTATGAGGTTGTCTATGTTAACTGTTCTACCAGACAGTAAAATTGTGATAATTATACCAGCAGTCATTATTCATCATCAGTTAGATTGGTCATTGTTTACTTCACAGTAGGGTTGAATCAGTGTAATTGATAATTCCATCAATTATTACTACCTAATTAGTATATCAGTTGGAGTCCTTCCGTCATTATCATAATTCATAGTCTCTTTTAATAGGACTAGGTCGTTCCTTATAATCAGCCTCCAGAGACGGTGGTCTTACCTCAATTAAATAATTGTCTCATAGGAACACATTTAATTGAATTATTGTGGCTTATTTCCTAGGCAAGTTCTCCTTAGTGTGTTATTCATCCAATATCATTTCACATTTGTCATATTTTCTTGCAGACAGTGCCTTTGATTTTGATGAATTAGATGAATTAGATTCACCATTCACAAGTAACTATATGTGTATATCAATAGAGTAAATGGCTAGCATCTCCGCATGATCTGTCTCATATTGTGAATTTCCATTTTTATTCTATTTACCAATTAACTGCATAAGTGATATTGAACAATAGAACATTAACATAATTGTGAGGAATTAGGAAGGATGTGGTGTTTGAAGATTCAATTGTTGTTGTATTATGTTGTTTATGTTTGGTATGTGTATTTAGATTAGAGAAATAATCTGTGTCTGAATGGCTAACAACATGATGGAATTTTTAAGCTAATTCTTGTATGTTTGGTATGTTGTACATGTTGATACCATAGGAGCTTATTCTCTTATATTTGTGTTTTTATATAAAATCATGAAGATCTTGTATAAACTCATATAAACTTCACCCATCTCCCATCATAATAAGACAAGGATTAAACACAATAAAAACAAATATTGCACACATTATCACCTTAGTGCAATAATTGGTTAACTCCTATTAAATTTAGAAGGACTTAACCTGTTTCTGCACTTAGGTGACAAATGGAATGTCATGCAGTTAATTTAAGCCATTTGTGAAGAGATGGCTGGAAAAGGAATTTTCACTTTCATTTGTATGCTTACATGAATGGTATATCAAATTATGATGTAGATAAATAAGCCTGTTTCTTGTGTAATTATAGCCCCCCCTCTTGAAGAAGTACAGTGTGGTATATTGCTTTGCACTGCATCAGACTTTTCCTTACATCCGTAAAGCACATCCTGTCTGACCAATAAGAAGAGAAAAAAGACTTGTTTTGTAGGTTGGCGGATAGATCAGACCTCAATTGATTTTGAGGTCAAAGATTGCAATCACCATGACCTTGACCATGAAGTTTGTCTGGCCCATAATAATGGAATGTATATGCATTGAGCCCTAATATAAGCAAATTTTAAGGTTTTCTTGTCAAACATAATGGTCACAGTGACTTTAATAACGAAAAAGAAATAGTTTCTTATCAAAAGTTTTTTTACTTAAAGAATTTATAAAACCTATGTATTACATATTACATTAACATATGTTATAGCCACCAGTGTATTGCAGGTTAACAGTCCTGATCTTTAGTAAGTTTACAAATAACAAGTCAAGTGTGTAACATAACTTATTGTTTCCAATTATTGGGGGTGGGGTGCATATATTTTCTCTTCATGAAACAAGGTTTGCATGAGCTTATATCCATATTAACTAAACCAGCTTATTCTAAACCCTTTGTGTATGTATGTATATTAGTGTTATGTCCATTAAATGGGACTCTGTTTATTGCTAGTCTTTAGTTAAGCTATGAATTGTCTACATATATATGTGTATGTCTGTTTTTGAGAATATTCAAAGTGTGTTATTTTCTATTTGACAATAAAGCGAAAATAAGTGAAGAGGACAATACATAATTGTAAACTTAGATGATATAGTTTGTATACTGTGTACTGTATGATACATTTCTTTTAACAAATTTTATACCTGTTGTCCCAGAAATTAACTGAAATGGGCTGAAAACACCAGACCACATAATTATATTTGTAAGAAATAGTTAGAGATATTTTTAATAAAGTTAGAATCTAATTTGTGAAATACTTTGATGCCTTATTCGAAGTATATTTCATGGTATATATGGGACTATAGCAGTAAACAGAATTTGCTTATTTAATGTATTGTCAGTGCATTTTTTACTGTATTAATTCTGGGTTTTTTTCTTTTATTTTTGCAGATAATCTAAGTTGATGAGACATAAAGGATAAGGATGTTTTATTTCATACCTGTGACCAACACAAAGAACATAACTAAAACTAAAGAATCAGTGCAATTCTGTGAGAGATATCCTACCGGTGTGATGTCACATTATATACATTTTTCTCTGTAAAAAAATGTGGCTGGAATATATGTGAATATATTACATTACATACACTTGATTTTTCATTAAGAAATTATATTTGATAAATACTATTGTGTTTATTTTTGCACAATCTTTTATTTCTAATGTAAACACAGTAAAAAATTGCTTCAAAGCTTTGCCGCAATGCATCATAGCTAGTGCAATACTAAAAGGTTGACATTTTTCTGTATAGACACTTAGTAGAATATATATTATATATACTATTTTTGGTTTGATGTTTGAGTGTTAAATCTTCAAGCGTTGTAGCTGAAGAAATTAGAAACCTCTGTATGTTAGTTTGATTGTGTATAAAGTTATAAGCTTATAGACAAACTCTCAAATTCATCTACCAGTTAAAGGTGAAGCTATAAGTTTATATACATCTAGCAGTTAAAGATTTATGATGATCATATAAAAATTTGCTAGTGTTCAATGTTGAAAGTAGATCTAATTAGAAAAGTCTTAATTTAAACACAGATTAACGTTCATTTTAGAAATTTTTGAACCCTTGGTTGAGAATTGTGCGATTTTCAACATTATCAATTTTCTCAGAACTCAATAAATATGATTTTGCTTGTAAGAATAAGTTATCACTGAGCCAAATTCTTGAAGAGGTCTGAGTTTGCCCATAAGGAAATAGCGCCTTTACGCGATTTTAAGTCCTTGAAATAGTTCATTTCATTTTTAGAAATCAATGCTATAGTAAATAATGTATATATGATAGATAAAGTGTTGTTGTTGTTTTTGCTGACCAGAATTGTGGCATTCCATGTATGTGTGATACATTTATATATTATTTTCTTTAATAAGTTATTTACTTTTATATGTTTGGAAGAAAATTTAAAAATACTTTCCCCTTTTAAAACCATACACAAATTTGCTCTATAAAATTGGGACACTTTAATATTTCATTTTAAATTTTAAAATTTGAATGGGGCCCTAAAATACATGTAAATAACTATGTGTAAAGTATCATTTATCAGTGAATTCATGTAAAATGAATTATTTTTTGTCATTTTTCCCACATACTCTAAGATACAAAATTTTTTGAATCTGAAAGTTTTCATGAAAAAAAACAGTTTTAAAAAAAAGGGTTTTGATATTCAAAGATTTAAAAAATTCTTTTAAATTATGTGGGTATTGTGATGAAAATTTGTTTATCTATAATTATGCCCTTCAACATTTCATTGTTTATTTTGCTTGTTAAACAGGCAAGAAATATAATAATCATTACCTTAGTGCAGTAATGGGCTAAGTCCTTCTAAATCTAATAGGAGTTAACCAGTTATTGCACTAAGGTGTCAATATATGGAAACAAGATATTTGTTCATTACTCAACTATTAAGTGTATGGTATATGAAGTGGTCACTAATTTTTTTCTCATGAATTTTCTGTTTTGAATAATCATATTTTGTTAATGATTGTTAAAGTTATTTGTACTTATACCAGTGTAAAATAAAAAGACATAAAGGCAGTTATATAAAGGCAAGTATTTTACATGCATAATAAACATTTCTATCAACACAATCATAGATAGTATGTCAGAGATTTATGGTGATTGGTAAAAAATGTAAGGACTTTATCACATGGTTGCCTTTACAGGTTTAAACTTTATATGATTTCCGTCCAACAAAGTATTATTTTTTTCTCATATTATTACTATATTAGTTTATTGTTTTGTTACAATAAATCGCATTTTGGATTTTTGTTTTATCTTCAACATGACCGTCCATCTTCCTACAGTGTAGTTATTATATATATATATTAAAACATTTGCTGATAAATTCTATTTCTATTTAGAATTGAATCTCCTTATTTGGGATGTGAAACAATGCTTAAAGTTATACATACTTACAAAGATGGTGATAATGTTCTATTAAAGGCCCATTATGCCTTAGAAATGGTTTTATTTTCATTTCATAAAACTTTTTTCTTTGGTGTCTGGTTGTAGTTTAAACGTGGCTAATTACCTGAAGTAATTTTTGCATTGTTGCTTTTTAGCAATAGATAAATTATATCAAATGGGTATTTTGTATTGAAGTCATAATACTACTTTGGTCACATTTTTATTATTTTTTATGACATATAATTTTGAATTCTGCACTACTTTATTCAGATGATACGCATGTAACATGCTTTAAACCATTATTTAAACATTATAAAACTCATGTCTGCTCTATCCAAAAAGAAAAGAAAATATTTATTTCTGAGGCATAATTTTTTTTAATTATTCCAACATAGCATTTCATTATTTATTAATGTAAACCTTTTTATGAATTCTTTATATTCCCACTTTTGTTTATGTTTGTTTCGGGAAAAGTATAATTTGTTTTTTAAAAGTTTTCATTTTTTAAATTTTAAAATTTTCCTTGGAAAAAAATAAATTTTTTATAAAATTAAAAGCTCAGTTGTGTTTTTTTTTTCTTTTAAATTTCGGGAAAAAAATCATTTGTTTTTTTTCATTTTTTATACAAAAACAACATGGGTAAAATGCATTCTTTATGTGACGCATCCACTTTCTGAAATCACGTTATGAAATATATATTTAAGAGGACAACTGGCATCTAAGCAAAAGTCTTTTTATATTTTGCAGTTTTTATTGAAACTCCAAATGTGACATTCACCGACAACGCCAGGATAGCATATACAAAAAGTTATTTTTACATTTAATAAAACAAACAAGTATTTACAAGCACAAACATGCTTTAAATGATGATGTACAAATGTTGCAAAACATTTAAAGGCAATCGACTAAACTATGGAAACATAAAATCGTTGCATGGTATGCGATTAATGACTGATATTGCAGTACAAATGTATTTAATATCACAATATTTCTACTGCGTGAGTAGCGCACTAAGTGTTATTTTTTGCAAATTTTTGCATTTTTATGGTTATTAACGTGGATTGCAAGAGACGTTTGCAATGTGTATATTGCTCACTGCACAATATTTTATCTTCAAAAACATTTTCAAAAAATCATGAAAATTAACACAAATCGGTTGCTTTCAAAAGCGACATCAGAATTATTCCAGTGTACACTGTACACAAGAGTAACAGTTGATGGTCTCACAATTTCCTTGTACTTTTATATTGTAAAGCGTCTTAGTTGTGACTTATCTGCCTGTGCTAGCGAAAAAAAAATCTATCAGACGCCGGCAAAAGTAATCAAACTTTTCACGGGTTTGGGGGTTTTCAAGATTTATTCATTTCCGTTTCTGTATTCATGTCTTCTCGTGCAGAAATGTGATAGTGAGCAATTTATATTCTTGTATCTATCTGAAACTATATCATCTAGTGAATAGTCCTCTTAATGTACTCATTGTACTAAATTATGGTTCTAAATCAGTATAATTATTTGATATTGTTTACTTCACAGTGTACATTTGGGTAATTGCTAATTCCATTGAATAATATCAGACTCGTAATTATATGAGTATATTTATCATCTTATCATAGTCCCTATTCTACATTGTATTTCAATAGCATCTTATCCCGACAGGGACTTTGGATTCTTTCATTTGAGGAAGCTATCCAGCTAGCTAACGGAACGTCGGTGGTTCTTCTCAGGTGCCTGTTTGTGTCTAAAATAATGCACGGAAGGGCACCTGAGGTCTTCCTCCACCAGTAAAGCTGGAACGTCGCCAAAATGACCTATACTGTGTCGATGTGACGTAAAAGCCCAAACAAACAAACAAATAGCATCTTGTCGGACAATGTCACAATTTGCTAATTGTCTTACTAACACATTTAACTTCAATTGGAATCTGGTTTATTCCCTGACCAAACGTTTTACTTGGTTTGCCCAGATATTAAGCCGATACTAGTGTCATTTCACATTTTTGATAAGTTTAATGTCTGACAGACAATGTATTAAATGTGATGCAATAAGATCAAATACAAGTACGGCAAGTGGATGCTTAGTGGTGAGGGTCTGCCTCTAAACAAAGGAATCGTGGGTTCGAGCTCTTCTCGGGTCATGACTACTTCCACATATGACCATCTAACTCGAAAGTGAATGATACAATTTGCAAGCGGTTGTATCACATTCGAGGGAAAATAAATGACATGCTGAAAACTGACAACAAGTTTATGTCAACTCCTGTGGTTTTTCATCACCAGCGGAATGAATTTAGAGCAACTGTATTGCTACACAATGGGGGATAATATGAAATACAACATTAAAACTTCAAAGAAATAAACCTTTATTGATAAAAATTGCTACAAAATATGTAATGTTTTAAGGAAATTATGATAACAGCATAACAATAAAATCAAACTGGCAAACAATAACAACATGATATTGCTTTGATACAACATTAAATATACACGACAAAAGCATTTGTATTCTCTATGTAATTATATGTCTTTTAATGGACATATTTCTGCTTGCTGAAAATCGAAGATAAATGCCTAAATAGATGGTAAACTACAAGCATATAATCATCGAAGGTCGTTACAATTATGATTAAATATTCAAAATATTTAGCAATATTGATCATACTATATCAACTTGTAGGTTCAGACACCCACTTGACTTGCACAAGTTTTTCTTTAAAATCGTTTAAAACGTTGATTGTTTGTACATCGATTTACATTTCGACATTAAAGTCATATATCAACAATCAGTCCACCTTACCGGTTTGTCTGGATAGGTAACTAGAATATAGCAATTTCTCCGCAAGTGACGATTCCTGAATCAGACGAGTTCGAATCTAAGTCAGGCTGCGTAATTTTCTCACTCTAGCTGTGACATTTGGTTCTCAACGTGAGGCCGTGATTGTATAAAGAACCGAGTCCAATTTCACATTGTTTTGGCACAGTCCGGCATGCTCAACAGGTAGAGCGTTTGACTGTGAATTCGAGCCCCAATCAGGTTGCACATGTTTTTCCTCATAATGTGACTCAAGAATTACAAATCCGATTTCATAGTTAAACAACTTATGTTAATATACTACTACTTGTTTACTAGAGGTGAACACTTCCATATAATAAAACTCAATGCAATTCGTTATGTTAATGTAGGAACCAAACTATATGTTACAAACCACGAAAGCTTAAACTTACAACAAGATCGGTGTTACATCGGTGCTATGTAACATATACTCGTAAGAGTAACAGTATACTGGACGTAATAAAAAAGGACGATTACCATAAAAGTTTAAAATAACAAAAGTTTTGGAATATTTTGATACAATTAGAATAAAAGAGACTCCCGTCAATCACATTCCGCATTGTATGCGATTTTACTACTTTTATTTTCAAAACAGCTTATGTTAAAATCTTCTTTAACGTGTATGTACACATTGCAAAGATCTTTGAGTTAATTCATACAAGCCATTATCTAGAATAAAAATTAAATAGATACTAGAAGTATTTTATCGCCAAATAAAATGAATGTTCATCGATACAAATATTGTATTGGGCTAATTATAAATGTATCCATGAACTAGTTTCTTGGAATAACTAATATTTTTGAAATAATACTTATATAAGAGTTCCTACCTTTGATTATTTTCATAAATGTTTAACAATTGTATGTTTATTTTTGTTCTATTGTTACTTTTCTACTATCATTGTTGTTTGGCTATAAGCAATGTATTTTGTTCTATGCTTCATACAAATCGTAGTCGTAATAAAGCAATTGTTGATCTTTAGACCATTAACGTGATAAAACAAAACTTCAAACAAATATCCATGGAAAAACAATAGTCCCTGGCGTCTACTATTAAAGAGAATCAATTAAGCATATACATGTGAGCCGCGTCACGACAAAACCAACGTAATGCGTTTGCGACCAGCATGGATCCAGACCAGCCTGCGCATCCGCGTTGTTCGCTTACAGACCATATAACAAGTAAAGAATCTGATAGCGAACAGCATGGATCCTGATCACACTGCGCGGATGCGCAGGCTGGTCTGGATCCATGCTGGTCGCAAACCCATTATGTTGGTTTTGTCGTGACGCGGCTCATGTGATTTTGTACGAAATGGGTTCTGCGGGGCTTTATCAAAGCCAATTGATATAAGCGTGTTGTTAAAACAATTATACGATCTCTCGGGTTATAAAGTGTATGATGATTTGCAAATTTTCTTTCAAAAGATAGTTTAAGAGCAATTAACTTTTGAACGAACTAGAAACAGACTAGTTTGAGTGCATCAATGCAAATAATCAGCATAAAATACAACAAATATATTATGACTGCATTTGTTCTCTTTTGCATAACCAAACAACCAGGGAACCAATATTATTAACTAATGACGATTTACAACATGAATTCTTCATAAATAATTGATTGAAAATAATAATAATAATAATAATAATAATAATAATAATAAAAAATTCTCTGTCATCCCGAAGCATTTCTTCTATATGTTCAAATCGGCGATCGAGAGGGCTTCTTTTGCGGCTTTTAAACTGCCCGAACTTATCCATGCGCTTTTGTAAAATTTGTTTTGTGTAAACAAATATTCACAACCATCACCTGAAACTTAACTGATAACACTTTCATTTCTTGCTCGTCTTCTTTTATCATTTAGTAGATTGACAACTTGTCCTTATATTCAGCTCTGTATAATGGTATCTAGAGTTCAACTTCATCATCATGTTAGTAACAAATTCAGAAACAAACAAACCATGAGCACAATACCTTCCAAGAAAACCAAGTTTGATGCGGAAACATGTCCTGAGTAACAGGTTGTCGAGGTATTTAGAATGTAAGGCCTATCAGTCGATTCATACATTGACCCTTTTAAAAATAATGTTTTATTAAATTGGGAATCTATTGGGAATAACAATCCAATCACAACTTTGTCACTATTGCTTAGAAATTTAAATGAAAAAGGATTGATATTTCCATCACAATTTGTAACAAACCACAGCTTGTCAACATAATAACCTTGGAATTCATCATCAGAAATTGGCATTATTTTCATTTTACCAAATCGGCCATAACTAAGCATTAGTGAACTATTATTTCCTACACTATTCTTGTTTTCAACATACACTGTAATAGAGCCAAATCCCATGTTTCCATAAACTCCGACGAAGTCCGAATAATCTCGGGATATATTCCACGAATAAATCACTTCCGGTTTAGCAAGATTTTCTGGTATTGGTTCATCCCAAGGTGCTGGATATGTGCATGCCGTTGATTGGTTCAACCATGGCTCTAGTCCCAATAGAATATCAGATGCTCTCGAAGCAATACTCTGAAATATAAATAAATGTTCAACACTGAAACAACATATTCCCCTTTTTAATTTTTTTTATTTTCTATACAACAATTTGAAACACTACTTCTAGCTGATGATGTAACTTTATATGACCTTTATGAGGGATTGGATTCAATAGCAATACCAGATGTGTCTAGAAAATTGGTCGCCATCGATAAGGAGCTCATTCTGTAAGAGGCAATTGTATCTTATCATTTTTTTGCTTCAAGCAAAACACTTTTAGATAAAAAAACAGTATTATATGAGCAGTGTTCACTGAATACAACATAAATAAAATGGTCATGATTTTTAACGGATCTTTATATCTCTCTACAAACATCAATATCAAGTCAATGACCTAATGACAATAACCACATTATAAAGACAAATGATCAAAAGTTACAAATCATCAAGACTTACCTTGACTGCTGCAGAACTATGAGGAGGTAAAGGACCGCTAGCAGTTACAAATAAACCAGCGTTCACGTCAGGAAACAACCACAATTGACTGATGAAGGAAACTATTCCACCGGAATGCCATAGCTTACGGTAACCTGGAAGAGAGGAATATGTTTAGAAAAGATGTTGACATGTGTTTTCACATAACCAATGTTATAGATTATGACAATTTCCTTTCCTTTCCTTTCTATTAGATTTGGACTTTTGATTCTAATTTGCAATAACGTATTTAAACGACAAACTCTTTAATTCAAGCCTAAAAGTAGAAACAACTGTTCTTTAAACGTAAAATAGACTGTCTGTCCTCCTTGTTTTTATGCAGACTGTAACAGCTTAAACAAAACATCTTGAAACATACCCCGATAAAAAGAAGTCATCCATCCCATATTATATGAAATAGTGACGTCACTTATGGGATACTTTGGTATTGTTAGATCTTTCTCTTGGAATGGATGTGTCATCTTTGATTGATAGGTATCTTGTAGCCAACGTTCATTTACCACCTGTTTTCCGTGATGATCTTTTCCTCCTTTTAAATGAAACATCATCCATTTCGCCATATCACTTGCCGAGGAGTATATAGAACCGGCAGGTCCCGACGGTGAAACAGTACTGCAATAATGACAAAATTCCATTTTTTATTTGAAACATTGCCTTATTGCACGACATCTTTTAGAAAACATGTTTTCAAAATCTAGGTTTAAAATGTGTGTTAAAAATCAAATATATGTATGTCTAATATTATGCTCTACAAAAACATTAGATTCAAGGGAATGTAGTTACATTTAGTGATATAAACCTTTATATCTGGATAGCTTTTTACGATGCTCCGCCGAAAATGCACATACACATTTAATCTAAGTTGATATGATTACACAATTTTCAAAATCTTAAGTGCTTTTGAGCACATGAACGTATATTTGTTTTATCTAAAAGTGTTTTACTTGGTCTATTTTCATGAAACAAAAGAATAAAATGATAAGACGCAACTGTCTCTTACAGAAGGAGCTCCTTGTCGATGGCGACCAATTTTCTGTTTCTGGACACATACGGTATTGCTATTGAATCCAATCCTACACCGGCGTCAACAAAACCAGTACTATGCATGGTCAATCGATTCAATAAACGTTCAGTTACTAGACTCTCCCATGATTTTCCTGAAATAACTTCAGCCACGTGACCGGCCAGCATGTACATGTAGTTACTGTAATGAAACTTTGTACGAAACTCACTCTGTGCAGGCATGTACTGTAGTTTCCTGAAATGTGATAAAGTTTGCATTATCGATAGTACAATGTTTTTATCTATTCAAGGATATAGCACAAGCTGGTTTATAAGGATATACTAGTGAATGATTCAAACCATCTTCATCATATGCACATACATGTACAATATAACCTGTACGTACAACATTATTCAGTTGACTCCACTATAAACAAAGACAGTACTTTGCTTAAAACACAAACACATTATTGATTACGTAATACTTTTGTTTTTAGTTCATATGTCTGCTTTTAAATGTATTCCTCCTTTTTTCGTTTATATTTTATTGATATTTATGAGGGAAGTATCAATTACTCGTATATATTTGTTTAATGTATAGGTATTTTGTTTTCGCAAGTATGTATATTTATGCTTGATTTTGCTTCTAATATGGGGAAACATCTCTAGAAATATGAATAAAACAAGTTACATATGACCAGAGTGGGTGATCACGGCACATCCTTTGTTAACGGTGACATTTGTGTCAAAGCTAATGGCCACGCGCATTACTTAAAAAAATATTTTTACTAGTTTTTTGGGTTATATCTGTTAATATTTGAATAATAAACTTATACAATATTCAAGGCAAATATTTGCCTATTCCAATGTAGTTCTTTTACTGTTCCCGTTATGCTTGCAATTTTTTCTATGCATCAATATTTTTTTATAAAATTGTGTAACAAATTACTTCCAGCATGTAGGCTACATAAGGAAAATATGTGCCATTGGAATCGGCATGTATTTGCATGGTATAATGTTTATAATTCATATATTTAAAGGTGTAACGAAAAATAGCAAATACCGTATAAGTCATTGATGCGGCCATTAGCGGTGACACATGTCAGTAGATCAGCCAGCCACCTTGTATTTATAAGTCAAATTTCACATGTTATATTCATAATTGCAAGATCAGTAATTAAGCATTTGACTTTCGATAAGCTAATATTCGAAGCGATCTGTATAGAAAAAATCCCCATTTACGTCACAACCAGTAAGTGAAGTAACTCTTCCTTGATGGCAATCGCTTAAATGAAATGGTCAATACTTGAAAATATTTTAGATAAATAATTAGACTATTTGCAATTTTGTATTTATTCTGTAACAATGTTGATAGTTTCATCTATTGATTGGGTTAGCTGTTCATCTTTGACTTACTTAGGTGAAGTTGTACATCATAAAGATAATAAATCAAGTGTTTAAATAATTGAGCTCTTTGTTCAATATACCAAACAAAATTCTTTCTTCTTTTATTCTTACGTTTTATTTTTTTCTATATAATTCAATTATGTACATATTTTACAAACATTTTACAAACATGAGCTCTACAATCTGTTTCCCCCCTTTACTAATATTGTTTAGAAACATAAAAATTTCAAAATCAAACTATTAAAGTTTGGCTAATAAAATATGTAGATATACATTTTGTATTGACGGAGTGTCCCGATATGCAGCAGCCTAATTTAAAAATTTTAAAGAAAACTTTATAAGATTCGTATTTTAAAGAAACAATATGAATTCAGCTTCTATAACTGTAACAGAGCTACCTTATGTGAAATGTAATTGATAAAAAGGCTTCAAGTTTTATTAATTTAAGTCTAGTAAATTGAAAATGTGAATAGAAAATTCAATTTAGTTTGATATCTCGTCTTTGAAAATAATAGTGACACTGAATCCTTTTAACTGATTATAACATTAACAACATCATTGTTACTGTATTGTTGGGACTTCAATGAATGAGTTTTAAGACCATTACCTCTCAACATTACACATGGTGAAATGTTAAGAAAAACAACAGCAAACAAATATTTAGAAATTGAGACAACATCACTTTTTAAACCAGATTAAAGTATTGGCCATATGAATATTATATCTTTATTGAAAACATCAATCTTTCTGTAGAGTTTTAGTCTGTCAGCCGACGAACTACAGCGCATATAAAGCTTTAATCTTGAGCAACCAATATTATGCTAAATTAAGAACCAGTTCTAAAAAATTCATATAGCTGTACCTATTGCCGCTTTTCGTTTGTTATATATTTTTCGTTTTTTTAAAAATATGAATATTGAAAATAATGTAATTTTGCTGTCTATAGGCCCATTTGACTGGATGCTATACCGAGGACCATCAAAAAAGCATCTACAGAGGTACGTTTAAACATTTGAAATAGCACTTACTTGACTAATTCTGATCTTGACAGGTTGCCAGGGAAGCCAACTAGTAGAGGGTGAAAGTTCGATGGCGTTCCTACTCTGTGTGAAAGAATGTCTTGAATGTTAGCGTTGTCTGTACGAATCTGATCACTGAGTTTGAATGATGGTCCAAGAATGTTTCTTATCCGAGTGTCCCAGGATAAACTGATTGTCAAAATAACATATGATCATTATTTAATTGAACCATTTGATTTTAGTGTATAGATATGTTTTTCTGTTAAAAATAGAAAAAAATGCTTCAGAAATTAACTTCTCAATACCAAAACGTTTGCTTGTCACGTATTAATTATATAATACAGAACATTGATTTTATGAAACAAAGAAAATAAAATTCAAATATGAACATGATTTATTGATTCGAGAAGATTTATAATGTTCTATATATTATGAGCAAGAAAGATTGTGAGAATTCGTTTTTTTTAAGTTTAGAGAAAACATATAACTCATATAAACTTATAACGGGATATGAGAAATTTACTCATAAAGTAAGCTTACTTCAATTATGAAATTGGCAAGTTTTATAACATCAGCTAGTTAATCAATTGAAGATGTTTGTCAATGTATTTCTTCATAAAGAAACCGAATGAAAATTACAAAGTTAATTTACATTAAAGGTATGGTGCAAAGAAAAAAGTTTATATGATTAAACGAACTGATTTGGTTTGAAATTAGAACATCAGACAAGATTATAATTCAACAATAAAGCTTTAATAACAGTAAAATATATATTTAAAATTATCTCTAGATAATGAACACCTGTTACAAGAGACTATAAAGAGCAAATAGAAATGAGACGCGTCATGACAAAACCAACATAATGGGTTTGCGATCAGAATGGATCCAGACCAGCCTGCGCTACCGCGCAGTCTGATCAGGATCCATGCTGTTCGCTATCAGTTTCTCTACTTGTAATAGGGTTTGTAAGCGAACAGCATGGATCCTGATCAGACTGCGCGGATGCGCAGGCTGGTCTGGATCCATGCTGATCGCAAACCCATTATGTTGGTTTTGTCATGACGCGGCTCAAATGCCTTTCTTTCTCAACTAACTGTTTATAGCGATATGATAGCATCGATTTAAAAAATAAATCATATTTAATATAATTGGATGCTAGTCTGTCGTTTGAATTTTTATTATAATTTGTTCGTATGCTGTAAGTTTATCTTAAGATCCAACTTTAACGCATTCTAAGAATAGAATAGTTCTTTTAAAAATGATAACATGAACTACGAACACTACATATAGTCTTTGAAGTCTATGTTTTACTCATATACATTTGAAATAGTAGACGTTAGGCCACAAAATTAAACTTATTGACCCTTATCTAAGCTATTGTACCAAGAATGTATTTTTACAATGAAGTTTCAATCTTCTTAAAAACTTATTGACCCTTATTAAAGTATTTTTATAATAGAACAAAATGCAGTTTTAATCTTCTTATACAAAACACCCTAGACGAGATGATATATAAGATAAACGAAATTAAAAATACATTTCATTAATTCAATGTACCTAATAAACTCGAAATTGTGTTTGTAACCAGCGTATATAGTTAATACAGGGGATTATATAAAGAATTCTCTTCCGAGTAATGAAAGTTATTTAGTTTAATGTTGAGCTACAAAATAATAAAGCCTGACATTATTTTACTTGCGTAAGAACGAATTATTCGTTTAATCATGATTTTCATATAATGAAGTGTATATGTTTCAGATACGATTTTCATATACCTTACATGATAGATTTCCATTGATTAATCCGTAACATATTGCCTAAAGATCTTTCAAAGATGTTTTATAATATTAATTTCTCTTGTTTCGTTCTCTTTCAACACTGATAAAATAACTGTTATATATATATTTTCTTTAAGAAGTAATTAAAAAACAGCATAGATACCGGTAGGGCATGTTTGTACGTTAGAAATACGATAAATATTCGTATGTAAGCAGTAATGTAAGTTTTCCCCGTAACATTAAATATTACTATACGTATGGATTGCAAGCAAAAAGCACGATTTTAAAGAGGGAGTTTGATTTAAAAATTAGATAACTTCAAGTAGTCAAAGTAACGTTACTGTATGGTTTTGAAATAAAACTTTATGTTTAATTATTTTCTGTTACTCTAAAAACTTATGAAATAAAGGAACGCAACGTTTAAGTTAAAAACAAAGTAAGAAACTGGACTACAAAACAAACCGCAAATTTTAAAATTATGAAAAAAAAACAACAACATTTGTTCTAAATTGTGGTTGTATCGTTCTTTGAATTACAAGAAAGAGAAGGTGAAATATTTTGCAAAAGGATTTCGTCAAGATTTTCGTTGCAATAAATTATAGTGACACTGAATAAATTATATAAATGATATTATACTATAATGACATAAACTTACTTAATATCTTTTGATAAGACATCAGCCATTATGGTGCTTGTGAAAGCTTTCGTAAGAGATCCTATACAAAAATGGGTATGCTCCGTTGCTTTTTTCCCCTTTTCAATATCTGCATAACCATAACCGCGCGAAAACAGCACTTCGTCATTTTTAACCAAGGACACCGCAATGCTCGGAATGTTTCGGCATTTCAACGTATGCTTTACAAACTGATCAAACTCCTTTAACTGTTCATCCAATTTTTTTCCTTCAGTATAGACAGCACACATTAATCCAAAAATTAAAAGTAGTAATATTTTACATAATTTTCTTACACATAACATCTCCATTGCCGTTGTAGCATATTTTTAACATTTCCTTTTTAGAAATGAGATTTTGTCGACGTTGATTTATAAATATTATTAAATACTTCATAAGATACAAGAGCGAATTGTCGTCAATACTATCAGAATTGACATTCCATTATACAGAGCACAAAGCACTGACGTTTGCGATCATTATCTACCATGTTATATTTCATTACTACAAGGGAAACTATCGTAAATAAACCACAAACTATCTAATATCCGTATTTATGATCAAATAAACACTCTGTTTTAATTCGTATCAAGCAAAGCCTATCTAAATCAACTACTAGGATCAGAAGCGAATCTCTAGAGTAAGTCTGCTATCCTCAGAGACATATTAAACCTACAGTCTAGTCTGTTCAAATCCGAATGAAATCCCCGAATTGCTATCAATGATTTAATACAGTTCTTACATCAAAGTATTGATGATTATCCATGCAAGTTCAAAGTCATTTACAGCAATTATTAATTCATTACAATCGTTCTTTTGAAATTTTATTTTTTCAATTACGAATCGTTTTATTGTTGATTCTTTCTTATAAAATTGCTGCTATCACGTAACTGTCGCTAACATCATACTTGGTATCAAAAAGGCCAATAGAGAAAATATGTGTTGATATTGTCAGACACTTATTGTTTATGCACATCGTGATTAGTGCTTGGAGCTATTTACATCTTTACCTGTTGAATTTGTGTATTAAATGTATTGTTCCCAGCTTTTAATCTGGACAAAAAAATTAATGTTTAAGGGATAACAATGCCAGGCTACAGAAATAAAGCAACCAGGCCAAACTACACTGACGTGCAGGCTGGCCCAGACCTGTACTGATAGCAAAGGCTTATCACTTCAAGCAGGTTAATGGTATAATAATATCGTATTACATGAATCACCCACAGGTATTATTTATACGAAAGTATTTGTTGATTTAACAATTATACATTAGAACGAAACTAGTAACATTTTGAGTTACATTGAACAATAGTTAGAATTTTGCTGCGTTATACGTTTAACAGTATAGACGGGTCTGTTCAGGATAGTATGGAAGAAGGGAGTGGAAAAATTAATAAATAAGAAATAATACTCCGATGCTGACACGACAAACATTTGTAACTATAACTGAAGATTTCTTATGTACTCATATAACCTAATTATTTCATTTCTAGCCTAATTTATAGGACTAATACATCAGGAGCCGCCGGCAAAAGTGAGGCAGAACAATTAACGATCCCCCGGGAACATTTACACTGAACACAAATGGAAGTCACAGACAATTGTTATTGCGTGCACTTTGATGTGGTCAGGTGTAGCATTGTTTTATGGTGGTCCCACGTGACATCATTACCTTTCATTTGCTTAATGAAATTGATACAAGATTTGTCGATGCGATTGGGAAAAATGCTGACCTAATTTTGAAAGTATCAGTGAAGAATATTCCTGTCATTGACCGCATTTTGTGAATAATGAATGAATTTTCAATTAAAATTAATTATTGATATATTAAGTTTTAATTGCGGTGTTTATGTTTAAAAAAGCTTTATTTTATGAAATTAGATATTTTGATAAAAACTAATTACTGATCTAAACTTTTTTTTCAAGAGTAGCATTATAGGATGGCACACATCCATGCCACATACATGTAGAATGATGTACTGGTTTATAAAAGTACTTTCAATATCAAAACTGTTTTGGAGTAAACATGGCTTTGTGCACGCATTCTTGGTACACGCTGCTATGAACCTAGCAAAATAAGATTTTGCCGATTTCCTAAGGCTATATTTTACAATTAAAACAATCTTAGTAAAGTTGTATATACAATTTAGAAATCAGCGTCTGAAACAGTTTGTGATTTACATACTGACACTTTCTGGTATCAATGTCTCCGACATTGGATAATTATGAGTATGAATATATTTAGATAAATAATATATTGATTTGTTTCTTCATAACGCTAAGATCACTTGTTAATAAAAATAACAGCAAAAATTGCATTCATTCATTTACGCAAACAATAACATTTAATTGCTCGCTTGATAGGATGTGACACGCACGTCATAAAGACACACCAGGAAATAAACCAGAAACAACTAAAACAATTGTTGTGTATAAAAACACTCTGACTAGGTAGGTACTCAGTACTGAATTTTGTTCGTTATATCTTTAAAACATTACATAATCTTTAGAACTGAAAAGTTGTTTGTGGAAACACTGCATCATGTTCATCTCACAGTGATGAGAATGATTGCTGTCGGCATCCATTTTTGCCTGTCAAATTGAAGTTATATATCTCATTAAAAGCCTAAAATCACTAAAACAAGTCTACAAAACATAACGAAAAGTTAACATCGCTGCAAATAAATCGGTCAAAGGAAAAATCGGAAAATATCATTTACGTTACATTTGATTCTACGAGCAGTGGCTCATTCCGTTTTTAATTGATTATTGTGTTCTGAATAGCGTTTTACTATTATATGTTTCGAAAAAATAGTAACGTAAACATTATAGCTACAATATCACCAAACACCATATATAACCGAGTGATCCGTGTACAAACAATTTGCTTAAACATCCAGTCTGTTATTTTTAATAAGAGATTTTCTGGATTGACGGAAATAGGCGATATGTTGCTATTGTTCGGAGATGCAACCAGACCATTCAAAAATTCTTACTTTCCCAATAAAATAAATCTTCTACAACTGCAAAAAAAACAACATTTCACATACTTTATTTTTAAGAAGCAAATTTGTTTTATTTTGCTGGTCGAGAATTACAAATGTTAAATAAAAAATGGGTAGAATGTTTTACTATTATATCGGAAGTATCACAAGCAATTCACTATCTCGATTTGTTATCAACGTTCATAATTGAATATTACTTTGTCATTATTTCTCTGAGCCAGATACCTATTTGATTTCAATAAATGATGCCAGTGTGGGAATGGTATAAAGTTTTGAGCTATTTCTATCATACATGTTTAAAATCATTTCACATAAAATGAACTCTATCACATTTAATTATTAAAGACTGAAGGAAAGATAAGAAATAAAATGATAGCTTATCATATACTACCACTAAAGTGCATTAACTAGCACAATACTCCAGACACGAGTTAATGAATTATTCTATATAAATTCGGTTATAGGTATTAATTTAAAATGAACATTATTTCGGTGTTTGTGTTGATATTTCTCCGTATTACAGAAGCAGCAGATGTACATATATTTGTTAGCACACAAGGCTCAGATCAAAATAACGGGTAAGTATATTAGAACAGGTTGAAGTTTTCATGTTACTGTTTTATTATACCATAGCTAAGGGTTTGTCTTGATAATCGGTGCAATTCACGGCACAAAATAAAACAAGGCATTAAAAACAACCCAACTTAACGTCAGTATTAATTTATTATTTAAAGTTTATCATAATGTTGTCTTAATGATTTCTATCCATTCATTTAAGTGGATAGATCTACAATGGGCACGTTTTACATTTATGAAAACAATAGAAATATATCATCTGCATATTCTTATAAAATATTGCTTGAAAAAAAGTTGTTGATAAAGATCTAAAAGATTCAGTAAGAACATTCGAATATGATGAATAATAAAATTCTGTTTTAGAACAACTTATCTGCTTCATAAATATATGTAATATCAGATCACGTATCTAACACTTGCCAACAGCATTTCTAATAATTATTTCGTGGTTTGTTACTTAATACTATCAACATAATTATTCATTGTATCACAGACCTTCCATTTTAGACCCATTCACTTAAATGTGTAATAATCATTTCATTCATTACGTAAAAATAATTTATTTATTATGTGTGATTGTGTTAAACTTGATTGTTACTCGGATGGTCTCCTTTATTTTGCTTAGATAATTCATGAATCAAGATGGCAAGAATACTACCGTATATTATAAATGTTTCACATTTGTAGCAGATGTTATAAGCTATGGAACAAATTAGAAATGAGATGTTCATACTTTTTAAAACTGTAGTAATATGTTTATACGTTACCAGACTAACCACAACCTCTGCAGTTCAAACAATACATCATGCTCTGGTACTTGCAGGGAAAATCACTGTCCATACAACAGGTAAGTGTTTTAACTTTCGTTAAGTAACGAAACAATAATTTGTTACTGAAGTATTATGTTTGTTTGTTTGACTGGTTTTTATGTCACACCAACACTACTAGGTCATATGGGGAAATCCCAGCTTTACTCGTGGAAGAAGACCTCAGCATTATTTCAAGCACACGGAATTATTAAAGAGATGGCAAAAATGCATAATAAATGTAGTTACAAATTTCGTTTTGTTATGAATGATTTAGCTCATAAGTATATCATTTTATATAATTTGTCATGCCAGATGCAAATATCATTTAGAAATATATAATAAACAATATTTCAAATAATGATTTACATTATAATGTTGAAGAAGTTTATTTAATATTTGTATTTATCAAAACAAAATGGACAAGAACAGCTTTCTTTAGATATTAAATTATATATCATATCGATTTCCATAATTGAGTCGCGTCACGAAAAAAGCAACATAGTGCCTTTTTCGACCAGCATGGATCCAGACCAGACTGCGCATCCGCGCAGTCTGATCAGGATCAATGCTGTTCGCTTACCAGCTCTATAACAAGTAGAGAAACTGATAGCAAACAGAATGGATCCTGATCAGACTGCGCGGACGCGCAGGCTGGTCTGGATCCATGCTAGTTGCAAACGCACTATGTTGGTTTTGTCGTGAAGCGGCTCAAATGTTTCATATAATGTAGTATATGTGGAGCTAATGACTGGATATCACGACCTGGCCAGTACTCTCGTTGTCAGAAGAAACAATATTATAATAAGAGCTTACAACGATGAAGAAGTTCACGTGGTAATTATGTTCACATTGATTATACCTTCGTAGAAGGTTCGGGTAAAATCCCGTTAAAACTTTGATTCGGTATCGCCTTTAAAGAAGTATTACTGTTTGACAGGATGCATAGATGTTATCTTAAAAACATGTATATAAAAATGGCGGGTTACATAAACTAAAATTAACTCAGTATCAATTTGGCATGTATCAATCTTGACTGATACAGTTCTAAACGTATTTAAATCAAATCTATATTGTACATTAAAGTATGTTTCAAAATGTATTTTTGTCCATTATTATTAAGTTTTATAGCCCCTAGCTACAACATATGCTATAGCGATATACAATTTTCAATTTGTACATGTATAATTTTTACTCACCCTTTGAAACATTATCTATTTATTCATACGCTATTACAAATGACGTAGTTAAAACAAAATCAAACTGGACAACTATATTATATAATTTAAAAAGTCGTAAATAAGATGAAACGGTAATGTAAATTTTATTATTGCATTTATGCAAGATATCTAAGATCATCGTGTAAGTTCATTATGAAAAACATAAATTTGCTCTCTGGAATGAGGCTAAAATAAAAAACGAACTATACTAGTATTCATTTGAAGTCAGACGAATTATAAAAAAATTATTTCTTATCTTGCTCATCAAATCTTATGTATTATTTGTATATAACACATATGTATGCACACATATTTTCTTTTTCATATGCCATCAAACTCATTCTTATTTTAGACTGGAGGTCAACGCGTTCCTATCTCTCTGTTCAAGAAAGTCACAGATCAAGCAATTCTATCAAGACTGCCATCAGAGTCTCGGGCGCACGTTAGTTTATGTACCATTTACTAGCAGAGTAGAAATAATCTATTACTATAAATCTCCTGAAGCCGTGTCGAAAAACACTCTATTCGTAATGATTTGATCAAAAACAAATCACAAAATTTCATTTTAATCAAACCATATTACTTTTTTGTATATACAAATGTATACAAACTTGAAGTTATTCAAATAAGCTAGACATATGCTCAATTATAATAGTAAAAATAGCACAGCAGCAACTATGTTAATAAAGCTTTCAGTTTGATATCTTGATATCTAAACTTTTTAAATTAAATTTGAATTTGGAACAGTTTGCAGATAGAAAGAAATATAGCATCCGCTAAGACTATGGACACATGTTTTAATGATATAGGTAGTTATATAGTAAAAGTACGGTTGCAGTTTACCTGATTAAGGTACTGTTGCATTATTTATTCAGATTCGTGTAGCACATCTACCTGATATTGGTATAACAAACTATGGCAAGATGGATTGTTATGGAGGCTGGAAATATAGTGATATGCCGCTAGAGTTATTTTACAACGGGAGCCCTTTGCAACTCTCTCAGTGGCCTGATGAGGTTCAAATATTTTATCTCCTCTTAAACTCATTTTACTTCTTTTGATGAAACTCTTTTGATAAATTAAAACTTTACAAAAGGTACATTTTGAGTAATGTTGGACTATCCATTCTGTTTTAATATAGATACAGTATAGGGTAATTATTTCTTACACCATATGTTAATGTTTAAAATGGACTTAGTTGTTTAGAATGTCAATCAAGTATATGTACCAAAATACCAGATATGATGAGGAATCTTGTGAATTATATTTCTATTATTTAGGGGTTCATCAATATTGTAGAAATTCCCGATGGTAAAGACGGGCTTAGATTTCGGTATAATTCGACAGTCCCACAAACGTGGCACAACGAAACTGATCCATGGGTTTATGGATATTGGTAAATTCATGGCTAAATCAATTAATTAGTTTTGCTCTAAAAAGATAAAGATACATCCATAAATTGACATCTAACGTTAAAGCGGGATAGGGAGACCTTAGATGACAAATCGTTACATGACATGTCACATATTGCTAGTCCAGGCATTCTTATATTTGTTTAAAACTGAATGGAAATGGAAAGTAATCGAATTGTCCGTACAGGAAGAAGAAAAAAGATATTGACTTAGTGCATAGGTAAAAGTGGAGAAAGATTAATCAGAATAATGAAAAAAAGTGTTAGATCTCCAGGCCAAAATGATGGGAAGCGTCTTTGATAAGCTTTTTATATTAGAACATTCTTATTTCAAACCTTATTTCATAGATGTATTATTATTTTACTTTAAATAAAGCACCATTTGTTTTTTTAACAATTCATGTTAGGTTTTGGAGCTGGAATGACAGATCTGCTAAAGTGAAATCTTTGGATGCATCAACTCGAACTGTAACATTGGCTGAAAAGATAAATTATGGTCTCACAATAGGTTAGATAAAATATACATATCTTTTTGGAAAATGTATGTGTTAAATTGGTTTAATTACCAATTAAAATTTTGCTAAAATACTTATGTTCTTATTTTGTGAACAATTGTTATGCATATTAGCGATAATTGTCGATTAACGTTACTTGTTATACTGTTTAAAAAATACTGTTTGTAAAATTCATTTAGAATTTGTTGATCTAACTATAACAAATGAGTACATTTTATTAAAGTTTTGTATAATGCTTGAAACTTTATAACTGAAAATAAAAAATATTTTGTTTGGCTTTTTTACATTTTAATTGACTCTTGGCCTTTTGTTTTTAAGATTTGTCTCCAAATCAAAATATATAAGACATTTTGCTTTTAAAATTATTACACACAATGGCAAATAAAAACATATTAGAATTAATCAACTCATGAATATATTATAATTCTTTACTGTCAGTCTTACGAGGTTAGTAGATAGGTATCGCTTTGATATAAAACTTGTTTAACATAAATGGTGGTTGGTTAAGATTATTCATTATAATTCTGTACCTTTGCAACACCTGAAGGTCACTGGGATGATCCCTCATCGGGTTTCAGGAAACAGGGCGGCTACTTTAAGTTCATCAACATACTAAGTGCGTTGAATAAGCCTGTGAGTACTGGTATTGTTTTGGACTCTTTATGAACTATAATCACATAACACAATACAAATGGACACATATGTCAATATGACTTTGAGAAAAATATAGTTTGTTTGCTCTATTTGAATTGACTATTTAGATATTGACATGGATTATCTATTGATTGTTTACCTTTGTCATCTCACTGATTTTTACTCTTCCGTACAATTGTTTACATTATTTGTCAAGAAAAAAGGTCTGTTTGAAATTACATCTATATTTATATATTGTATCTTACATCGAGCATATATTTTTATATAATAGGGAGAGTACTACATAGACAGAGAGAATGGCAATGCTTATGTTTGGCTTCCAAATGCTGATGGAAATGCAAAGACAACAGATATCATCTACGCTTCTACAATCAGCACTTGCATACTGTAATAGTTTTACTCTTTTGAAAAGCAAAATGACGGCGGCTATGAAAAGATTAGATTTAAACGATTAAATATTTCTATAATAATCAATAACCTATCTTTTCAGTTTCACTCTTGAATTATCTTTAACTGTTATGTAAACAACAGACTCAGTGGGTATGATTTACATTTTATTTTGTGTCTGACATTTGCTGTTTCACAAAGGTTCATTATCCAAGCAACAGGTTTTAAAAAAGAAACTAAAGCATACACTTTTGTCTTTATTTTCATAAGAATTAATAAAGGTGTCCGGCAAATAACACTGGAGGGGTTTACACTGGAAGCTTGCAGAGGGTTTGGAATACAAGGAAACAGTTTACACAACATACAGTTATCAAAGTTAGAAATAAAAAACACTGGTAATGTATTTTTTAATTCAATTTTGGTTATTATATTATATGACAAACGCATGAGTCAGAGCTAAATAAAACAGTGAATAATGCGTTGAATTAGATAATCTCGCAATGAATGATACAGCGATCAAAAGTAAAAAGGTGCTTGTGCTCCCAATGAACCACACAAATTGATTTGAATAGATTTGGAATCAATAATTAAGTGATTCCGTTTCTACAGTGAGTATTCTAATAGTGACGTTCTAGATTTTATTTACTAATTAATAATTCTTAAATGGTGTAAAATTTAGTTTTAGACATTATCAAGACAGCAGTTAAATTGTAAATATACATGTGTAAAAACTGTATTGAGAAACATCGATTGTTTATAGAGTAATGTATGCCAATTGAAAATACATTTTTATATATACATACTTGTTATGACGTTCGAACTATTTTGGATGAACTATTCCATATACAGATTAACCCTTTCACTGCCATAGGGACGGCTTAAGCCGTCCCTGTTATTTTCGGCGTATTTGCCATATGGACGGCTTTAGCCGTTTCTATAAAAATAATAGTTATAATAATAAATTAATATAATAATAAAAATAATAATAAATATAAAGAAAATTATACCATCGACAATAATTATTATTATACTAACAGATTTGGAAACATATATAATTATTATAATACTAATAACAAATGATAATAATTATATTAATTAACAATATAGTAATTTCTTAGAAAATCCTCTGGCAAATAGGTGAACAATAAAACAATAACCCTCTGGCAGGGAAAGGGTTAAAGTATAATTTCCTATTCCATATACAGATAAAATTATCTTTTCCTTAGCAATTAATATTAAATTAAACTCTATTTTTGTTTATACGTAAACAGGGTCCAACTGAAACCAACCTTGGGTGTCAAATTGTCAATTCTATTTTTCAAAACAATATGTGTAAAGATGCACTCGAAACCGCCGTTAAAGCATAGAACTAACTTTTGATATGTTCTGTTTGTTTAGGTCAAACGGCTGTAAAGTTTAGTGGTGACTCCCGAGATTGTTCTATCAATAGATGCCTCATACATGATACAAATGGTGGACTCTTAATTTACGGTATTCCAAGACTATTGTTTATAATTCATTTCCTTTTTCTTGTTCTATTATCACCTTCTGTTATTAGAAATTTTTTAGATAAGATTTGTATCGCCTTTTTATGGACAAAAATATCTTGATTGCTGTTAAGTTACGTACATAAATAAATCATTTCGTAAATAACCGAACGATTACACTGAGCAGAAAAATTTGCTAAACTGTTTTTGTCATTTTAAGGTGGAAGTAGATATTCACTGCAGTCATCGGGACATACAATAGAGAACAATGAGATATATGACTACTCGAGAACTCGTGCAATTGGGAGTGACGGTATAAAGGCGATAGGTGTTGGTCACGTGATAAGATACAATCACGTGTATTTCGGACAGTATACCGCTGTTTGGTATTCGGTTTGTGTTATATTTATTTCTTACAAACATGAAAGTGGTTTCAGCGAAAATCTTCCGATGCGCTTTCTCTTATTTTTATGATTTTATATTCATCCTTCATAACAATACTTTCATATCTATTTTACTGAGTGATAAAGTCATTTTTGTTTTCTTCTTACTATGTCAACATGTTGCTTGAGTTCATACCAGAATGTTGTTTACAAAAATAAATGCATTAAGACCACGTTGTGTATTTATTTTTATTGGCCATAAACTTCTATTTTCATTGGCTATCAACTACTAGTATCACATTAATTTCAATGATAGTGTCAATAATTGCATAATTGCTTATATGCAGATTATCATGTCTATTAGCCTGGTAAGACCTAATCATACCCGTGCTCTTCACGTTGATTTTAAGAAATTTTGTAGCTTTAAATGACATCGTACATGCCTTGTCTATCACTTCTCATAAACATAGTTTATATCACTGTAATCATGTATTTTAGGGTAACGATATCCTGATGGAATACAATCTACTTAATCACAACTGCCTTAATGCATCAGATTGTGGAGCTTTTCATACTGGTCGTGACTGGACCACTGTATGTATCTCACATTATCTTTTGATAGAAAAAATACAAATAATACATATAAACCGTGATTTTATCAGTATGATCTACATACTCATATTTGTCTTTGGGTAGATTCTATTATTTCATAAATAAAATATTCAGAATAAAGTATCTTGTTTTGAAATTCAGTAACCTCACAATCTCTCAAATTTACGTTAGTTGATAAGATGCTAATGAGGTCCTTTTTATATCATTACCTCTTAGCGTGGCAATATAATACGCTACAACATTGTGCACCATACATTGAGACTTGTACCTGGGGCTGACGTCAGGGGAGTGATGTTAGACGACCAATCCTCAAGCACCCGAATAACAAACAACGTTTTCTATAACGTAGGTAACAGTTTTGCATACATAAAAGATAAAGGAACTTTTGGTAAATGCTTGGTAAAGAACATGTGTGGTAAATGTAGTTGTTTTGTGAGATATTCATGAAACATACGTATTAAGTATTTCTGTCCTCTTCATTGTACTTTAGCATAGAGTAAAATAATTTTTTAGTTTATAATTTATGTATATATATTGACAAAGAACGTAAGTCAGCAAACGTCGAAGAAAATACAAGTAATACAAATTATAAAACGTCAACAGTGTAGTGTTGTCAGAAGACTAAAACTATTTTCAGCTTAACTTTGAAACTAGATTTTCAACGGAAATACCTTTTGTAATGAATAGAGAGGAGGACAATGTGGTGTCCAAAAAGTTAAATCTGATTTCTATTTAATCTTTAAAATGTAATGATCAATACTTATTATGTGTGGAATATAGGATATGTTTATAATATTATGTTTTATGCATAATACTTGTTGTTTATATAGAACCACGTTCATGCAAACATTGGAGGAGGGCGATATAATATCATTTCCAACAATGTGATGTATAATGCCACTGGCCATAGTATACAAGTAGACAACAGGGGGACAGCACATACCAATGATCAATATCTCATACAACGGCTTCATGTATGGTTCTTCTTTTATATAACACAAATATTTTCCTTTGACATGTGATTTTGCCCTAACAAGTAAAAATTGTATGAACTTAATCATTTTCCATTGTGCGATAATAAAATTAAATGATTTTTAAAAGAACATTCTTATAGTCATAACAGAAGGCATTAATAATAATTTAACTTTGGTAATTTCGTTGATAATATTGAAGACGGACAAAACCCAACACGTCAAAACCCCACACCTCAAAATTTAAAGAGTGGACAAAACCCAACACATAAATTTTAAAGAGAGGACAAAACATCACACCTGAAATTCAATAGAGTGGACATAACATTTTTTATTACTAAGCTGTAAAGACCTTTGATTGACAATAAAATAAGACACATTTTCGAAACTTTAAATAATTAATGATAATAAAGTATAACGAACGTCTACCTTTTGGTTTTTAATTAACAGTTTGTAATATTTGAATGTTTACCCTTTGATTTTGATATAACATTTTGTTATATTTGTATAGTCTTTTATCAATCTTACCATGAAAAATAATTATATTAACAATATCAAATTGTTCTAACAAGATCAAAATCATATGAACTGTATGGTTTTACAACAAATAATTATGTATGGGGTTATGTCCACTCTATAAAATTTAAGGTGAGGGGGTTTTGTCCACTCTATAAAATTAATATGTGGTGTTTTGTCCACTCTATCAAATTTTGAGGTGTGGGATTTTGAGGTGTGGGGCTTTGTCCTACATTTGGATCATATAACATATTGTTCTAGATTTTACATATTATTCATAAATATCATATAAAATACTACGACGTTGATTGAAAGACTAAATATTCCCATAAACATATACAAAATATACCATATTGTTACTGAAGTTATGTTACAAAATACTGTAATAATGTTTACTTGGTCATATATTTTCGTTAAAAAGACAAAGGGAGTTAACGTTTCAAAACTATATGATAAATGATCTACGTATTAATTTCCCTTCTTTAAATGCAAGAACACCACGTTCAATATTTGTCATATAATTTTTATAGTGTGGAAATATTTCATATAGATTTTTCTACATGAAGTCTAACTAAGTAAAATCAATTTTGCATTTTCACATTCTGTTTTGAAATTGGAATCTGGAAGTTAACAAGTCGATATGTTACGCTTTAAATTCAGCAGGGCAAAAGAATAAAACATGAACACACATGTTTTTAGTAAGCTTTATGTCAATAGTTAGATTGCATTGTTTTTTTTTCAAAATATTATACATCTTAATTCTAAATGAGTTGTGATGTTGAAAGAATATACTAGCATTTATTTATAACTCTATTGGTGGCCTGCCATAGGATGTACGAATAAAACACTATTAAAAGTAAAATTTACAATATTTTTTATATTATTCTTACAATAATGATTCCTACTCTTCATGAATGAGAATATTTGAGTTGCAGCTGTTTAGGAATGTTTATTTTCCATCACAGGCAATTAGTGAGACCAATATATGACATTTAAAAGTTACAAGTAAATGTAATTTTCTTGTCATGACAGGCTGTACCTTACAACAGCTCTTTATGGTTACTGCGATATCCAGAATTACAATATCTCAATTTAAAAAATGCCAGTTTACCAGAGGGTAAGAATATACTTATGATAATGTTACAAATATACATGAGTGGACTTTTGCATGCTAAGCCATTTTATAGATATATTCTGCAATGTGCTTGATAACATAATTCCTTTTTCTTACTGATTTTCATTCTAATATAATTTTATGTGATTTATTTATTTTCATTTATTGAAAGTTTATATTTTCTCGTACCTTTTAATTAAGGTCTTCTTGTCTTGAATATTTGATTAACGAAACAATGGTAAAGCAGCATATGTCAAGAAGATAACATGAAATTTTCTGTCTCACTATTATTTCTCTTCAAAAACATTATATAGTACAAAGAAATCAAAAAGTTACTTAAATATCTTCATATTTTAACATTGTTGCACTGAAAACAGAAACTTATTTCCAGTACCACGTGATGGCACATGATAATATCGGGACCTATGATCCGGATCAACCAGAGATAAACTGCTTTGGTTTTGATTTTTGTGGTTACTCGTGACACTAAAAATATAATTGATTAATTATGCCATTCATGTATATATGATGACCAGAATTTTTATAGTATTTTTCTCATTGCTGCAATCTAAAGACGAGTGTGTTTAATATCTGTTTAACTATGGCCATTTTCTTTTGATACAGGGAACCAGATCGTAAAGAATTTGGTGTACAATGCTCAACACCAAGAGTACGTGTATAGATATAGCAATGCTTATATTAAGCCTAACTTCTTCAACATATCAGAAACAGGATTTGTAAGTACACTTGTATCGCTCTACCAGTTGTTGCTTTGTTAAACAAGAATTAAAATATGTTTTCCCATACAACACTCATGTGACCCATGATAACAACGTATTTGTTTAATTTTGAACCTTCATGAACCGAAGGTGATTAGCCTTTGAAAGCCTTTGCTACCAACATGTAGCACGTTCGTGCAAGTCTGACTCTGAGGGTTAATTGGTTTTGTGCTTTTAAAATGTTAAATACATTTCATCTTTGTAATTCATGTGATTATAAGCCATGCATATTAAGCTTTCCCTAGGTATTAGTAAATTAGCGTTGTTGTTTTTAATTGTATTTAATCAGTCACTAGGAAAAACAGATCATTTCGATGTTGACAAGGGTGATTATAGACTAAAATGTTATGCTGCCGAATGGGCAAACCATGTGAATTTCGAACAGGTTCCTTCACCGAATGATGTAGGCCCAAGATTGTCAGTTGGACCAACATACATCAAAAGAAGTATATAAAATTTAATTCAGTTTTCATACATAAAAAACACATATGCACAGCTATACATTCCTGATCGCCAGCGAAAAGAAATATACTAATTATGATTTCAAAGAGACAATTTTCATATCTTTGAGCATTCTGTAAACGTTTTTGCAATTTCTATAATCAACATGTTTGATGATAATGAAATTCATTACGCATCTTTTGGCATTCTCAATATTCATGTTGCAGAGCTAACTCTCATTGTATCTTTTTATATCTATAATTCAAGTCAGTACTTCTCTCGTATGCTTGACGAAAAGCAATAGAATACAATGTATCAACAATTTCAAAATTATTTTGTTCTCGTCCTTAAAAAGAACTCTCTCACATGGTAAATCTGACGTCAATCTCGCACGTGTGCAGTACACATCGTCCGGTAACAACAGCACCGGTATCAGCATATCTACCAGATGGATCACGACATAATGATCTGTTTAATGTATCGGAAGAAGGTAAAACAAAAATATCGTATACAACATTATTCAGTGATGAACATAAGCTCCTTTTTAAATTAAGTGAATTAACCTGGAAATAAACATTTGCAGGTATTCAAAACGGAGTGTATCACCATGAAATATAATTTTACAAATAAAATGTATTCCATAGTATCAAAAATCATAATAGAACAAACAAATTCATTGTTAACCATTTGTATAAACAACTTTGACTGATATCTATACGTGGTATACTTTTGGAGATACAAAGTAAATATCTATGGTAAATCTTTTAACATAATATCTATGATAACTTTTTCAAGAGTGTCAGTAGAAGTGGTATGGACGCTCTTGGCTTCGTAACGAATAGACAACAGAAAGAATACCTCATCTAGAAATTGATAAAAAAAATCGTGTATTAAAGATAATTTAAATCTTACATGTGATTCAATTACATTATTTCACATTTTGAAAATCACACAGTGGTAACCATACATATTTCTCTCTAGGGTGTTGGTTAAGTGTTTCTAGTTGCACAGATCATCCTACAGCAGTAGGAACATACAGGGACATATATGGAGAACAACATGGACATGCTGCTGATAATGAGACAATGTGTTTTCACAGAGCGGTAGCTCAATGGCAATATTGTGGGTCGCATAAAAATGAACAAGTTGCTGCCATTTACGGTCCCTCAGGTAAATAATATAGAGCAATACAAATAAGACAGTACACTGGCGTATAAAAATTGAACATTTGATTAGATATGATCGTATTTCTGGTTTGTTTTAAGACAAATAAGACGAGTGATATTTCGTATGTTATGAGCCATTTTGAAAGGTCAATTGAAAGACGTGGAGAACCTCTTAGACTTTCCATCCCTTACTTTGATTATAACATGCATAAATATTAACTAGTTCCTCTCAGCACAGTGTGGGCGACTTTGGTATTAAAACCATGCTATTTTGATGACGTACACTGAAATATTGTCGACAAAACTAAGTTTCATCTTTATATATATGCAAAAACATTTTGTTAAATGTAACATTAAACACCTTTCGTACATTTAATCGAAGATGTTAGTTTTATTTATTATGTTATTTCAATTTAAAGATCGTTCAGCACGACATAATTGTTGTGAGTGCATTTTTTGGTACTTTAAGTTCTTCATCCAGTATTCCTCACTTAAATACTGTTTAATCACCCTTTAGGGATATGTGATCTGCTTTTTAATTTTATTTTTGTCTTTTGACAGCTAATCTGTGATATGCAGGTTTCATACCCTCTTATCCCCTTTTAAAATTCCATTTTATTAAGTTTCGTCCATTGTTTTCTCGATTAGGGCACACGCATTTTATTACTTGGAGGATCACATGCCGCTTTTCATGGAATAGCAATATCGTGTCACATTGAAGGTTCAATGTTTACCGCGATATGAACACATCTGTGGATGTTTCAAAACTCAAAATTGTATCATCAGTTTATCGTAAATGATGAATTCTACCTAAGCCGTTTCGAGGAGATGGGGGGGGGGGGGGGTGCGTGAACGATAGCTTGCAATTAATACTACAATCCATGGACGGACTCGCTACAACTTATTTCAATTTTGCCGTGTTGGGTTTTCTTTAGGGAATCTGTTTTTCTCTATGTTGTATTAAAAGAATAGATGTTTGATAGGTGCAACAAGATTAGCAGGGGATGGTTGTTTTATGGCAAAGTATGGCTGCCCCAAACACGGCGGGCCAACAGACGGCCATGTCCTCCACACTGGAAATATATTCCGTGATACCTATGCTGAGCAACATGGAGCAGCCACTGATGAAGAAAAGTGTTTGTCCCGAGCAATTGCTCAGTGGGTATATTGTGGATCTAGCAGTAATCATCCGATTACTTCAATATATAGACCTACTGGTATGTCACTCTGACCAAAATATTAAAGCGTAAACAATAGTTATGACTGTCATTATTTTCTAATAATATTTCGAACATTTTCTTAATATGATTAAGATCGTTCAAGATAAAGATTGTTTGTTTGATTTTCTGTTTTGGAACCAATTTTAACAAAATATTAAGTATATCTCGGCGGTCAAACTGCCTCACATGCGTTCCATAATAGCTCACCAATACCAACAAACAACTCCGCGAGTGACCGATCACTAGTCCCAAATGATTTCTGTACAAGTGGCGAGAGACAAATGATAATAAGACTCAATGTCCGAGTTCAGTTGACACAGAGAAATTGGGGCTTGCCCGCGATCAAACCAGCGAATCTTGATCACTGCTAGGAATCCCATGCTCTAAAGAATTATTTTGGGTAATGCGGACGGGCTTTATGAAGGTAATGTACGAAAAATCTTTATTGGCAGTGCTGGAAACTAAGCTGTTGCAGGTAATGTAATAAATTTTACTCGTTGTCGTCAACATCATGTCATTAATTAAAGCAACTTGCTCAGTCACTAATAAATACCAAATAACACGCTTTTAATACATGCTTTTCGTTGGTTTATAGAAATATATCAGTGATATAAAACTGGTAATTTCACTGTTTGAAACAGTGAAATTACCACTTTGATAATTTCACTGTTTTGAATTTAAGCCCCTTACGTTGTTTCAGGGAAATACCAGCGTGCACAGAACTGGGTACCAACTTAATGATGTGACGTCGTAAATGACGTCACGTTGTATTATTATTTGGCGCGCTTTTCATTCAGTATTAGGTTTAATGTCTTTTTAAAACGTTTCTTTGCATATAATAAAAAGAAAATTTGTTTAGTTTAGTGTAAGATCGAAATATATTTCACCTTGTGAACACCAAAAGTTCATATTACACTCGTGGCTGCGCCACTCGTGAAATATACCTTTTGGTGCTCACTCGGTGAAATATATTCCGATCTTACACTGAACTAAACAAATATCCTCTATCTATTTATTAAACAGGTGCAATCCGTACAGCCGGTTTTGGTTGCTGGATGCATGTGCAGCATTGTCCAAAACTTCCCGACACAAAACCTATGTTCTATGATGCATGGGGTGCTGCAAACTATCATACAGGTAGAATTGGAATAAATTAGATAAAATATTTGTAAATTGGTGTTTAGTGTAATGGCATTTAAACCGAATATACGACTTAATGAAACATCTAATGCAAAAATAAATTAATGATCATGGTTACAGAATGTGTTTATAACTCTATGTTGTTGTATACACTATTCTCACAATAAACAATAACTAAACAAAGCACGTTTTTTTGCTGTTACAGATGATTCAAAGGATGCTTGTCTCAATCAAGCGGAATATTACTGGACAAAATGTGGATCTGATGACAGATATCCAGTTACAGCATTTTATAGGTCGTCTACAGCGAGGAAAACTTTCCCATAATCTATCTTTTACATATAATATATTTTAACCAAAGCCAAGGCTGTTTTTATTTTATTGTGTCCACAGTTTTTGGCCCCTAGAAGATACCTTTGTACTAATATTTCAATTAATCTCTTCCTATATATCATATAGTTAAAAGGAATCAAAACATTGCTTCAATAACAATTATATTTTTGACTTTTTTGCTTCAAAAACAGTTCACTTGTCCGCCATCGAGATATACATTCTTTAAATATACTACGGTCGGGATATTTATAGTACGGCGTAACGGTGTGGATCCCGGGACATTATTAACAAATACATTGCTTTGGATTTAATATTTGTTGTTATTTGTGGCAATGAAAAGTTTGTAAAATTATTTAATAAATTAATTATTACTATTTATTGCCACAACTTACGACAAGTATCGAACTCCTAACAGATTAATCCCTTCTCTTGTTTTTGTTGTTGTTTCAATATCTCATAGCAGTGGGTTAGCTTATCGTATAATTTTGAGTATCTTTTTACCAAATTACTCATCTGTTTTTGTCTTTCATGTTCCCTTTCAGTAATAACTGAATTTTGGACTATTTTATAGTTAACAGAACCAATAAGAAAATAACAATAAAAAATGGCAACAACATGTAATACAAATACGATTTATTAAAATACAAAGCTCATTGGTACCAATGCATACAAAATAGAATATTGTTACCCTTATATCTCTTTAAAGTTTTAGTCTTTTACAAATTTGATAATTCATGAAATAGAATGACATTATAAATTAACTACATACACCAATTTAAAATATTTATTATATGAAAAAATGTTTTGGTCTCTTTGATATATAAAATGTTAAATTTGATATATACAAAAGGCACATACATACATACATACATACATACATACATACATACATTAACACCCTTAAACGAGAACAGATGCATTCGTATTCCTTAAAAAGTAAACATGTTTTAAACTGAAATTGATAAATGTAATGCAATGAATGTATAACGGTTATTGCATGCTTACTAAAGATTAAAACACGCAATCTTTACATGTATTTTTATTCCCAAGGGAAGGAATCTTTTTTGAATGTGTGCATGGATTATAAACATATATTTAACATAGTGAAGACTCAGCTGTACAAACTGTTTGGTAACTTAAAGTTTATAGTCACTCCAGAGTAGACAGTAGTTTAAAAATTAGGTTTTTAATAAAATAGCATGTGCGAAAATGTAATAAACTAGAAGAATGTTAAAAGAGTTTATTCCAATGCTTCTTGAATATACTGCAGAAACTGTATTTAATTGATACAGTTAACTATTTTCCTTGAGCAACTCCTTTACACAAAACAGCTCCCCCCTCTTCCAACAACAATACAGGCCAAACAATGAAGTCTATTTTCTTTCCAGCTTTTGTATATTGTTTATATCTGCTAGTATCAAAATTGGATCCTGACTTGGCACACGTGTCAATAACAACAGGTGGAGTTTGCACGTGCATTAACCAACACAGCTCTATACAACGGGTAGTATAACTTCCCAACGCTTTCGAAACAAACCATTCCTTCTTTGCCGATTCTATTTGCTATGAAAATATATAAAGTAAAATATACGTTTTAATTTAACTCTGAAATTTGTCCTGTCTTTCATCATGGCAAGGCAACGTTCACAGAACGCAGCCCCCGGCACAATTCAGTCACAGTCTACTCTTGCAGCATGGTTACATGCATTTATTTGATTGTATTATACAAATCTTGATAATCTTATTATGTGAAATAAAAATTGTACTATATATCACTTGCTTTAAAACGAACATACCGAAATCACACCATCAACGGATATATCTGCAGTCTGCTTTCGAAGTTCTGATAAAGTCTTTGACTGAACCGCTGAGAAGAAGACAGGGTTTTCCGTTTTTCCCCTTTTCTGAAAAACGAGAGTGGAACTTAAATATCTACATGTATATACAAAATACATTGTATTACAAACGTAGACATGACTTAACATATAGACATACACTTTTTTGTATAATATTTGGTATTTTCATAATATTAGAATAGAACACATATTATATTTAACTGTAACATCTTTTTATTGTTAGTATGTTCGTAAAAATCAACTAAATGTTTAACAAAGATATCGTTGAAAACGACGAAGGTTCCCCAAAAAAGCAAATGAGAGATGGTAGGGTGTGAAAGTGCGAAAGGTGTTGAGTGAAAGAGAAGTTTGTAGATCATCGCTGATCCTTTTTGAATATGTAAATTATGCAAAGATATTCCAAAATTCAGATTTTATGATAATTAAAAAATAAATACTGAGGAGAAATTATTGTAACGGAAACGTACGTTATAGTTAATTTGATTGCCTCCCTTTTCTATAAGTTTGCCATTTGTATACGAAAAAATATTATAATCCATTCAAATATTTTACTTGATATAAAGAGTAGGTATTTAAGGTTTTTTTTATCAAATATGTATAACTTTTAGGTAATCATCAAAGTGTTTACATTTGAAATTGTTGATCTATTACTAACAATAGTTTGTAAAAAAAGTCACTTCTATTAACAGACGCTTATAAGGTTTAGTTACAAGACACTTTTATTTTAGCCAATCGAAATAATTGTTTTATTCACTGCGGGGATGATGCTTCACCAGCATATACATAGAGCGTTCGCAGTGTGAAATATTCAGGTTAGTCCTGTCCGTTGGAGAGTGGAAAAGAAGTCGTCAATACGTACTAGTACACAGACATCTCAGATATCTGATACAAAGGACCTTGTATGATCTCTGTTAAATCCTTGGGCATAAATAACTTTAAGAAAGAAATATTTTAGGTAAGTTTGGCTTTGGCTCTGTACGGCTAAGATCGAAGTGGTAATTATATTTACAAGTACCCAGAAATCTTAGATATCTGGTGGTAAAATATCTTTGCTGTTTCAGGAAATATTTTGAGAGTTGAATAGTTAGACTGCTTGTTGTCCTTGTAAGAGTTGGATAGAAGTGATATTGCATTTACTAGTACACAGGCATCCCAGATATCTGGCGCTAAAAGTACTTTATTACTTCAGTAAAACCTCTTGGGCAAATGTTTGATACGGGATAGTTTATTTCGAAAACAGTATTTTAAAGGATATATTTTTGAATATAAGTTTTTGTTTAAAAGTATATTGTTTAGTTGTTTCTTGAAAGATATAATTCGGATAATTCAAGAATAAGTTTGAGATTGTTATTTTTGCATTTTATTATCTCTGGAGGTTATATTAAGTTGATATCTCATCAAAAGGTTAAGAAACCACAAGAAAAATTTAAATTTGAATATTTCAAATCGATTCGGATAAGTATCGCAAGTAAAAAATATTTGCATTTAAGAATATTTATGATTTTATTTTGTGGCACTTGAATAATAATCTACCGCTCGGTGCACGCTACATTATAATAGGAAAATGAAATGAAGAGTGATATTCTGCTCTTAACTGGTAAAACGTGATATCATAATATTTCAAATAATGTGTTAAAAGCAGTCATTAAAGGAGTGGGACTAAACAGAAAAAATGAGAATAAAGATCAACAAGGCAAGGCAACGTTCACAGAACGCAGCCCCGACACAACCCAGTCACACCAGAAGGGCACTCAGAAAGCAACGATCTAAAAATTGAGAGAAGACAAAAGTGATGTGAAAGGAGGACAGGGATATCTATTAAGTAAAATGATAAGTAAAAGGGTCCAATACGGGAATTAAAGTGACAAGGGCTGTAAGGGGAATAAAAGGGGGTCACAAAACGGGATTAGAGGGGTAATGGGAAGAAAATTCTTACCGTTAACGAGTTAACGACAAATAACCAAAATAGGACATCACGAAACGTTTGTTTGTTTGTTTGTTTCATTTTACGCCTTTTCCCAACAGTATTTCAGTCATATAGGCGGGTAGTTTCCTAACCATCGTTCCTGGAGAGTTACACCAATCACGAAACGTGCAAACATTCAAAACAATCAACAATACACAAAACACACACGTGAAGGAACACAGAGGGTACCGCCTTGGAACAGTCAGTAGTTATAACACCACTGGGGAGATTAAACCGGTTTAAGGCGCGTCAAACCTCACTGTTGCCCCTAAGACAAGGGGTTTGAATAAAATGAATCCCCGCCAAGTGAATTCTAACATTTGTCATGGTTACATTAGATGAAATAAATAAAACACATAAATGATCAAGAAAATATGTACACAAGTTACAGCCTACTGACCATAGAAAAGGTACTCGATGCCCTTAACGAAGACAGAGCAGCAAGAAAATCACCTACAAACGCCCGATGAAGCAAGACAGAAGACGAAAATTAAAACAGTTCATTCCTTAAGGCTTTAGTCTTCCACTTGGTCCGTCAGATGCAATTAAAAGCGTCCATCTGAAATAGGGTTAAACACCAAGCATGCCGAATGTCTTAAAATAATTATATATTTAAGTGGGACTAAAAACTAAAACCGAAACATATAGTTTTTACATATTCCGTTGACAGTTTAACTTCCTTTGAAGGTCCAATATTTACGCGAAGGTTTTCCGGAAAAGAAAATAGGATGGAAAGAAAATTAAGAGATACGCCTATACAGAGAGGCGACTACATGAATCCCCATTGAAGATTATATTGCACGTTATGTTTGCATTTTTTCTTAAAGATATACAACGCTCATCTTTGTTTAACTAACTTTAATGCAGACATCTTAATTAATGAAATCTAGTACATTCTTCCTGAATATGTCTAATAAGTAAATGTATTTATTACCTATGTTTTGGAAGCTGCATTCCTTATTACTTGTCAAATTAATTTTGTTTATTCTTATAAAAACTGCCATTTTTTAATGTAACTATGTAATTATACTGTGATTACCTTTGTTGTGTAGAGTTTAATGCGTTACATATTTTCTTTTTGTGTATTCAAAAAGATGCTTGTTTTACATTTCAAGAGAAACTGTAAAGTAATTATCAGTGTTCTTCAAATATAAGCATACCGTAATATATTTTTTATTACAAAATCACTTTGGAGTTATGTTTAGTTTAAGCAAAATCCTTTGAATTGTTAAACAATGTATGCTGAATGGAAACAAAATTGTGAAGAATCAATGAACCGAAAATATGCATTACTTAGTGAAGCTTCCAATGAAATTTCGATAACTCTCAGTCATTGAATTGATTGCTGTAAATTAATTCTTACCAAAAACTGTTAAAGCGTTAAAGGGACATAACCCACTTAACTAGAACATGATAAGTATATGCTCCCTCCTTTGTTGTAGCTGAAGTTCCGATTCTGACAGTTTTTCAGTCTTTTCAGAATGAACACGGAAATTTATCCCATCATGTTACCTGAGTGCGTGTGAAGGCAATGTGACATTGTCGTAAGGGAGCATTATAAACAAATTATAAAGACTATCTTTTCTTTTAACAATTGATTTAAATGCAGATTAACTCTTTTTCGCTGGCTTTCAAATAATATTTAAATACCAAATGGCCTTTTTCATTCTATGAAAAAAAAATTATCACGAGAGACTTATTATTCAAATATATATACCAATATCAAATCAAGAATTATTTTTACCTGTTTTGATGCTTGTCCAGATGCTATATTTTCACCAGGACAGCACACAGCACTCTTCAAATTCCGTTGATGATTCTTAGATATTTTCCAACAAATTTCAAAACAATCCTGTTAAGAAAATAATGAAGAAAATGCATTTTCATTTCCCGAGACTAGGAAATATTAAGCAAAGTTATAAGATATTTTATTTGACGTGGAAAATCATATTATTTAGTTCTTTCTACCTTTATAAAGTTTGTCTTGAACACCGACAACAATTAAATTAAAATATTATTATTTTGGTTTAAATGCCATTGTTTACTTTGTACGTACAGGTGACCCATTGTTTACCCCTCATATATCAGTACAATTATGACTTGTATTATTGTTAATACATGTACATGTTTCAGGTTAAATTTAATACGACTCTTACTACGATAATCTTTAACAAATATGCTGTGTTTTCTTGATCTTTATTTTTCAAAGTTTGGAAGGCATCTTTCCAGTGGTTGTCATACAACTCTGAAAACTGTTCAGCTATTTTGGTTGGACGATATGGATTACTTAGATCTGCAATATTTGGGTTGTTGTCCACCAGACGTGCTCCACAGTCCTTTGATAATCTAAAATTTGTTAAGATATTAAATAACAGATATATTTTGTTAAAATAAAACGATTCATAGCGATTAAAATGTTACAAATTTCACATAAAATAAAGTTTGTACATTTACAATATTGATTTGAAATTATAAATAGCACTATCATTAGCAATAACCCCGTTTGGACGAGGCAGTAAATGTAAGCCAAACTACTCACCTAAAGGTATTGATAATTAATAAGTTGTATTGGCAAACTTGTCAAACAAGCTTAACATTTGTTTCTTAAAATTGCTCAAGTTTCGTGTAAAATTAAATCACTTCTCTAATAATGTTTGTTTTAATTACATACTTAGTCATTTTTCAAATAAAATTAATACATAATCATGTTCATTAGGTTTATTATAATAATGGATTGTAATCTATTGATTACAAACTAGTGTGCACAATTTCTGATTTCATTCATGTGAAAATAGAGTTTTAATAACTTTATTTTTTTTTTACATTTAAACTGCAAAAGTTTTGACTTAGCATAAACATGAACATAATGCACAAATTGTGTGGTCATATATATATTCAAGTACCAGTAGGACTGATAAATTTCAGAATTAGTTTTGGGTTAAAGATAGCAACTGTTTTCTGTAAAAACAGAACAGAGCAGAATACAGCTGTAGTGCACACTGGAGCCTTTGCATGTACTTTATCGCCTTATTCAGATGTTAAGAAATTGATGCATTGCAAACTATTTGTCAGTAAAACACCATACTTTTTTGACTTATAACAATTTTGTAGCAAGACTAAATGTGTATTTGCAATACAAACGATGTTTACGTACTAGAGGTCTCGTGACTCCCTTCTTCGATACAGTGTATAAAATTGATTGATTGTCAAATACACTCGAATTGAAAACTTTCAATCGTCGAACGGAATCAGAAAACGATTTAAAATTGAGACTGGTACTGCAAAGACAAACATTTTCGCTAGCCTTAAATTTCGCAAAATGACCATTTCATGATCGAACAACATATTTTTTATACAAAGCAAACAAATACAAATTCGTTTTTTTTTAAAAAAAAATCAGTCACGTACGACTATATTTAAGAGAATTACTGCTTCGCCACCGAGACACAACATCTAATTATGCTTGTAAGGATATTTGGAGTGTCTGACCTTAGTGATCTGTCAAAAAATAGACTTACTCGTTGAATTCAGCTAGACGTCTTTGCGCATCGGACACGTATTTCTTGATTTCTGTCAAAGCTTTTCCGGTTTCATCTACCCCCGACTTCACTTTGCCTGATGTAGGCCTAATCATTGTCCACATTTCTTTAATCACTTGATCTTGACTTTGTTTCTCTTTGCGCGCGACACTCGCTTTGTTACGTCCACTGTATAATATTGGTAAAATGTATTTATGTGCTATTCTTAAACATTACACCTTGAACAAGTTAGTTATCAGATTTAATACCTGTATACTTGGTACAACAACTAAAAAAGGATCAACATATCAAAGTTTGCTCGTACAAGAAAGTAATGACTGTCAGAAGAAGTAAACCTGATCATTTGAAAGCTAGCCGGGCATAATCAAAATTCAAAAGCAAGAAAGCTTAATATATATATTCATTCTTACATTCTATTAGGAAAGAAAATTAATTCAAATATGTTGAAATACATTGGGCAGACATGTTTCGTCGCATCTGACGTCACATGGCACGTCAGTATTAATTTTGTTGGATTTTACTCAGCAGTACACTAGACGTTTGCAGACATCATGATCACAACGCAGAAATATATCGCTTTTTAGCCGATATTTACATTTTTCAGTCATTAGCGTATATAAATAGGTGTGAAATGATACATTAAAAACTTTAACTTGCATTTCGGCGTGTGAAAAGGCAAGAGTTTTAGCATTTTATCATTAAAGCACCTTGACCGGTATATACCGAAATGCAGTATTTAGTGTGGTGCCCAATCTTACTAAATGTTACGTGTCATGGTATTTCTATGTTGGAATAGATATGTCTTGGTTTAAGTGCATTGTGGTACAATATTGCAGGGTATGTCTTTCAGCACATGTTCGTCATTATTCACTCAACATTTCCGCGATGTATTTTACTCAATATGCTCAAAATAAGGAAGGATATATTTTCTAAATATAGCATGTTTGGAGTTCAAATGCGCAGTTATAATATCAAAAAGGCAATTGGCCTTTATATATTAAATATTGTTTCTTTGTGCTTTATATATTAAATATTGTTTCTTTGTGACATGAGAATGATCTAAATAAACGGAGTATAGATATTAAAAGAATAAGGAAATATACTTACTACAAAATAGTTCTAGCCACCATTTGTATACATGATATAAAAAATTACTGACTTTAGCAATTATTTACCTTTTAAAATCAAGTTTTCTGTCGCGAAACTTCAAGCGACAATCACGGAGAGCTTCGACCACTTTGCATGCATTTCCTTTTGCTTCTTTAAGAGGTTTTGTATCATCCCATGCATTAATCTCCTCCAGTAAAGAGTTTACTTCTGTTTCGATACTTAAAGCAAGATTGGACATGATATTATTTAGATTAATTCAAATTACACTTTGCATAAAATGGAACTATGCCTTTCAATGTCCTCTATACCATAAACAAAATACTAACATACAAAATGTTTAAGATTTAAAATGATGGAGATAGCGTTTTGGAAGGCGATAACGCGTTCCTATTTGCCGTTGCTTCGGCCCAAGAACTACAATATCTACGCACAGGCGTAATATCGTTCGATGCAAGTCAAACAAATCAGAACAAAAAACGTTTAGTAATATGTGAAAAGTATTCAATTTCTTGAAATTACTCAAGTCGTTCTAAAGAAATACTTAGAATAGATCTCAGCCCGTGTAATTTGAAAATACCACAAAACTTGTTAGTACAGGACATACTTCCCCTGAGAAATAGTTTTTCAAGTGCGAACTGAACAGTTTCAATGACTTTTTTCAGATACGAAATTGATTTCCATCAGTTAATTAATAAGCTATTTTTGCATAAAAATTAAAATTGATTGTGTTACAATAACCTACTCATTTACGTTTCTTTTTCGTATATCCGACATATATAGCTCTTTTTCATCCAAAGAATTTAAATTTGCGAAATGTACTTTGCTTGTAATATTGTTTCTACATATTTACTGCATATATGATATAATAAGACTACACCATTCAAATATTTGTTTGTTTGTTTGTTTCATTTTTACGCCTTTTCCCAACAGTATTTCAGTCATATAGGCGGGTAGTTTCCTAACCATCGTTCCTGGAGAGTTACACCAGTACTAGACTCCCTTCCTTCGTGCTAAACTACCAAAGCATCTCCCGGGGATCGAGCCCACGCCAGAGAGGTAACTGGATTAGAAGTCATCGACTCTAACCCCTCGACCACGGAGGCAGTCGACAAACATTTTAAAAACCATATTATCATAACACACGCTATGGATTTGACGGAAACACTAGATGGTAAGGCATTCGAAATATGAGTAATTAATAAATTAGTATATATCAACAGAAAAAAAATTAAAAGAAAGAGAAAGAGAAGAAGAGAAAAATTAGATGACACCAACGCTAAGAGTTTTGGAAACAAATGATACTTTCGGGGGTACATAGACAGTAATTAAGTGAAAATTAATTTATTTACATGGACTATATTTCGAATAAAAAGGTGATGATTTAGTTCCAAGCCTAGCATGTAAGACCTGTTCTATTGGTGATCCGTTGTAAAAAGCAGTGGAAGTACTGTCATGGACTGGCATAAATTTACTTTTTAAAGCTTTGAAGTAGGTGCATATCTTACGTCAATTGTTCTAATCACGAACTATCACGGGTAAGAAAAAAATGTAATATTGGTTTGTTTGGGAATGCATGGTTTTCAACAGGTCTGGAATTCAAAGGTTGTACGAAGGCAACACTATTTTGAGGAACGAGATTTGTAAGGCAATATGGTGCAATATCATTTATCATCTTATAGAACATTATCAGTCCGTGAACTCGTAGTCTCTCTTCTAGTAATGACCAATTCACTGCTGAAGCTTATCGAGAGAGACCAGTTTGGTTGCTCCCGATAAAATACGTCATTCGTTTTTGTTCTTGTCAAGCATGTCCTTTTCATCCAAGGAGCAATCATTCCAAATAACATTAGCATATTTTTAAATTAGTCGAATGTAAGAGTTGTATATTACTTAAAGAGATTTAATATCAAGAGATATTTTCAATCTGTGCATGATGCCAACCCGTTTCTATGCTTAAATTAATGTATAGTCAATATGTGATGTCCTACTTACGGTATAATTTGGTTTTTATATCTTTAAGCGCATGATTCTGGTTTTGTTTAAGTTTCATTGTGTCTTATTTTTTTCTCTATTTCACTGAATAACAATATTTTTGAAAAAGAAATACACGAGGGTGTAATACAATAATTGAGTATCATACTGAATTGTACTGGACGAGTTACACCTGTAAAACCTTATTGGACGGGGTGCTGGCCAACACTGATATAGGAGTCTAATAGTCAGTGATGTTGTCAACAATATACAAGTTTATTGAGCTTTTTATTTCACATTACTAATTTTGACAGAACTGAATTGCTTCAAGTATAATAGGATTTGATATGATATTTTTGGAGTCTGAAAATGAAAACTTGATAAGATTGAGTAAGATATGTAATTGATATATAGTGGATATTATGGAGACGTAACCGAAGCATTATGAAATATGATAAGCATTTGATAGATATTTTGGACTCTGCAAATAGGGTACGAATGTGCATTTAATGTGGAAGTTTTGAACTCTAAAAAACAAAACAAAAACAAACAAGGCTAAATTAATATAATTCGATCGAATAATTACTTCTGATGGTACTTGGTTCAAACGCTTAAAGTTCAATAACTTTATTTAATATGATGTGATCTCAAACAATCTATACACATATTTATCCGATATGGGATCATTAAATCATAAAAGATTATGCGTTTAACAGCAAATAATGATAATGATTTCATTTGAGACAGCAGAAAAACTGTCAAAAGCGAAGAGCTTTAATTAAAATGCATGAAAGAACATTATATATAAGAAATCAGGAAATAGATATTGATTTAGTGTGCATTGTTGTAGAATAATGCTACAAGGTTCAAGTTCAAATGCTTCAGAATATAATCATGATGGACGACAGGTTTTAGTGATTAATTATTAAGCATTTGAACGATAAACCATGCTTCAGTTTACTATAATGCAAAAACATATCTATTATTTCTACATTAGAATCCCTGCTTAAAACCTCCAAGGAATTAAGACCACCCCTTAAATAAGACCAAATTGTCAAAGAACGGAATTTTCTGTTCTTCATGTTTATAGTAACATGATTCACAATTAAGACCACCCCACTTATCCATCAGTTTCTGTCCATATACATCGTTTTATTCTTTATCTAACCCCATTATGGAGACCACTGATAATCCAGTTTATTCATCTGCTTGAATGCTCTGAAGCATGACACTTGATGAAACAAGGTGTAAAACTGTTATGATTTGAAAATTATATAAAGTTAGGTGAGAAAATATACTTCAGAGCGGTTTAATTTAACTTTCTGCACATTTATTTTGTAAAACATTTATTTCTTATTTAATAGGTGAATTAATTACATGAAACAAGACCCATGGAAATTAAAAAATTAATATTTAATTTCTCAAGACTTATGTTCGAATGGGGATTAGATATTATAACATCAATTTATAGTAATATTGAAGATTATTTAAAATATTGTTTAAACATGTTTATACATAATATGTAAAATAGAGAGGTCATGAAATATACATGCGTTGATACTAAAAAAATTCAATTAAGACCACCCGGAAATTAAGACCATTTTAATCAAGTCCTTTTGGTGGTCTTAATAGAGGGTTTTATTGTATTTCCATTTGAATAGCCTAATAAAAGAAGATTAAAATATGTCACTACATTGACCGTACAGGTAATTTTTCTGACGTTATCTGGTTTATTGACGTCATATCTGATGTCATATAACGTATAGCATTAATGCTGTGTATATATTGCGTTATAATGCACTTGCTTGCCCTGTCTGTTTGATAAGGCAACAGTGTGAAGCGTGTTAGAATAATTATATATTTTATAAAAGCTCCTTACCATTCCTGACATTGAAATTGGCAAAAATTAAAATGAAACTGAACGCTTCTATCTAAGATTAAATGACATATAAAAATGAATTACCTTTGAAGTTCTTTCTTTTTTTCTAAAATTGTGGAACGATTTGTACGTATTGCTTTTGCCAATTCACAGTAAGAATCTATTTCCCCTTCTCTAGCTTTTACGTCAACCCAAGACTTTAGCTCCTTTGTAAGACACTCAACTTCTTGTTTTGCGCTTTCAACATTTATAGATAATCATATCAAAAATTACACTATATCGAACAGTTGCTCTATATTAACTTCGCTATGTTTTTATGAACTTTACCTCCTGTAAAAGCTCGAAACAAAATATCTGCAAAGATATTTGTTCTTTTAAATAAGGAATCTATATTACAATTTTAACTTATGTTTCCTTGTACCTGTATGTCTATCTAAATATAATGTTTGAATAATATTGAAAATGATAAAGTTAATATTAACTTTTAGTTCACGTCATATAAATACTACTACTACTACTAATAATAATAATAATAATAATAATAATAATAATAGATTAAAATAAAGACAAATATAATAATAATGATAAACTAAATGAAAGACGTCCGGTATTCTCATTGCATTCGTACATAATCTTATAAATGTCATGTAAATTTGTCTAGAGGCTTAGATCGTTTTAAGGACCTGAAGCAACTTAAAAATGTAAGAAATATAATCAAATTTAAGAGACATATAATTTGACATCAATGTATAATTACAACTGCAGTAGCAAAATAAACAGCCACTTTAATATTTGTCTAGTTCCCACAAGATATATGCACATGTTGACTTCAATGACTCACACGTATTGCAAGTCACCCCATCCGATAATCTTAAGAAAAGTATTAAATGAAAAATGTTTAGTATGCTCTTTGTATTGGCTGAATTTGTTGATAATTATTACAAGCTCTGCTATATAAGCTATTTGAAATAAAATGCAGTTGCACAGCCAGAAAATTAAGTTAAATTAAAATACAGATAATTTAAATTGTATTACCTTTTAAAATCATTTTTCCACTTATGTAGCTGCAAACGACCTTCTCGAAATTCTTTTACAATTTTGTCTTGACCACCTTGTTTAGTTTCATTGATAGTTTCGACATCATTCCAGTCATTAATTTCTTTCAGTAAACATTTTACTTCTTTATTCGTTCTTAAAATAAAACATAAATTGTTAAGATAATTGTTTTTGAATTAATCAAATTGTCCCAATTGCAAATGCATAATGATATGATTTTGCAAAGAATATCATAATTTGGGTCTAATATATCATGACAAGAAACATGGTAAAGCCACGAAACGATAATTATTACCATTGTACAAAGATTTGTTGTAGTTAGAATACAAATACCAGCAACATACAATGTAACTGTGTGAAATGTAAATAATAACTAAGAAGTAACAAAATAAATAAATATAAGTTTTTTAATTAATATTATACAGTCATTTATCTATGAGGTAGAGGGGGTTAATTCCAAGTGAGGTCTTCAAAAACAACAAGATACCTTTTCTTTTAAAATATCTTACTCCAAACTATTCTTATCAACCTGAATCCAACAGTGACCTCGACATTGATAGTATTGTGCTCACAAGCAATCCAAATTGAGGCTTTCTTATAGGAAAGATATGCAAGTTTAATTAAAATGCCTTATTCCTTATTCAAGCTATTGACTGGACACAAATTTTTATCTAAATCTTTATTAACAGTACCCTTGACCTTGATCCTTAAGGCCAAAAAGCAATCCCAAACGAGATTTTAATATAAGCTTTCCATACACTAAGTTTGATTGAAATGTCTCATTCAAAACTCTTGTTATTGACCAGAAATCGATTTTCTATGTTTTGGAACAGTGACCTTGACCCTAGGGAGCCCATCAACAATCCCTTGCGAAGTCTTCACATAAATTTGCTTTGTACCAAGAATCATTGAAAATCTTGTTAAAAGACGTTTCGTGATTGAAACTATTTCGTTTGACGACTGCCCGCCTATTCCCGATCGATCATAAGATTTGACCGGAATATTAATAGCATTTTTCATGTGATTATTGATTCAAGCTAATTATATTAAAGAGTGAATACGATACCGCTTCAGCCGGTGCTAGCGGAAGTGTGAAATAATACTCATGAACAGACTCAAGCAAACCGATGTAATTGTCATGTACTATATGTATTTCATTGCTTCCGAGGGATCTTTAATTTTCCATAATCTTAATGCTATGAATACCATTTTCTGCAGTTCTTACAGAGCAACTCTATAAACCTTGACGTATTTTCCTGTGATAATTGATCTTATCCAGACTTATTTGAATTTATTAACTTATCATCATAACCTTTAATATTTCAGTTTCATCAGACTGATGCTTGAAAATTATTAAAAAAGAATAATAATAATTATTTTTGTTATTTTGTAAGATATACGAGCACAATAAGCATGTATAATATGTATCTAAAGATGTCATCCCTTTTGTTGGCAGTTATTGAAGCAAACGAGTCTCAATAATAAAATCAATACATATGTTTTCTTCTGAATATATGAAAATATTTTTTTGAAATCATCCTGGCAAGTAAAGCATAACAATAAATAAACCTTTTTTCGTTTACACATTGATAAAAGTATGAAATATGTGATAAACAAGATCAACAAGGAAAGGCGGCGTTCAATGAACACAACCCCCACCCGACCCAGTAACAAGAGCCAGTGGCAAGGAGCCCAGGAGGACCCCAAACAAAAACAGGACAGGGCACAAGGCAGAGCATGGGCAGGCTAACCACTAAAATCATAAATAATTAGTAATTGATAAGGAACTAAAAGAAAACAAATAAATGATAGAATAATAGGCCCATAAACTCAAGGGCATAGGGGAAGGGGACTGGAGATCTGGGGAATGAGGGGATAAATAAAATAAATAAAAACTAGAACTATCACTAAATGTGATTAATACCCCCACAAGACTGCTTCGGAAATGAGGATGTTACTAGTAACAGAATACCTTGTAAAAGAATTGAAATATAGAGTTATGGTTGTGGGCAATTAAAGATAGTTGTGGTTCTTGTATATTGCATTTCCTTTCTATGTGGTTGACCATTGAAGAAGTTTTATTGAATTACTCTGTAAATAGTCCAGAAATACAAAGAAAAGGAACAAAGGGCAATAACTCTATAAATACTTAAGATGGAGTTATAGTTCTTGTGCACTGCACTTCCTCCCTCTTTTTGTGCTTGACCATTGTATGAAGTTGTTTTGAATTTCAACCAGTACGTTTTAAGTTATGATCCAGACAAGGAAAAGTATCAAAGGGCAGTAACTCTGTATTTTGTCAAAATGGAGTTATGGCTCTTATGCACTGCACTTCCTTTTAATGTCCTTGACAACTGTATGAAGTTGTATTGAATTACAAACAGTAGTTTTCAAGTTATGCTCTGGACAAGGAAAAGTAACAGAGGGCAATAACTCTGTAATTTGTCAAGATGGAGTTATGGTTCTTGTGCACTGCACTTCTTCTCAATGTGCTTGACCATTGTATGAAGTTATATTGAATTCGAACCATTAGTCTTCAAGTTATGCTCCGGACAAGAAAAAGCAATGGAAAAGTAACAAAGGGCAGTAACTCTGTAATTTGGCAAGATCGAGTTATGGTTCTTGTGCACTGCACTTCCTCTCAATGTGCTTGACCATTGTATGAAGTTATAATGAATTCCAACAATTAGTCTTCAAGTTATACTCCGGACAAAAGAAAGCAATGGAAAGGTAATAAAGGGCAATAACTCTGTAATTACTTTAGATAGAGTTTTGGTTCTTATGCACTGCACTTCCCCTTACTGTGTTTGACAATTGTATGAAGTTGTTTTGAATTCCCACCAGTAATTTTCAAGTTATGCCCCGGACAAGGAAAAGTAACAAAGGGCAATAACTCTGTAATAAGTCAAGACAGAGTTATAATTCTTATGCACTGCACTTCCTCTCAATGTGCTTGACCATTGTATGTAGTTATATTGAATTCCAACCATTAGTCTTCAAGTTATGGTCCGGACAAAAGAAAGCAATGGAAAAGTAACAAAGGGCAATAACTCTGTAATTACTTTAGATAGAGTTATGGTTCTTGTGCATTGCACTTCCCCTTATTGTGTTTGACAATTGTATGAAGTTGTTTTGAATTCCAACCAGTAGTGTTCAAGTTATGCCCCGGACAAGGAAAAGTAACAAAGGGCAATAACTCTGTAATAAGTCAAGACAGAGTTATGGTTCTTGTGCACTGCACTTCCTCTCAATGTGCTTGACCATTGTATGTAGTTATATTGAATTCCAACAATTAGTCTTCAAGTTATACTCCGGACAAAAGAAAGCAATGGAAAAGTAACAAATGGCAATAACTCTGTAATTACTTTAGATAGAGTTATGGTTCTTATGCACTGCACTTCCCCTTACTGTGTTTGACAATTGTATGAAGTTGTTTTGAATTCCAACCAGTAATTTTCAAGTTATGCCCCGGACAAGGAAAAGTAACAAAGGGCAATAACTCTGTAATTAGTCAAGACAGAGTTATGGTTCTTGTGCACTGCACTTCCTCTCAATGTGCTTGACCATTGTATGTAGTTATATTGAATTCCAACCATTAGTCTTCAAGTTATGGTCCGGACAAAAGAAAGCAATGGAAAAGTAACAAAGGGCAATAACTCTGTAATTACTTTAGATAGAGTTATGGTTCTTGTGCACTGCACTTCCCCTTATTGTGTTTGACAATTGTATGAAGTTGTTTTGAATTCCAACCAGTAGTGTTCAAGTTATGCCCCGGACAAGGAAAAGTAACAAAGGGCAGTAACTCTGTAATTAGTCAAGATAGAGTTATGGTTCTTGTGCACGGCACTTCCTCTTAATGTGCTTGACCATTGTATGTAGTTATATTGAATTCCAACAATTAGTCTTCCTCTTATTGTGCTTGTCCATTGTATGAAGTTGTTATAAATTTCAACCAGTACTTTCAAGTTATGCAACAGACAAAGAAAAGTATCAAAGGGCAATAACTCTGTAATAAGTGAAGATAGAGTTAAGGTTCTTGTGTATTGCCCTTCCTCTCAATGTGCTTGACCATTGTATGAACTTATATTGAATTCCATCCATTAGTCTTCAAGTTATGCTCCGGACTAAAGAAATCAATGGAAAAGTAACAAAGGTCAATAATTCTGTAATTATTTTAGATTTAGTTATGGTTCTTGTGCATTGCACTTTCCTTTATTGTGCTTAACCATTGAATGAAGTTGTTTTAAATTCCAGCCATGGAATAGTTTCAAGTTATGCTCCGGACAAGGAAAAGTAACAAAGGGCAATAACTCTGTAATTAGTCAAGATGGAGTTATGGTTCTTGTGCACTGCACTTCCTCTCAATGTGCTTGACCATTGTATGTAGTTATATTGAATTCCAACAATTAGTCTTCAAGTTATACTCCGGACAAAAGAAAGCAATGGAAAAGTAACAAATGGCAATAACTCTGTAATTACTTTAGATAGAGTTATGGTTCTTATGCACTGCACTTCCCCTTACTGTGTTTGACAATTGTATGAAGTTGTTTTGAATTCCAACCAGTAATTTTCAAGTTATGCCCCGGACAAGGAAAAGTAACAAAGGGCAATAACTCTGTAATTAGTCAAGACAGAGTTATTGTTCTTGTGCACTGCACTTCCTCTCAATGTGCTTGACCATTGTATGTAGTTATAATGAATTCCAACCATTAGTCTTCAAGTTATGGTCCGGACAAAAGAAAGCAATGGAAAAGTAACAAAGGGCAATTACTCTGTCATTACTTTAGATAGAGTTATGGTTCTTGTGCACTGCACTTCCCCTTATTGTGTTTGACAATTGTATGAAGTTGTTTTGAATTCCAACCAGTAGTGTTCAAGTTATGCCCCGGACAAGGAAAAGTAACAAAGGGCAGTAACTCTGTAATTAGTCAAGATAGAGTTATGGTTCTTGTGCACGGCCCTTCCTCTTAATGTGCTTGACCATTGTATGTAGTTATATTGAATTCCAACCATTAGTCTTCAAGTTATTGTCCGGACAAGGAAAATGCAACTGACGTCTGGACCGACCGACCGACCGCCCGACCGACCGACAAACCGACCACCGGGTGACGCCTATATACCCCACCAAACTTCGTTTTTGGGGGTATAACTAGGGGCAAAGGGGAAAATACTTACCGTAGACGAGAAAACAACAAGGGACACAAGAGTCACCAAAACAGTATGAAACAACATAGACATACATCTGAGGAACACAGAGGGGCGCCGCCTTGGAACGGTCAGCAGCATAAATACTGCTGGGGAGTTTAAACCGGTTAATGGTTTATGAAGTTTCGTTTTTGCTGAGAGGTGAGGTTTTGAAATGGCAATGTATTCGTCGTCCATCGTCAATCCTTATCCACAGTTACTCTATACAGTATCTCCTTCTAAACCACAATGCGGATTCTAAACAATCTTCCAAAGTAATACTCTAAACATGTCTATAAATGGTTCCGGTCTGTAGTAGGTAACACTAAAATAGGCTTAAAAAGTGAAATCTTTGACAATTCTACTTCTCCGAAACTTAAATGGCAAGAACATATATATTTGATATGTTCATGTAGCATAACCTATTGGGTTTTTTACAAAAGTTTTATATCATACCCAAGGGATCTTAATTGACACCACAACGGGGGTAATTCTCCCTATATATGCCTATATTGGCTGCTCCGGCTGTCTGCCTAACCTATAAACCATTTAAATCTTCTCGTAGAAAACTACAATGTCAAAGGCTTAGAGTTTGTAGCATTGCCTTAAGGAAATCTATTTAAAATTCTTTTAATTTTTAACCAGGGAAGAAAAAATAGCCCGCCTTGATGGTTACTTAATTTAAGTAGACTTGTATGATATACATGTCTAAAAAATCTTCTCCTTAAATACTACAATGTTCAGAGTTTAGATTTTGGTATACAGCATCAACTTTTTATCTTTTACAAACTACATGAAAAACGACAAGCTGAAGTCAAAATTTGTCCTACCCTTTACTTCATCGAAATCGCATTTTGATGATTTTGCGGAAAATTGTAATGTACAGAGCTTAGTGTTTTGCATCTATGATCTCTGCAAAAGTTATATAAATCACACTTGCCTTGCCCTATTAGTAATCAAATCAACAAAGATTTTACTTATCTTGCGTTCATGGATTTATAGAGTTACGTGTAAGAAACAGAATGCCCAGAGCAGATATTTTGCATGTTGCACCACCTTGTAGTCCTCTAAAAATCCAATAAATCAATAAATCATTCCACTGGAATTAAAGTGGCCTTACCTTTTATGCAGGCTTACATATGAAAAACATAACATAAAAAGCTTCTTATGAAAATCTACAATGCCTAGATATAAATTTTCTAGAGAACTGCTGCAAAGCTAAATATCTCATGCTATTCGTGTCAATTACGGCCTAATTATACATAAATTTATATAGTTAATATATTTTCAAATCTGCCACTTCGAAAATACAATGCCAAGCGCATTAATAGTTGGCTTGTAGCACGACCTTGCTGACATCTACCAAAGTAATATGATAAACGGGTCATAGTTGGGAGTTACTTCGGTTAAAAAGATTTAAAAGGGAAATCACAATAAAATATTCTTGTGTGGAGAAGGTAAGAGTTTAAACGCAGGATTGTTTTACGAACAGCTTAAATAAGTTGGGTCAAAAGTGGAAGCTCAATGTGACCTGATTACTTCTTTGTTGCATCAACCTTAGTACAAAGCAAAAGCTTTTAAATGTTGTAACTTTAAAACACTTAATAATACACAAAATCAAACGCATGATTATTTCCATCATTTAATCAAATATGTTTAAGATCAAGAGCTTAAATAATGACATGCGAAATGGATTTGAAGTCCTTTACAAAAGTAATATACAGTAGTCATGCCCCTGGGATCAAGAAAGTTGAGCCTTGGAGTCACTAAGTTTTCAAACATTTTTATTAGTAGATACAAGTCTTTTAGGCATTCAAAAATAATGTTATCTGGAGTACTTTGAAAATCAAATAAATTCATCATTTTATCCCACCCATTTAAAATACGCATTATCCTAAAAATTATATATATTATATAAATATATAAATAAATGAAAATTTTCAATGACTCATTTTGTATGTTAAAAAGTTATATTTTATGCTTTTGAGTGGATTACTGATCATATTACACAAAGCCTGGTCTAATATGAATTCGCCGTAAGTAACGGAATATCAAGTCGGATGGTGTGACTTTTTCTTCTACTAGAACTGTTTGTTATTATTATTAAAACGAGCGATCATTCATTTTCTTGAATAAGATAAATAATATCATCGCCATTTAACGTTGATTGTCGAACTTAGTTTTTAGCTCAAGCTTTTTTTATTATATATATATATATATATATATATATATATATATATATATATATATATATAATATATATATATATATATATATATATATATATATATATATAATATATATATATTTGACTAAAATTGAGGCTACCAGTGTGGAAAACAAATTTTAATATCATTTATATCATAAATATTGAGGAAAATTCATGTAAACTTGTTTTGAGCAAAACTATTTTTTAAAAATGTTTGTTTGTTTTGTGAGATGTAAATTTATTTCATCTCGTGAACTTTAAAAATAGTATTCTCACTGTTTTTAAAGCATACTCAATGAAATAAAATTTCATCTTACACACAAACAAGCAAATATCCTCTATGATTTTTATAAAATTAGTCAAAAGAAAACAAATCATTGTTGAATTATAAGAAAATAAGGAAATATATAAAGGACCTTGTCTGTTGTTTTTTTTAAATAATTCAATTATAATTTTCTGTTTTAATTATCAAAACATACATTTCCCGTACAAATAGAAACAGAAACCTATTTGATATCAGAATGTTAAAAACAAATATATTGAATGGTTTTAACTGTCAAGTTTAGGAAATAAATAGCTGATAGTGATTTTTATATTGTTTTGGCGGTTAGTTTGGACACAATCTTTGATTTCCAAGTCCCCAAACACTGTTGAGAAAGATGAATTTTATTTCATAGTCTAGGAACCCGTGAAATACTTTTGTTTATGAAACCCCTTGTTTATGATCTGGTAACATTACTCAAGAAGCTAGTAATTGGAGTCTATTTTCAGCAGTATTATTGCATTTAAGAATTGTGACCTTAATTGAAATATGTATCATGAGGGCGAACCAGTTTCATCATGGCCTTCTTGTTAACACAAAGTATTCAAATTACGATCAATCATTTATTTCATAAAAAATCGTTAGATGAAATGCAATGAAAATTACATGTATTAGATGTATAATTACCTCTGAAACATTACATAATAAAACTTTATCATATTCTTGACATAAATAAAAAAAAATAGCGAAAGTTTACCGTCTTGTTCGAAAAACATTGATGATTTAAGATAAATTTTTGTATCAGTATTATCGAACAACATCAAAACATGTTTTGATCAGAAAAATATAAGTTTTACATATTTCATCTCATTCTCTTTTCATAAGTGGTAAGAAACAGCCATAGTTTTGAAATTAAAACGAAATACCAAAGAAAAGCACATACAAAAAGATAAGGTAAATTGAAACCGGTATCTATCAGATTTGATAAACTAGAAAATGTTCAGTAAACCGGTCATGTTTTTTCACCTTTCAATGGGGCATCGTTTTGTTTCCAATGTAATACATGTAGTTATCTAGATACAAATTTGAACATTTGTGTCAAAAATGAGGGCGGTTTTCCAAACTGATTTGGACATATAAATGGTTTAATTGTAAAACTGCCCTATATTCACTCATTTAACACTTAAAAGTACATATAAATTTGCAAAAAAATTCTTACTTCAAGATTTTAAAAAAATATAAGACTATAAATAATTGTGCAAAACAAAAAGAGTAAAAAAGTAAAACCCCAAGCCCAGAGAAAGGCTTGAACCCACTCCGAAATACCGAAATAATCTAAGTTCTTTTCATTGAAAATAAATAATCTTCAGAAAAGTCATCCTAAAACCTTAAGTTACAATTAAACTTTGTCATTTGAAGAAATTTACGCTCAAATTTTGGTTACTGCCGTAAAACGGATAAAGATTTAAATGAATTAAGTAATGAATCGTAAATAAATTGTACTTTTACCTCGTTTTACAATCATTTTCATTTTTAAGCCTTCTACAACATTCCAGAATGATATTATTGCATTTATTTACTTCATCGTGACTTCCTTCCGTGGTTTTCGACATTGGAAATAATTCCTCGTTATATTTGCTGTTCGAAACTTGTTTGAGCAACTTATTAAGCCGGTACATAACGTCACTAAATCTGTAACGATAAAATTAAAATGTTTTGCAGATTCACACATCATTTGTGCTTGAAAATTACTGTCCTTAATAATATCCTGGACAATAGTGAGCCCGTGTCTTAGGAAACAAATAAAAAAGACTTGCAAAATATATGTTTATTGTAAATGAACGGAACAAATAGTTATATGTTTGACTGTGTAATATTTTCTAAAAAACACACCCCAAACAAAAAAAATAAAAATAAATAAAAGTAAAAACAGATAACAACAAAAAAATCCCTGAAAAGTGACTTATGCTCCCCTAAAGGAAGCTTTGACATAAAATCCGCAATATATGCACAAAAAAACAACAACAGTAATATACGCTCGACCGCCTTCGATAAATATAATTGAAATTCAACTAGAATTGTAGGAGAAATGAAATAGTCTAAACAGGTTTTACTAAAACTAGGCAGTCTGAAGCACAGCTAGATCCCCTTCCGCAGCAGACATGAGTGTGTACTTCTTGACCTTTAACAGACCATTACATTGATGTTGTGACATGTATATAAGCATATAGTCTCATGATAGTAATTATTTGAGTCAAGTTATTTCTAATCTTCATTAACGTCAAAAGGTTATAGTGAAGATTTAACCTTGACCTTTGGGGTAGCAACCTGAATGTTGGATTCTGCACATCATGTCATAATGGTGATCATTTCTGGCAAGTTATTTTAAATTTTCACAGCGGTGAAAATGTTATGGAGCGGACTCGAAATGTAGACTTTTTAACACTTGAACTTGAAGTTTGACCTTGACCTTAGGGATAGCAACCCAATTGTTGCACTCTGCACATCGACTCATAATGGTGATCACTTATGCAAAGTTATCTTTAAAAAAATCAGCGGTCCGAAAGTTATAAAGCGGATATGAAATGTAGATGTTTTTGACAATTGACCTTCAGTGTGACAATGACCTTCGGGGGTAGCAACACAATTATCACGCTCTGCACATCGTTCCATGATGCTGATCACTTGTGCCAAGTGGTTTCATTTTTTTCAGGGGTTTAAAAGTTATGGAGCGGATACAAAATGCAGAATTTTTAACACTTGACCTTAAACTGTGACCTTGAATTCGGGGCTTGCAAACAAATTATTGCACTCAGCTTATCGTCTAATTATGGTGATCATTACAAAATATTTGCAGTAGTTTAAATGTTATTTACACTTGACCTTAAAGTGTGATCTTTGCCTTGGGAGTAGCAACCCAATTATTGTACTCTGCACATTGTCTGATGATAGTAATCACTTGTGCAAAGTTATTTCAAAATTTTTGCAGCTTTTAAAACGTTATATAGCGGGTCCGAAATGTACTTTTAAAACTTGACCTTTCACTTTAACTTTGACCTTGTGGATAGCAACACAATTATTGCACTCTGCACATCGTCGCATAATGGTGATGACTTGTGCTTAGTTATTTTAAAATATTTTCAGCGGTTTTATGTTATGGAGTGGACGTGAATTGTAAATTTTATTATTTGACAACCCAATTATTGCGCTGTGCACACTGTCTCATAATGGTGATCAAGTTATTGAAAAATCAGCAGTTTTAAAGTTATGGAGGCATCACAAATTTTCACTTTTTAACACTTGACCTTTAAGTGTGAGTGTACTGTGTGACCTTGACCTTGGGGATAGCAACCGAATTATTGGGCTCTGTATATCGTCGCAAAATGATGATTACTTTTGCCAAGTTATTTCAAATATCTTCATAGGTTTAAAAAGTATTGAGTGGACACGAATTGTAGAATTTTAATACTTGACTTTTCAGTGGGACCTTGAACTTGGGGGAAGCAATCCAATTTTTGTGCTCTGCACATCGTCGCATAAAGATGATCACTTGTGCCAAGTTATTATTAAAAATCATCATCAAGGGCCAACAACTGTGCAAAAAGATACATAGCACAATGAACAACTAGGCTTGGAATATCATAACACCATGCACAAAATTTTATAAATGCTCAATGAAATTTCGAAAGTAGTTTTGCAGTTTAATGATGTACAAATGTAATTTACTTTTTGGACAATATTAATTTATTTGAAAATTAAAACATTAAGAGGCCATGACTAAACCACCAAGCAGAAAATCAAGATGCTATGCACAACTAGGCATGGTGACAATCCTGTGAAGTTTCACTGAAATCCGGCCAGCGGTTTTGGAGATGTAGCGTGGACAATCTTATTTTACTCAAACATAATATCAAGAGACTATGCACAACTAAGCTTGGTGACAAGCAATCCTGTGAAGCTTTGCTTAAATCATTCCAGCGGTTTTGAATATTTAGCGTGGACAAGCTTATTTTACTAAAAAGTAAACCTTTAAGGGGCCATAACTGTAACGAAAAATCAAGCAAAATATCAAGAGAGTATGCACAACTAGGCTTGGTGGAAAACAATCCTGTGAAGTTTCACTGAAATCCCCCCAGCTGTTTTGGTGATGAAGCACCAGCAAGATTTTTTTACTCCTAATTTGACAATCAAGGGGTCTTTACTGCGCCGAAAATATTCATGCAAAAAATCAAGATACTATACATAACTAAGCATGGTGACAAACAGTTCTGTGAAGTTTCACTGAAATGCCCAGCGATTTTTAAGATGAAGCGTGGTACTCAAGTATTAGCAATTAAGGGGTATAGCTGATAAAAAGTGGGTATGCACAACTAGGCTTGGTGACAAACAATCCTGTTTAACAGAAAGACCCCACAGGTCTTGGTGATGTAACACAGAAAAGTTTATTTTACAAAAACATTAACCATTAGGGGGCCATAACTGTGTAAAAAACATTCAAGCGGATAATCAAGATAATCTGCACAACTAAGCTTGGTGACACAATCCTGTGAAGTTTCACTGAAATCCTCCAAACATTTTTAGTGCTGAAGTGAGGACAAGCTTTTTTACTCAAATATTGACCATAAAGGGGTCAAAACTGTGCCAAAAAGATACTATGCACAACTAGGCATGGTTACAAAGAATCCTGCAAAGTTTCACTGATATCCCTCCGAGTGATTATGGAGATGAAGCGCAGACAAGATTACCGGACGGACGGATGGATTGACGGACGGACGTGCCAACATATCTATGTGCTTTTCTTTGATCTTTTCCACATACAACATTAAAATTAGTAAATTACTGCATAAACAAGTTGGCTTATGGGATTTCCTTAATGGAATGAAGCTCATCTGTATAGACCCGGACAGTGCGATTATTATATGCCGCCCTTCGGGGGCATTAAAACAGTTATAAATAAATAAATAAATAAATAAATAAATAAATAAAACAAAAACGCTATCATGATATTATAACATTTTGAAAGGGCCTTGCTTTCTGTACATTATCTATTTTATTAAAAAGTATAAACATGTCATGGATGTGTTATACTGATAATTGAACTTATAAATTATTTTGAATTAGCAAAAATTTAACGTTATTCTGAATTACTTTGATTTCCAATGTTGTTCTTCCATTCGCAATGATTTTTGTGTTTGTTTTTGTTCATCTGCTCTTTTGTCCTTTGTTTCACTGAAAATGGTAAAATACAAATATGAATTTTTTGAGATAATTATCTGTTTTAAATTAGTAAAATGAGACAAACGTTGTTTTTTTCCAATCCGTTTTGTTTAATTTTGAGAGAAGTTAAAATAATTTGTATTAAAAAAATTCATTACCGTTGTGCTGAAGCCTTTTTAATCAATCTGAAAACAAAATCAAAAGACAATTATGATTACGAATTGTTTATTTAGCGAAACGTGAATAGTGAAAAGCGGAAATAGGGAATATATATATGAATGTTAGATGGAACAGAGCGAAAATATCAACAAATTCCAAAGCCAAAGAATGCATTCTGTTGATTACATAGAAATTGTAGGATTATTAATGTTTTAATTATGGTCATTATAAGACTGATCATTTGTGATTTACTGTCTTTATTCTTTTTGCAGTGTTATTATTCACATAAAAATAATACAATTTACTTTTCTGCATTAACAATAGCAGTTGATAATTGTCTTTCTTCCAGAGATTCTTGTTTGCGTGCAGCAGCTCCCTGCACTGCGAAGGGTGTCGAAGTCTCTGATGAATCTGCTGGAAAATCGTCGCAAGCTTTATGTAACTTCGAATATAATGTTTCTACTTTGATAAGCAAGTCCCTGTAGTGTTCAATTTTTAATATTTAAATCTAGCAATTCAAAGACTTCATCATAAAACATTAGACGAAGTTGTATCTAAAAGTAAATATCACAGCATTATATCTCATATATGTACACACAAACAATGTCGTGCTAAACATTCTTCAAGGATTGAAACTAGAAAAGCTTTGATTATATGTACGGGGCGACTTTTTACGGCCACCAAACGGCATAAATACCACTGACGTGACAATAAAATAGAGAACAACAGAATCCCTTAAGAACGCCCAAAACGATAAATTTTAAAAAGTTCGGTGTTAATTTGATTGAGCCTGATCATGGACGGTACTGTAAAAGTGCAAGTTTAGGTCTACGCCCGAAGCAAAATTTAACATTTAAACACGAAAATGATGGAATTGTGAATTTGGAAACATCCCCATTATATATGACATGTTTATACGGTGGTTACCAAGGAACCTGCATATTAAAGCGTCATATGGTCTCCAGGTAAAATACTCGCGTGCCCTAAGTAAAAAAACAAACGGGTTATTAAGCCTCCGAGTCACAGGAAACACAGACAATGCGTCAACAGACAAAGGTAAAAAGCATGCAACTTATCCACTTTAACATTATCAAGCACGTATTTGACACATGTTAAGAAATTAAAAAAAACAACAACAACAACAAAAAGATAGATGAGGCAGAACAGGGTTATTTAGGAAGTGAAATGTTAAGTGTTACATACAGAACAACTGTCAATGAAATATTGATCCTCAAATAGTATTTACTCTCTAAACTAAAAGCACTTAAAACATTTTAGCCTCGTGTCAAATAAAGCATATTTTATAAAAAAAATATCTAAAGCGTTAACCGTGACATATATCAGTCCATAAATACAAGTTATTTAAGTAAAAAGATGAAATTAGGTTTCCGAATAAGGGTTTAGCAATATGATAGCAATATTAATAGCAAATTGAATATTATAAAAAAAACCAGGCTTGTTTCAAAATATGCATGGAATAATGACTGGAACTTATAAAATACAAAATTCATATATTTATTACTCGATTCAAATCAAAATATATTTTAAATTCAAACTTTATTATTATCACACTATGACTATGGATATTATATAGATGCGTATATTGTTGTTATAAAAGGTTCAAATACGTAAGTTTTGGAGCTGTGTACGAGTCCAATAAATTTAGTATTGTATTCGACAATGTATTTAAAATAAACTTTCCACACAGTCAAGTTTTGACATTTTAACAAAAAGAACAATAAGTATTTTTTTTTTGAATTTCTGGATTTTCAAAACTAAAACGAGGCACAATCGAATTTGACTTTTTGGACTTGGAAAAAATTAAAACGAGGTTAATTTTATTGAATCCAATAATAATTTTAATTTGGAGATTATATGGTGTAGACGCTCAAAGTTTATTGGTTATATTTTATAAGGTATGAAATTTATTTTATTATAGGAATTATTTTTAATGGTTATATTTTACATTGAGTATTGCTTCTAAGACAACTTGGTTTAACTCGATGTCCATGTTCAACAGTATATCATTCGATGTATTCTACCATACCGTCCAACAATAGACAATCATATTGTAATTAAGAAATAGTATATCCCAAACAGTGATTGTATCGCTCAAAATCACTGTTTGGAGTTCGGATGCGCATCCCGAGTGATATAATTCGCACAATGATTTTAGTGAGCGACAGAGTGATCGATTTGGATTCTAACACGACATCAACAAATAAATGTTGCTGTACCTGATATTAAGCTAAATTGCACTGCTTTGTTTATGTACATATTTTCAATGCGTCACATTTTTAGTGGTTACGTCACATGTATAATGATAACGTCAAATGTCTAAATATAGAACGTCTGAAGTGATTTAATTGCATATTCTAACACGACCCGCTTTTTTCCCTATTGCATATATAGAAGAATCAAAAGTGTGAGTTATTATGCAAGAAATTGACTGCTGATTTAGGCATGTGACGTAATCATTATGCATTTGACGTAACCACTAAAATGCGACGAGCTAAAAATAAGTACATAAACAAAGCAGGTTATTGATTTATTATTTCTTAAATAAACACACTTTCGGTTCTTCTATGGTCAGTAGTGAAAAATGCGGGTCGTGTTATAATGATGTATATGAGTTGCTACACATATAATGATAATTATATCTCTCAACTCTTAGGCAAACATAGCCTATGGTAATGTTTAGTAGTAAAGTAGTTTATAATAAGTTTAAATCAATAAGGATATAATACGATTATAAGTATGTAAGGCTACATAGAATTTTGTCTCAAATAAACCAGTGCAAGTCATTTTGAATAGGTACAGTATTATACTGTGTTTAAAGATTTTTTTTCTGAAATTATTAATAACTTTGAGATGTACCTTTGAGATATACTTTTCTTTTGGATGATTTTGCAAATGTCCTTTAAAATGACAGAAATATGTTCTGACTCGACATTTCCATTAGGTTTTTTCTCAAATGCCCTTGCATTGTATTCATCTTTCTCAATTTGCTGTTTCAGTTCATTCAGCCACATTTTTATGTCATCGTCACTTCAAAAGAAAAATATCCGTAATAATCCACATAATAAATTATAGTTATATTATCCATATAATGACTTTTATCAAATACAGCTCATTAACGTGAAAGCAAACTTATAAATAGTAACGGAATTAATCTTAATTGAGAATAAAGAATTATCAGCCAGATCATCTTATATACACATACTTCATTAAACAAAACGTTTTCAAAATATGAAAAACATGATCAACAAGGAAGGTCGGTGTTTAATGAACGCAATTCCTACACGACCCAGTAACACAGGACCACCGGCAATGAGCCTAGCAGGACGCCAAATAAATACCAGAATGGACACAAGGCGTTACACGGACGGGTAGATTATTTTAATAATACATAATAGAAACTGACAAGGCAATTAAAACAGACGCACCTTGTATTCAATATAAAATATATGTAACACTTTTCGACATATAAAATACCTTCACATGGAGTAACAAACATAAATAACCACTGACAGAAATAATTCCGTATTGTATACGAGCCAGATTCGTTGCAACTTTGCTAGCATAATGACATAAAATTAAGGTTGCATATATAGTTCAAATACGAAAAAGTATTATAAAAGAGTCTTTTCTGTTACTCGTATTAAGCTGTTGCAGATATCACAATTGAGAAGTCTATAAATGATTAATTAACTAATTTCAAGTTTAAGTTTAAGACTAAGATATAATGATAGCCCCGTAATATTAATTACAAGTTTGATATAAACCGTTAAGGTTTTATATACCTTAAGTGATAATTATTGAAATCTTTTTACGTGCGATAATTTGTCTATTTTTAACTTTATACATTGTAACACCATATGACAAAATTATTTTTTAAAATTGTTGCTATTTAATAAATGCTTACATAGGTTATAGTATGCAATTTACATTGTTACGATATTTTCATTCGTAATGGAACGTCTGACATAATATATGACAAGCTATAAACATAATATGCTTCAAGTATATTTACCTATTTGAGGCTGACGTTAATGATTTGACTGACGCGCCTGGGTTACTGAAAATAATCAATAATTGTTCAGACATACTGTAAGCTTAGTGCTATAACGTCAAAATTCAATTGCAATCCAAATCTTTATGGTAAAACATTCTCTTCTAGGTAAACAAGTCTTTAGAAAACACTTGAAAGTTCTAAATAAAAGTTGCATTTCTACTCTTACATAATGTTATTTATTTTTATTTGAATCCTTATCTTTATTGCATGTTTCATAAAAGTAAATAGCTTTTGGAATATTGGCAGAAGGAAAACTTTGGCTTTAGATTAACTGCGAATATTAAAAACGATCTTCAGTAAATCATTACTAGTCATACTAGTCTGGAAATGTTTATTTCAGGAAATGCTGTTAGTTTTAATATACAAATGAAATATTAATCGAAATTAAAACAAACAAGAGGACAATGAAAGCCCCTTAATAGTCTGAGTAAAATTTTTGAGATTGAGAAAAAGGTAAAGTGCGAGAAAAAACAATAACTTTTTGGAAAATTGCAGTGTTCTTCATCAATATGACATTGTTGATTAATTTTAACCTAAAATTACACAATTAATGTTATTAAAATATAAAATAATAAGACACGTTAAAATATGATCTTTTCAATGATTAATTAGGTGATGTATTTTTACAATGTCGACGCGGTTAAGATATTATGTTTGTTGATAAAAAGTATTTATTATAACATACCTATCGCGGCTAACGGAAAGTGACAGTGTATCATGAGTGGGTAAGAACTTATTGTGATAATCCCAGCAACTTTGGCAAAAGTATCTGCCATATTGGCTGCAGTCTCGACATATATGTGTTGCTTTTTCAACCATTCCCTTTGATGCACAGATTGTACACATGTCAGTTATTGGAGATGATTCACATCGTGATTCATACAAGGTATCGTCTATAGGTGTCTCTATATCCCATCTTCTCATAACCGAAGACAAATCTTTCGAAGATACATACTGATAATCTTCCGATTCCTTTGAGACGCTGCCCGAGTGTGGCTGACCTCGAACGCTCATAAAACCACTTATTTCCGAAGCCGCACGTTTCAGTTCCGGTTTCTTAATTGTCTTGTCTTGTGTCATTATGTATAGTTTTGCTTATGCATCTTTACCAGATTGTGTTTACTTTAGAATTCAGTTTTGAAAAAGGGACTAATGATATCAATTAGTACAATGTTACGACTTTCCAACCTAGTTGCGTTTCCGTCACTTGTTATACAAAGTGATAGCTTTGAAACACTATTAACCCTTTGCTGTCAAAGATACCCGTGTAATATTGGCTTCATCCTCAGCAAGGAATATTTCTATTTTGATTTATATCAATCACTTACTTTCATATGCCTCATAAATAATACTTTCCGTTGTAATCCTTCAATTTTAAATCAAACATTTGAAAAGTTGTTTTTCTAACTATTAATATCAAATATCGGAACACTCGAGCACTGTTGCAGAAACACAAACCTTTTGAAGCTGTCGTTACATGAAAAAACCCACAGGAATGTTTGTTAAATTCTTAAGAGTCAGATGAATCATATACTTGTCCATAGATGTCAAGCAAGGATGAGCAATACAGCTGGCTTGAACTAAAAGAAAACACATAAGTAAGGTAAGTAACATTGTGAGACTGATTTAAAATATATTGCTTTAAAACCTTTCCAGATTTTCCCCCTTTTTGATTGGATATTGATTCGTCAAAAGAAATTTATGCATGTATTACCGAGCTGAGCGGAAAATATACGCGCTGTGGCGATGCGAGTACACGCCCGGCAAACTGTCGCTCCACTTCAAAATTGTGGTATACTGTAAAACGAGCGAACGGCATTTCCGAGAAAGAGCGGAAGGCCGATTTAAACGGATAATTGTAAGTGTTGATTATGTTTTTGTCTTGTTATTCATTTAAGTTTTTTTTTTTTTCGAAAAACGGAAAATGTAGTTCCGTGTAGGATTGTTTTAGCCTTTTAATGATCTAAGCTGTTACAAAAACAAAATTATATCAAGCCCGGAAGAACTTTTCTCCCTGACGAAGCGAACGACGATTTGTAGAATATTAATTTCCCAAACAATTAAAATGCCATACCCTTCGGATTTTATAAAAAGTGTATTAGGAAAATATCAACCTGTAATAAGAACTTGTAATTCGTGCAACATCAGTTACTCCTGAAGGATTTCTTAAATTTGTAAATCGATATTTTTCGAAAGTAGTGGGGCTAAAGGGCAAGAGATGGAGCGAAAGGTTCAATGTTGAGCGAGCGCAAGGCGATATTAATTTGGTATATTGAGAGGAGCGAAGTCTATGAATATTTCTAAATAAAAGCTTTAGAAGTTAAAATAGACATTATCAAGTGTTGAGACTGAGATATATATATACCTTTTAAAGACAACTAATAAAGCGTGATATCATTTCAACGACTATAGCGTAATACATGTTATCGCGAAGGTGTCACCTATGGCTGCCGTATAGATTCCATTATTTATGTTCCAAATTTGGATGAGGCCCGATCATTGAATCATATGGCGTAAAACTGGGTGCCACTTATTTTTCGAGGTCAATCATGATTTTTTACACGGTTATATACATTTTAAAACGCGTGTCCGTTCAAAGTCGACAAAATCGAATATTTTCAGTTCTTACGACGTTTCAATTGAAACCGCAATGATTTATGTTATGATCATCTTACTCGGCAGGGGAAGGGTTATAAAATTATTATTTTGGTTTTGGAGTGATATATATGGATATATTACCTGCCAAGATAAAATATCACCCTCGCCTGATATGAAATCTTGGCAGGTAATATATCCACATATATCACTCCAAAACCAAAATAACATATAATACAAATCAGACATGGAATTCAAAACTAATGTTGTTAATTAGATAATACATATAATGTATATATTAAAATCGATATTGTATATGTAGCTGAATTTTACAGAAGTCCATATGCGATTAATAGTGTATTAGCATATGTGATGGATAACTATCTATTTCGTATAGATATCTTACGTACGTAGGTGACAAAGATGTGACCCGATTTATCAAAATTAATAATGCATTCCTTTTGTAATACACATTACCGAGAGTTATTGTAATGCACATTAATGTCGAAGGAATATTATAATACACATTATCGATAAATCTTATATATGTCAAAGACTTACCTCCGGAGTTAACATTTTATGGAAGACACAAAGTTACAAACATTACAAATAGCAAATATTAACTTTCATTTCTTTGTCTTTTAATTTGTCTAATACATGTAACATATTTCATATTTTATTCAAAAAACCTTTTTAAATCAATAATATCAAAAATCAGTTAAATGGGATATACTCGCTTCCTTTTCTGTTAAGAAGTGGTCTAATTAGAGAAACATATGCATATTTCATACCAGTCATGAGTTATACTCATATAAAGAAATTGTAACTTATAAATTTCAAAATGTAATACTTATGACACGCTTTCTCTTAACTATACAAGTATTTTATGCGTCACTGTCACCACGACATATCGATTACAGAGTCAATATAGGGCTTCTATAGGTATTTCATCATAAAGTTTTATAAACTTAGGTTTATTACTTCTAAATTCGTTTATAGGACAAGAAATTTACACAAACTGTCTCTGTGATCATGAACTGTCCATGCCTAGTTAACCTTATTACTTCCCAAGTGAATGATACGACATATGTTTGACTCAAGCATTTTTACATTGACCTTTGACTGACTAACCCAAGAATCGATACATGACCAACTTGCACCCTCAATTTAAGGACGGTAGAAAATAGGTCAATGACACGTTGATCTTGAATTCTGAGTTACTAATACCAAAATGAGTTTTCTACTAATTTGTACAAACCACGGCTATTTTTTTGTTGCGTCTAAACGAGAAAGAGGTGACGGACGTTCATATGGAACAACTCCTACACACTCTCATTTAGTGGGGGCGTAGAAACAAATAATGCATTGCTGGTAATCAAAGAAACAAAAACCTAGAAATGTGAGTCAATGTTATTAGAGCTTTTTGGATATTTTGACACAAAATCATACGTGTATAATGTAAATCACTGGCTGCCATAGACTCCCTTCTAATAAATAATAGCTGAAAGACAATGTCATATTACCTGTCAAAAATCGTGAAAACTAACAATGACTGCTTTCGTGGTAACAAATAAAATGTAAGAAAAAAGTTTTACCTTTGCGATATACATTCATGATATTCCTTTTTTATTAAAATTCAAGATACATATAATTTATCAACGCTACCCGATTAATACTGCATATATTTACAATAAAAATGCGATAAAACAGATTTAAGGCCCTCTAAATGTGGAAATGTAAATTATTCTAATCAGTCGTGTTTTTATTCTGTATTGCTATCGTATTTGTATACCTTATCGTTGTCAGAATAATCATACAGTTTATATGTAGATTTATATTTTTTTACAACCAGTTAATATTTCCCTTCAGCGATACATTGTTTTAGATGAAGTTTAAATATCATGTTTCAATGAACAGTTGAAAAGATATTTTGTATAAATGGTTAATAATAAAGATTACATTAGAATCTAAATAATCCCATTTATTTTAGAGAAATAATCATCTGCTACCTTGTTTAAAGCTATCGTTCCGTGGCAGTCGGCAAACGTCGGTCATTATCTATAGATTCTTTACATTACACTGGTTACCGTGTTTGTCTTACCATTTCTATATAGGGCAGGGTTTACAGAATCAGATGTTAATCATGTAAAAGCCCGAGTTTCTCGTGCAACTGCCTCAGTTATTTTTGACGACTAAGTTATAACACAACAAATTAGTCAACTAATAAGAGAAAGCTGAAAATTATTTGCCATGCCGTACAAGTCGAAGGAGTCAAACTTCGAGAAGAAAAATGGCTACAAGACAAAGCGAGAGAGGACAGGCAGCTTCAGTGTCTGAATTTCCTCAAGGGGAGCATTGTGGGCTGGGAAATGTACAAGGGACCATCGAAAGTCAAGAAAATTTAGCCCCGCGTCGTACAGGTAGAGCAGTAAATGGTCGACATGGAAGCTGCCAGTCTTCTAGAGACAGAAGCGGGTAAGTCCAGTGTTGTCGACTTCGAGCGAATTTTGAGTATTATTTCAATTAAAGATTTACTTACACATGTAAAAAATGATTATTCACTCTGTGGTCTGGCACAACCAGTAATGATGCAATAAGCCAATCCATGCCGCTGACAAATGTTTTACCGGCTAGTGGATCACGATTTAATCAAACAGCTAATGTATACTCAGCACCGTATGTTCGCCTAGCAGACGGTGATTTAGCTGATCATATCCCTACAGTTCTAAAACAGCAAATATGTAGAAGCAAGCACATTAATTTTGCGTTGTTGCTATTAAAAGGGAACAATTGAGCTATTCGAATATTTCATGGCCGGCATTGTTACGGTACATTCCGATTTACAATTGGTTTCTACTCCAAAAAAGTTTTTTTTAAAGAACAAATTATGATATCGATGAATAGACAAACGCATTTATCTTTTATGCCTCCATATACCTATTAAATCAGACAAAGTTTATGAACTGCTATATTATATTACAATATAAGAGAATGCGCTATGTGAGCGGGTCAGCCTGGAAATCTAATGATGAACAGTTTTGCTTACGCCAGGCTATTACACCTTCGCCATGGTCTAAAATCAACAATGACCAATGGTGGCCGTGTATGCAAGTTAGACAGTCTGATCAAGCCCAGAACGTTTCAAAATTTAAGTACACGTGTCTTGATTTAATAATGGTATATGCACGTGACAAAACTGCAAATTCCCTCATTTATGCGCAAAATGTAATGCACCCCATCCTGAGATAAAATGTTCTCTTCCAACTCAGAAACAGAAAAGTCGAACACCAGCTTTTCAACGGAAATTTGGAGATAGGGGGTTTCAGTCTCATTCAAGGAGAGGTTTCAATACAGGGCAGTCGAACAAGTAAATCAGTGAGTCATAGTTCCAGATATTCATAATATTGCGAAATTACCAATTAAAACTTCGGCCCTGGAATATCATTAACAATTTTATAATGAAATTTAAGCAGATTATTTCATATGACGGTTTTAAGAAGGACTTTCCGCTACAGTATTCAGTTCAGTTCATAACCTCAGATCCCCTTTCAAAATTCCATTTTATTTAGTTCCGCCTATTGTTTTCTCGTTTAGGGCAAAAACATTCTTTTACTTGGGGACCATTCGCCGCTTTTCGTGGAATGGCACTACTGTGTCACATTGAAGGTTCCATAATAACCGCCACATCTGTGGATGTCTCAAAATTCAAAATTTCACCATTTACGTGTTAAATGTTGAATTCTGCTTAAGCCGGTGCAATAATTTGCGTTCTACTCTGTTTAACCAAGAAATAATAAACAGTGAAATTAATAAAGAAATTATAGCTGGCCGGGTAGCTGGACCATTCAATGAGCGTCAGTTGTCAAACATAAGCGTATCCCCCGATTGGTCTGGATTATTCATTTGGGACCAGGACGAAGTAAACAGAAAAATAAAATTTAATTGTGACACTATTGCAGTTGTGCATATACCCAATAAGTT